ATCTAAAGTTACAAATAAATAAATTGAAACAGCAGAAAGTGGCATTTTCTTCCTTTACATAACCTCGACTGGCTGAGTTGACAGCAGTGCTTTTGTAGTGCAAATCACTGTCATCAAGTCTGCTAGCCCCTACATTCAATGAAAAAGAAAAGAAAACAAAAATTTTTTTTTTTTTATTACAGTCTAACATAGGGTTCCATACAGCTCAAACAGTTCCAAACAGACAGAGCAACGCTCCCTAAGCTAACTGAAGGAATGTAAACTTTTACAAGGCCATTCAATAAAATTCGAATTACCAGGGATTCAACATGAATTTCAAAATTTAGTCGACAAATAGCCCAGTTAGAATTTTTTTCCCCAAGTGCATTCGGTTTTAAATATATATTTTGGCTCAAAGGGTTACTATTGCTTTTTGAAGTTGTCATGGTGGTAGTAATCTGTATGTGCAGAGTTTCTGCTTGAAACAATGCACATTCAGAGATATTTACACTTTTTGCAGTTTGCTCTCCTGGCACATGAAACTATTCCAGACTGCCCAGTATAAATCATGTGCGTTGCCAACAGAATGGTATAATCAAATGCTTCATTATGAAGCATTTAATTGGACCAAGGAGAGGGATGCTTCAACATCGGACCAGGTGTGAAATCCAGCAAGGGGAGCTTTGACTGGCACTGGATTCCAGGTACATTTATATTATACAGGATTTTAAGGGAGAGGTGGGGCACCTAATAACCATTAGGAATTTTAAAAAATGTATATGTATTCAATAAGGTTAGTGACCATTTAAATGTGATATTCACTTGGAAACCCCAGCAGTTCTCACTTCAGTTAATAACTTTGTTAGTGTTAGAGAACATGCACAGTATTGTGGGCCCTTTACACTCCTACTTAAATCACAATTATATAAGTATGCACTTGGGCCAATCCATCGTCATGACACAAAAAAATGCTACGTTTTTCAGCCAAGAAAACATGCTTACTTCATAGACGTTCCAGTATATTGAGGTATGAATGAGAGGACCCTTGTTCATTCCACATATTTCATAAGATCTTTGTCTAAATACTTTAAAAATGAAGTCGAAAACTAACCGAAAGTATTTCTAATAGAAAGGAGGTGTAGGTTGACAGTCGTGCTAGAGATTTTATGGGCTACGCTACTAGCCAGGTCGTGAAATTTACTTGCCACTGTAAGCCTGGGGTGTCCATAACACCATTACCAGGACAGAATTTCTACTGGTCACAGTGAATTTTTCATTAGTGGAAATGTTGAGCCCTGGTTGACAGAATCACTTAAAGAATAGAAATCACATGCTAAGTGGACAAGTAAAAAAAAAATATATATATATATATATATATATATATATATATATATATATATATTTTAAATTTCATTGAGCCATTTGATATTTCAGACCCTCCAACAAAAATGTACAGCATTTATCAATTTTTCTTCTACTTTCATGCAATTTTTGCATGCAGATCAAGAATTATTGAATGCTTAATCAAATATTCTCTACATTTTTAATATTATCTAATCTACTGAAGTTGTTCTAGTGTCTAATGGAGTCCTCTGGCACTGTCCTTCCATTAGGTGATAAACCATTTTTACGATTTTAAAGCTAAACATAAGTCTCCAGCAGCTTTTTCCCCTCTGTGCTGCTTGGCCTAATAATAAAGCATCTGCCTGAGCTGCAGCAGGCTGAATGTCAGCTGACCACTTTCACCTTATCACAGCTCCTATTGCTGGTATGAATTGGTATGGCTAGCAGGAAGTGTGTAATCTCTGCTATTTAGCCATACCTCAAATAGTGGCCGAGCTATGGATGGACAGCCATTTTAGTGTTAAACAACTAAAAAAATGTTTCTATGTTTCTAAAATGGTTTAACACTTAATGGAGGGAAAGTGCCAGGGGGCTCCAGGCATCATAACCAATTCAGTAAGAGGATATGGTTATACTGCCTGCACAAATTGTCCCTTTAAATAAACCCCAAGACTAGTACTTAAGGTGAAACTGTTAATTTAATATACGCAGCCCAACAGTGGACTAACAGCTGAATTGTGTGGGAATATATATGTATTGTATCATATATATTTCTCAGACAGGGCAAACAAAATCTATATTTCTTAGACGGGGCAAACAAAATCTCTTTAACCCCCATGGGGCCGTGCATAGGGCACTGCGAGAGGAATGCCTAAGGGTTGGCACTGCGAGAGGAATGCTCTTACTCTGCACTTTTGAATCTAATACCTCAGCATACTTGTCAGAGCCTGCTTAAGGGAGCCTGGAGAATCGTGTAGAGGTGTCACAGGGGTAAATGAATTTGTTTTTCCTAAAGGACTGAAAAAACGGCATTTACTGGGAAGCTGCATTTTTGTTCGAAGGACCACGGCAGGTTTTACAGATATTTCCAGTGTTACAGAATTGGGTAATCAAACACTAGACCCATAGCGCAGCCCAGAGAAATGGATTGAGTAGCCCAGATTTACACTTACATAAAATAACCTTCCTAAAAAGTAACACACCCAGTAGTCAAGTACAAAACCAATATATTCAAGGTTATGTAGATGCCACTATAAGAACAAAATGTTTTACACTGTAAAAGAACCAAGGAACCATGTACAGTATCTTGAAGAAGGACATACAAGTTATATATAAGCAATGTAGAAAATGTCAGTTTTAATGGAGGATCACAGTGTTCACAAAAATCAGTCTGGAAGTAAGATGTATTTGCAATCTTGATCTAGGCTAGAGGTTTCAATTTATAAACAGAGTCCGTCCAGTAACTAATACCAAACTAATATGGTGGATTTTTGAACACCACGCAAATATGAGCGCTACAATATCAGTAAAATTTAAAGAAAAATTTCACAAATTCCTGCTTTAACAGTTTCCGATGACACTCAACCTATATCATGCAAGCATGAATGGATACACAAACATGGCTCCTTTCCATAGGCAAGAGGCCAAATAAAATGACAGAAAACGGCTGGCCGACAATAATAAAGATGGGGAATCAGATTGTTTAGACACTGGTGAAACTTTGCCTACAAGAAAAGGGACTAAGAAAATACAGGACATTTCAGATCTGGTATCAAGAACATAACTTGCCATGATAAAGAGCAAAACATGCTGAAAGGCGGCAGGGGCATTTTTCTCTTCTTGAATGGGATTGTTTTACATGGTCGGAGTGAGCCAATTCCTTAATATACACATAAAATGTTACAAAGAGAAGAAACTTTATATAACAAGACACATTTACATACTTTACAAAACTTTCAAATATAGTTCAATAGGCCAAGAGGAAACAATGCAATAAGTTAGAGACCAGAATCAGTCTGATCAATGTTTTTGATCGGTTTACATTTTCACACTATACAATGGCACCTGTTCCTCAGGTGTACACTTTTTAAAAATCTTTATATTTAAAGCAGCAGCCCATGAATGAGGTGAAAACCATGAGAAAGTTGATTTTGTTCGCATATTACTTTGCGATGGAAAGTACGATATCAGGACCAGTAAATAAATAAGTGTTAATCACTGGAGACTATACTTTGGTGCAAAATCTAATGTTTGTTCTATGGTAGGGGCAGGCAACGTTCGGCACTGCCGATGGTGTGGACTACATCTCTCCTAATGCTTTGCCAGCATTATGGCTGTGAGCATTATGTGAGATGTAGTCTACAAATTCAGGCGTGGCGGCGGTTACCTCCCACTGATCTAAGGCAAGAGTAGCCCACAAGGCAAAACACTGGCCACTGAAGAACTAGGGTGCTCTCCTGAAATGGCTTGGCTAGCTTCGGTTCTAAGACACTTTAATATGCAGCAGATAAACAGGCTCTAGATACAAAAAGAAGTGAAATATCTCCAACATTTCAAATCTTATTAGAAAGCAAATATTCTTCATAGAATGTAGTATGAATTTGGAGACTGTAAACAAAACAGTAAAGCTTCAACAATGCAGAATTTGTGGACATTTCCTATAATAACCAGGAGCAATGAGTCTAAAACAGCTGCAGTGCCAGGAAGTTCCTGATCACTTATCTAGGTCTGGGATGGCTAAACTGGTCTTTGACTACATCTCCCACACTATTTTACAGGTAAGGATGGCAACAGGTTAAACTACATGTTTCCAAGATTATAATGACCAGAGTTTGATGCCTCCTTGTGATTTTATATGGTCCCCAATTTGGCAGCTAAACATAACAAGCAGCCTTAGAAGATTAGCCATGAGGTAACCATTTTGTACAATTGTTGTAATGTTATATTCTGCATGCTTCAACCAACATACCAATAAGAAAAAAAACAAACAAAAATAAAACTAGACCAAGGATATTGCAAACCGCTGTGAGGCAAGCATCACTGGCGTTTAACAAAGGCGAACGAAAAATAGAAGGAACCCATCTTAAGTAGAAATATATAATGAAATAAGAATCAAAAATTTACAGCCGTTGCTTTTCAGAGGTGGAAAGAAGGACTGCTGCATCAAATACAAGATAACAAAACTTTTGGAAAAAAATAAAAATACAATGATGAGTTTTCATCCACATGTGCCGTTGCATTCACACATCCTTTGAACACCATACAGAAAGGAGAAACAGTTTTACATTTGTTTTACAGATCTAAAGGAATCAAACATGTAAGGCAGAGACATTGGCCAGAGACGGTACTAATATTTGCATTTTTTTTAAAGCCTGGCTGGTCAAAGAGAGTACAAGTGTAAAAATATGATGTATATTTTATACCTGAAAATCCAACAATTAACGAAGAATGAAAATAATCTATTTCACGGTTGAATGGAAAGTTTTTATATGGGGTTTGGTTATATAATATTTATGTATGGGAATTCAAGTTTTTCCATTTGATGTCCTTTTTTCCACAGCAGTCTGATGTAAAGCCTACTGGTCCCAACCACTGCTAAAGAAGCCTGCAATAGGTGTAATAAGTTAATAATCATTCCATTCTCACACTAGAGGTGGATGTAGGAGAAGACTCTGGTTTCATTTTCCCCCATACATCCGCTCTATATCTTCTTGGTAGTGACTTTTGAGTTCCTTCCGTTTAAGTTTAAAAGCATCCGTCACTAGTCCAGTCTCTGGTGTCCAAGGTTCCGCAACAAGACGGATCTTTGCTGGGATCTCAAACTTTTCAAGAGTAGCTGAAAAAAAATAAAAAAAAAATAAATACATAAATAAAACTCAGAACTGAAACAGGTATAGCAGGTTTTGTTTTTTTTCTTCTTTTTAAAGAGAATTAAATTCGATCTTTAATTGTGCCATCAGATTTGTTAGTAAATGTATGAGATTGGGAGAAAACCTATTTAAAATTGTTTTTCACACACCTGTCAATCAATTCTTAACATAGTCTATGCCGAAGAACTGATTGATAAGGAAGAGAAGAAGATACCTCACAAAGGCGGTCCTTCTGCTCTCTCCACACATAGCAACCATAGTGCATATGCTAACCCATTACATACACATAATGCAAAAGCTCCACAGAGGATTCCAGGACAAAGAACAAAAAGATCCCGGATAAGAATGAGTCCACACAAGAATAAAAGGACGGGGGAGGGGAAACAAACCACAAAACAGCAACTCATACAACACCATATAGTATAAATCATACCACAAGCACCTGAACTGACAAAACTCTAAAGACTGTATACAACACCATAAAATAAAGTAACTAAACAAAATGTATGCACAATGTTCTCTTAAAGAGATAACATATGCCAGTGATACAAAACAAATATGACATAGCCCACTAAATAAGAAAACATAAAAAGCTAACCAAAAAAAAAAAACACGTCTCTCTCATCGGGAAAATAATTGGCTGGTGATCTGCAACAATTAGCAGATTAAATAGGTGTGTTTCTCTCATGACTCCGATTCTTATGATTAAGTGTAGGTTTACTGCATGAACCATGTAAGGAGGGCTACCGTGGTCCTCCAATATATGTACTATTATGTGAAGTTTTGTAAATAATCAATAAAGTGAAAGAAAAGGCTTATCCAGGATCGTTTTGTTCTTTATGCTGGAATCCTCCACGGAGCCTTTAATTTAGGTGTATATTTGAAATTCGGTTGAAAGCAACAATGGTGGTCCAAAGCATCAACACAAGAGCCTGAGGGGGGCAATTTGCTGGTTTGCATGAAACTCATAAGGCAGTTATAAGTGCAACATTTATTTACTTATTTCTGGGTAACACACTAGCCGACGCTGTTAGCGCTGGCTACGGTTTAAAAGAACTGTGATGTCACCCCGTTCAGACGACTGACAATGAAGCCAGATTGTTGGCGTCGTAGAGGAGGTTTGCCCTGCTTGGGAAAGCATCACTGGGGAGACCTGGCAGAAAACAGGTGGGTGTTACAGAAGCATAGCATCCACCTCTGAGGACATAGCAGCCCTGGATCGAAGAATGAGGTAAGTTATATCAGGTTACCTTTAAACATGAAGATTAAACACTATGGAGCACTTCGTCCAGAAAACTGTTCAGAAATGTTTAAAAGCACACACAGCCGGTCATTTAATACATTAAAATTCCCACAAAAGGTTGAGGACTCAACGTTTTGGGAAAACTGTTGCAGCTGCCCATTGACAGCTGTTTAAACACCAAAAGAGAGAGTCTGGGGAATTTGGAAATAAGAAAGTTGAAACCAGTATAGTTTAAAAGCAGATCAACATTAAGAAAACCTTTTTAGTCAAATTTTAAGTTGGTCACTATTTTGCACACAAATGATACATCTAGATATGTTAGAATTTAAATGACATAATCCACTGGTATGGGTTTAATTCAAAACTGTAAAAAGAAAATATTGCACTGGATATTCAAAGTGTCACTTTTTCCCCAGAAGGAGGAAAAGCAGTACTTAAATATGTTAAATTAAATCACATGCCTGCCACCAGCATCCAGTATATAAAGAATACAATATGGTGATGTAAGAATGGAGACAGGCAAGTTGCCTAAGTCATCCTTGGATGCAAACATCTTGTTAGAAAGGGATAAACGCTATGTATATTCTTTTGAAGGATGCAACATTAAAGGAACACTATAGCAAAACTGTATAAGTCCCACACCCCATCATCTGATGATTAAAGAGCTAAAAAAAAAAACAAAACAAAAAAAACTTGACAACAATGATGTTCCCTCGGCACTGGCTAGCTCTCCTCTTCCCGCGATGTCACAGTGATGGTTGGACCTAATGCACATGAGTGGCACTCATATTAAAGCTTCACCATAGGAAAGTATTGAGACATTGTATGCCTATGGGGAATTTGAAGATGTTAGACATCCTCATGCAGAACATGAGGACATCCAACAGTAACAGACTGAAATTCTGTTGGGAACCAGGAAGCAACTCTAGTGGCTGTCTGAAAGAAATCAGAAACTGCAATGTTTTATATCGCAGGGTTAAACAGACAGGCCACTGCACCCAGACTACTTCAATTACATAAAGTGGTTTGGGTGCCTATAGTGTTCCTTTAACAGCTGATCTGTTAAATCTGGAAGATTGTTTTTATACTTGCTTTTGAAATGTATTGGACAAAACCATATTCCACCTAGTGGTACTCTGTAATAAATACAGATCCTCTATTGAGGTTTTATTATATAACAACACATTCTTCTTTAAACAGGAGTATGGATTTTTGAAAGTCTATGCCTACATTTCTAGCACAGCTGTAAGGTAAAGTTGGATTCTAGCTGCCTGACTGTGTGTGCTCACCTGCTGCAGGAGACCCTCTCAATGCATTCAACACTTCTTTCTCCATAGTCGGGTTGTTGCAGAGAGATTCGAAGCTTCCTTCTACGCCTTTCTTTGTAGCCAGAATTGACAATTCCTTTTGGTTCGGGACCACAAAACCGATCACATATGACTGATCACTAAATTGTATAAAAATGAAACTTGTTTATAACAGTGTGAACAAGGCATGATTCCCTAATTCACTCATCGCTCTAAGCCAGGTAGGGAACTGACTGCAGTGTGTGTTCGTTCACTTGTTGCTACAAGTAAAGACGACTTGTTTGACTAGTGTGTGCAGTCTATGCATGCTCATGCTGTCCGAGTGTTTGGATGGCTCAATGGAGAGGCTAGCCTTTCCAATAGGATATCAATGTGAAGGAGGTGGAATTCTATGGCAAATGAAGAGAAAAATTGCAAAAATAGCAGGTATGTAAATAGGTTTTCTGGCACCATAACCACTACAGTAAAAAGCAGTGGTTATGGTGACTGCAGTTTCCCTTTACGCTGGGATTACATGCGTAGAGTCACATGTACATGTTTAAGCAAACGGAAGAATTGAGTGTTCATTTGAAAATATCTTTTAGAGAATCACTTGAGACCCACTCAGCATGTGTTGTAGTTGCACAGCTCACACAACGTCAACGTTTGTGTGAAGAGGTACAATTATGTGTAATATACACACACATTTTAGGAACAAATAGCAATGTATTTCAAAAACAGAAATCACTCTAAATGCGAAGATTTTATTTAATAAAATTATAGAGAGAAACAGTGTTGGTGTGAATACAAGGACAACTGTACAGGGTGGCCTGTACGTCCCTACCCATCCATATAGCTTATGTATCCTGTATATACACGTGTGTCAGATGGGTAAGGACTTATGGTCCACCCTGTACATCCAGTCTTTTGAACATTTCTAAATCAGCGGTCTTACTTTACTATTACACATGTGACGGGACGGTATCTTTACCTGTTTGCATATGCACATATATTATCCACAAGGGGGAGGTTCTTCAGAGCAGACTCCACTTTGCCCAGAGAAACATATTCACCAGCCTGGAGCTTCACCAAGTCTTTCTTCCTATCTACAGGAAACCAGACCACAAACAAGACATCTCAGAGTAAGCGCAAGATACTTTTTATCCATTATAAATAATATTATGCCTTAGGGCAGGTTATAAGTACCATGTTAACTTCTCAGACCCTGATAAAGTAACTCTTGTGCAACGATCCCTGGGCTTGTGAATGTACCAAATCACTGTGCTTACTTACCGGTATCTTCTACAACCCAGTCCTTGTTTGAGTGTCAATATTTATGATGGGACATTGGTTTGTGGGAGTACATTGTTTAACACTTTCATATATAAATGTTGCAAAGGTTTTCCAAATCTCTGCTCCCTTGTCAAATAAAAATAAATAAATTTAAAAAAAAGATGGTACACATGAGATCGACAACCCAGGGTCAAAGAGGTTAAGGTTCCGTTAGTAAGAACTAATCCAATCTAGTGATTACAGAGAGCTGCTACAATTAGCTGTGGCTAGAAAGCTTTGGGGGCTTCTCCGGTTATAGAAAGGCTAAGGGAAATGTGAAAGACGTTATCAGGCTGTAAATTGAACTTTGTACCTTAGGATTATAAGTTGTCATCGCACATAGCCAATATATATATTGGATTTAACATTTCAAGCTAAAAACAAGAACAAAATGACCTAGTTGAGTGAAAGAAACCTCTTTTTAATAGTGAAGGAAATGATAACATTGTTCAATTATTATGAAGAGAAACAAACGGGGGGGGAAGAGAAGCAGCCTGCTTTGTTTTTGAACTGTGACTGCACCCATGGCCTCCAAGCACTACACACCCCAGTGGTCAACTTTTATCGGGTTTTGAAAATGAGAATGCGGAGAGGTTACATTAATATCAGGGTCTTGAGCAGCTTTAAAAAAAAAAAGTGTACAAAAAATACACACATCCCAAGACAAACCATACATTTGCTTTAATTACATAATTATAACCATTAAACTGTGCCTTTAACATTTGAAGAAAGAAATAGAAAATGCCCTCTTCTCTACTAGTAATCCCTGCGAATGTGCCCCAGCAAAGGACATTTGGTCCTGCACTCACCGATGATTTTTAAGCAGCCATCTTCATGAAACTCTCCAATGTCACCTGTGCAAAACCATCTTTGCCCATTTCCATCCACATAGAAGTCTTCCTTAGTCTTTGCATCGTATTTATAGTAGCCCATTGTAACATTGGGGCCACCAATCAGGATTTCTCCTCTTGGGTACGGCTCATCTGTATTGTAGTAGCCACCTGAAGAAGTAGTTTGTTGTACTTAGATACTATTGGAAATACAGCATTCTAACATTTTTAAACACAAATAACCGACACACTACAATCGTGTTTTCTGAGAATGATGTGAAATTAATAGATGAGCAATAATATTCCTCAATTTGCAATGCCTGGCTCACTGAAATTCCAGGTTTACCCAGCAACATCTATATTGTGTCCCATAATGCTTTACTCTTGGGTGAGGTAGACATAGGAGGTTACTCTTCACGCATTTGTGAATAAATCCATTCAGTTACCATCACTTATAAAGATTAAAACTGGACTCTTTCATGCTACGTACTACGGAGTTAATTTAATAGCCACAAAGATTTAAAGTACCGCAGAGAACACATACCATCTGAACAATGCAACCTCTGAAAAAGTTCGAACTGCTTTTGTACGGGTTAAATAAGTTATTAAATGTGGCTTTTTCAGAATGCTAACAAATGGAGATCTCAGGCCTACTTTAAGAAACATTGCGTTGAAAACACACAATGGGAGTCAAAGACTGTTGACTCCTACTGGTTATGCAGAGCAGCAGATTTTGTGTATGTTCACAGTAAATTATCATCTACTTGAGAAAGACTGATTTTTGTATGTGTATTTTGGCACGCTTCGTCAATCAAAGAGCCCCTGGGAACATGTATACAGTGTTAAGAAATCTGTCTCTGTTTGACTATAACAAATTATCTTGCACTTTAAAGGTTTAGTCATTTACATCACTGTCACACAAGTGACCAAAACACATGAAACTAAGATTAACAATTATACATCACAGAAATGTTTCATATTTAAATTAAATCCATGACAACCTATATGTATTAATCTTCAGCAACAACATTCAACTCCATAATGATCTTACGTCAAACACAGTCGTCTTTATATTTCGAACACCCATTCTCCCTGCAAGGATCTACCCAACTAACTCCTAAAACCTCAGTCTCTATCTAAAGCCTAACAACTCATACTACAAGACTCAGATCTGATGTAGCAGTCATTCCATCTAGGTAAAACATTTTATATTATATATACACACACAATACACATCGACCTTGATCAGGTCTAACAAACAAAATTACATGAGTGTGCACATTTGTGTTGTAATGCCAAACTCCATACTCCAGCTGAGAAATACAGAAGTATATACCACAAGGTAAGTGATGGTGTTATACAAGTTATCCCTGGACACGTTTAGAAAAAGATTCTAATTTCTAACACACGCTTTATACATATCTATACGCACCCACATACACACATAAACAGCCCTTATTTAGTGAATCCTAATTTTAGCTAACTTGTCATAATGTTACAATACGTAACACTTTGTGGGTCACTGAAACATAAATGCAGAAAGTATATAACAATACGTGTGCAGGAATTACCTTCTTCCCAGTTTTTGAGTTTTATTTCACTACAGATCAGAGGTGCTCCTACTCTCCCCGTGCTGTAATCAGTCACTGTGAAATGAAAAAGCTGTTAGCAAGTATAAAACCAATCTACAATGAGAACAAATCATTTACTGCCTACTACTATCTCATAATACAACAACTTAAATCATAGATTGATCAACAGATTCTGCATGGAAACGTGGAGACTCTTCACCGTTTATGAAAAATGTACTGGTATATCTGAAGTTGTTGCCAAAGGCAGTAATCTAATCAGCCCTAATCAGATTTTCTTTTGTTTCCAATTCAAAGAAGTGTGATTAATCTGGTCAATAATTATTTTTTGGTACACCTGAGCCATACATTTCTATACATCTGTAAAAATGTGCTTATCGAATGCCAGAGAACTGTTCACACTCACTTTCTGTTATAGTCCCAGCTCCACATGTCTCTGTCAAGCCATAGCCCTGGCCCACTGGACAGCAGAAACAGATATTCATGAATCGTTGGGTGGCAGCTGATAGAGGGGCTCCACCAGATAGCAAGACTCGCATCTTTCCACCTAACAGTTTCCTCACCTTCCGAAACACAATCCTGGAAACAGTGAAAAGGAAAGTTTGTTTTGATTTTATTTTTAATTATATACAGTATATTTTTTGCCTGTTATAGTACAGATTCTTCCAAAATAATACAGACGTTCACATTGAATTGTCCATCTAACAGTTTTTTCTCATTTTAAATAGTCTTCAAAAATGTTACCCTTAAAGTAACATTGTCACCAAAATAAACAAAAAAACAAACTGGGTTTGAAATTACAGTGTGGCAAAAGATGGGATTTCAAAACTGCTTAAATCACGTCATTTCGGTTGTGATAGTAGATATCTTTGACATCTAATGAGATTTTGAGGATCCTGCAGTCTCACTGGATTGACGATTCCCCTCTTTTCAGTAATCTGAGAGCCTGGCATATGAAGCTATAAGGAGCTGCAGAGAATATGGACCGCTCACAACAGATGCCATCATAAAAGCAGATATGTAAGCCTTGGGGAGCGGGGTCTTTACACTGCCCTACAAGTGATAATTATGTTACTTTTTCCCAGGAAGCACACTTTTGCAGAGAATTTGTATAATAACCATGATGCTAAACGTCCTAAATAAGATCTCATATTTGAAACAAAAATATTCCCTAAGTTAGTTTAAGTATCATCAAAATCACTGTATTTAAAACAGTTATTTGAATGTACATTGGGGTTTTGGATAGTAAACGTGTACATTCTATTGGATGTTTTGTTATAAATTGGGGCAGAAGACTTGCTCATCCGGTCATTTACGAGTGATGGGAGTTTGAGGGCAAGGATATTAAAAATTGAACTTATGTAAAGCTGCTGCTTTTTAAATAAAAACTTGTGGTTATACTAAATAAGATCTCATCACAAGCATCTAGAAGATATACAAATCTTTGGTGAATAACTTCACTCACCATGGTTTTCTATCCAGACTTGATACTGCTAAACAATATACGGTCATCAACATTAAAATGACTGACGTGGCTTTAAAAGCTTCCCAAGGGGGAAAGGGAAATAATGGAAATTTGTAATGCGCACACACCAATTACTCAGAAGAGAAGACAAGAGTTGGAAACAAAAAGAAAAATCCCAACAATGGTAAACATCGGACATTCAATAAAGATAAAAAGACACAAGGCATCTGTGAAAGACCACTGCTTAATGTATACATGGAATCGGAAATGTTTGCTCTCTTAACTAGTTACAAAAGTCATGAGCAAATGCAGTCTGTTATCATGCTGCTAGAACACTGATCCACTGAACTTTTAGACTTAAATTACATATGAAATGAGAGGGAGGGTTGGTTGGACGAACAAGGGTTTCTGTTATACGGTGATATATTTCGGTGATCAGCATCTAAAACAAAATCACACTAAAAGCACTCCCATTGATTTTTCAGAGAACGGTAAATAAAGGCACACGAGCACACAAAAAAAAAAAAAAAGCTATTTGCACAACATACTTTAGATGAACGTTACAGGTCAAAAGAAAACTACTATAAACGAAGAATATTAAAAACATTGTATCCTACAGACTATTTTATGGCTACTTTTACCACAGAATAATGAAAAATAAATATAGACATGTATACTGTATTTTGGGATCGATGGAGAAACCAAAAAGAGGCACAGAAAATCCAAGTGAAAAAAAAACATTTTGTATTCCAAGGAGAAAGAAGAGCCGAATGTAAAAGAGCAATCATTTAATGTGTAGGAACGCATCACATGCTGGTAAAGCTGCTGGATATTTAAAGGGACATACCAGTAACCATCTTAAAGTAGTAGTTTTGGTGTAAAGATCCGGGCAGTAAACGTTGTTCACATTTGTCGCTGAAAATGCCTCTCGTGGCATTTCCTCGTGAAGACTTTAAATTACTGAAAAAGTCCTCACATTTGGTTTTGCAAACAACTGCTAATAGTTCTCATAGAAAAGCAATGTATTTAATGCGAACAGTGGCAATTACTCTGCATGCAACATAGGCCTCCAATGCAGTGGATTTGCCAGTGATCAATAATAATGGTCTAAGAAGGGGAGGAGCAAATACCAGGGTAAGGCTAAGAAGACGCTGGATAAAAGGAGAGTTTAACCTTTTTCTTTTTTTCCCCTTTATTTAACAGGAGTGGCCCAGTAATCTAATGGGGGGTATTTCCTTTAGAATCACAGCAAGCAAAAATAAATAAAATCAGGCTGGGATTTTGTCTGAATTAAGCCAGGATATACCTGTCACATAACGGAGTACTGTAGCCTCTGGAGATCTGTTTCATTTTGTAGTTGTAAGCCAGAGAAAAAAGGCCTTTCTGGATTGGACTCATGGTGGCAACTTTGCTCATCACATTCTTGTAAATCCTATCCATAATTTCCTAGGGGAAAAAAAAAAAAAAATTTAATGAGTCAGAGACAAAGGAGAAATGACAAGTCAAAACAAATTACCAATGTACAGATATCATGTTACTGCTATAGTTTCATAATATGGGAATTTACCTTCTGAAATATGCTGCACTCAGTGGTTACCATGTAATTCAATTTAACTGTTGCTCTGTAACAGGACCACCATCAGATTTATTGGGGTGGCTTACAAAACTACTGCTAGACACTCTGATATATATATATATATATAAACATCTGATTAACACAGGAATTTATAGGATATTTACTTAGAAACAACAGAGTCTTCAGGAGCCGCTATCAGGAGGTTATTGCAGAACTCCAGAAAGGGTCCCTTACCTGATTGCATGGACAACTTCCTTTTCAAACCTGTACAGCAACACTGGGATTAAGTGAGGTCAAATCACTTCTTCCTAGAATTCGTGGAAGCCATGTGGGCAGTGAAAAGGGCATCAAACAGCCCTCTACCAACCTGATCTCTTCTGGGCATATAGAGACATTGCCAGGCACACATACAGACACATTGTCACGCACACCATCTACACACACATATTGCTACATACACATTGGTAAACACCTTCTATGCTACACATATACATTTAATTTAGCAATGCTCCTTTTTAGTTGCCACTTTACACCTGGAGGGCAGGTGCCCAGAGGGGGATCAGGTTGGTAGAGGGCTGTTTGATGCTCTTTTGACTGCCCACATGGCTTCCACGAATTCTAGGAAGAAGTGATTTGACCTCACTTAATCCCAGTGTTGTCCATGCAATCAGGTAAGGGACCCTTTCTGGAGTTCTGCAATAACCTCCTGATAGCGGCTCCTGAAGACTCTGTTGTTTCTAAGTACATATCCTATAAATTCCTGTGTTAATCAGAGGTTTATGGGATGTATACAGCAGTGATAAGATGAGTCGGACTTTGCTGTATAGGTCAATGCAGCACTTGATCCTGGACCGCATCCCATTCAGGGGTTGGGGAGAAACAGAAGCACTTTCTGAGTTAAAAGACTTCTGAGTCTGAGACACTCATTTTTGAATGAATACCACAATCCTCAGCTGGAAAACGCAGGAACAAAAGCCGTGAGTTTTCTTTCACATAGGAAATGGTTTTCTTTGAGGCATACCTCCCAAAACTGGGTGGTATGAATCTGGGGCATTAGCCACAGAGAGCAAAAAAAAAAAAAACAAGGTGCTAGAGATTACCGAGAACAGACAACAGCTCAAACAGCCTGCCCTTCGGTAGGTCCCTGCTCAGATCTCAAGCTGGTTTTAACTCATCGTTCGCATATCAGTCTGATTCCACCCAAAAGAGCAGAACAGAACCAAAATTCAGGACGGCTGTCTCTGCATGAGAGAAAAAGCAAACCCAGACAATGAGTTACAGAGAGCCTTCGTGCCTATCAACAACACTGGTGAAGTGAAGCTTTAAAGGAGGTCTGGTATCTCTGGTACCCATGTGTGCCAGACAGCTAATCTGGAGAATACACTTACAGCACAGGTGAAGCTCTTAATTTAGTCAGAAGTGTCTTGACATAGCCTTGTGCAGCTGTAGGTAGCCACAAATAATGCTGCTCTTTATGGGAACATTGCATGTTTCCAGAAGTGGGTCGCCAAAAAACAGATCGTGCTTAGGGTACCATTGGGGAACCATTTCCTAGCTTGTCTCTCTTTCTGCTGTAAAGACGACGTAACATTGTGGAACCATGTAGTGTACATTAACCCCTTAATAATAATGATGGAATTATTCCGTCATGGCAGTCTGTGCCAAGAGGACCAATGATGGAATAATTTTGCCAACTACCAATTAACGCAGATCAACAAAAGCAAATCGCACTGTCCCAGCAAATGTGAATGCTGTGACAATGAATCACAGCGCTGTTGGGATATGCGATACATCTGTCTCCACCATGTGGGTTGTGAAGTGGAAAGAGACAGATCAGACAGTTACTTTGTGTGTAGCTTTCATCGAGCTTTGATCACGGTAGTGATCAAAAGACAGATCACAGTACTTTACTGTGATCTGTAATTTTAGTAGTTTTTTTGTACCCTAAAGGGTTAGAATTATTTATTTTAAAATTGGTGATTTAGTTGGGTGGAGGTCAGTGGAAAATTGGAAAATGTAGTGTTAGTTAAGGGTTATATATTTTTTTTTTTTTTTTTTTAAAACACATTTTAAAGTTGTTTATTTGTAGTTAAAGCGGCCCTATTATGGCCGCATCAATTTATTTATTTTTAATCCCCCTCGTGACTCCATTACATCTAATTGCCCCACTAGTCACCGCCAAATGCCCCTAGGTTCCCTATATTGCCTTTTTTTTTTTACTTTATATTGTGCCCAGACCTAGGTGACGCAGGCTTTGTGCGGACAGTTGAAAGCCCTGTGGGACACGTCATCTGCCCACACTAGATAGCGTTGTGAAATTCCAGCGCATGCCCAGTAAACACTTGGGCATTCGCGATTGTCTGAAATTTCGTTGGGAATTTCGTCTATTCATTCATTCGTCAGAAAAAAATCAATTAATGAATAGAAATTTCTAGGGATCGACCGGTTATAGGTTTTACCGATGTTATCGGCCGATAATCGGTATTTTCAGCAATTATCGGTATCGGCCAATAGAGATGCCGATAATACATACCAGGACCAGTCATCCCTCCAAACTAAGATCGGCGGGTGGGGGCCCTAAATACCCTATAAAACAAAAGGGGGGGGGGGAATACTGCCTCACCCATGATCGGCGGGGTAGTGGCCAAAAGTATCAAGGGGGGGCAGGGGGAGGAAGAGAGAGGGGAACCTGTTGTATTCCCCTGGCCGAACCAATCAGAGCGCTCCAAGTCAAATTGCGGGGCATCGAGAGGCTGTATAAGCCTTTCCTGCCCTGCAGAGCACAGTCTGCACGGTGCCCTGGCTGGGTGAAGATAGATTCTTTTTTTTCGCACTGGATTTTTTAATTTTAGAAGTTCAACAGTAATTCTGGATTTTTTATTTGGATTTTGTGACATTAAATTAAAGCCCTTTCTGTATCTTTAAAAAAAAAAAAAAAAAAAGATATAGAATATGTGTTGGTGCAATAAATTTAAAAGATGGATACTGCGGTTGATCGCACACATAGCAAAAATCGCTTTGGCCCTTAAGTGAAGGAGGCAAATGAAGCTTGGCCCTTAAGGGGTTAAACTAAGCAAAAATAAATAAAATTAAAAAAAATTAAATTAAAAAAAATAAATACAAGCCACGTTTGAGAGCGAGTCATATTTGGTGAAATGTCTGACATCCCACTCTAGGAATGAAATAGTGAAACCAGCACATAACTAACTTAAAAGAATAAAGCCGATTCAGAAAATGCCTCTATACATCATAAAAGGAATATCCTCTCATTCCATTTGCTTCACAAAGGTTGCTGGTTTTTCTCAACACAGGTTTTCCAGATGAACTTGTGAATACTAACTGGCTGAGGTTCACAATGTCACAACCTACAGAAATAGTTCCACTGAGGAAAGCGTGGGTTGCTGCCTAGCTCTGCAGTATTTATGGTTTCCAGTCTATATGCAATGCATGTTATAAAGAGAGTATTGCTTTCCACTGGGTCTTCTTTTTTTATGCTGCAATTGGTTTATGAAAAAGCAAAATGAAACATGGGTACAGCAAAGCTACCCAGTGCATGCATGGCAGGAAGAGGCTTTGTCTCTGCCACTTGAAGGCTACAAGTGTAAATATTTATACCTGCTTCTTTTCACACTCTGAACAGACTGGGAACAGTGAGTAAAAGATGGCCCAACGTCAGGGGAGTCATTTACCGTAACAAAAAGCACAAGGCGGTCACTAGGTCAGAGAAACTTACCGGGACCGCAGCCATGAGGGTCGGCTTAAGTTCTGATGCATCACCTTTACTTCCTTTTTTGATTTTTGTGGACTGCAAGCAGGAGAGAGGAAAAAAAAAAAGTGTGATAAATCAAAAAGTAAACAAAAATATTGAACAGTTTATAGCTGGTAGACTTGTGAGAATGAGCTCAGACACACGATAGTGGCTGGAACATAACATTGGGATGACGCAGCAGAGAGATTACCTTCACACAGTGATTTTTGTCTTCTTCTAAAGAGAGCCAAGCATACCATGTGCGTGCGTATACAGCTCACCGTTAAATTATACATTCTGACCTACTAGCTCTCAGCACTCATCTCACAAGGACTAGATTTACAATAGTAAAGCACAAGACTATTTATAAAATGTAGAGAACTCCATGTTCCAATATTTTCTATACATTCTAAAGGACAGAGAGCAAACTGTGCAGCTATGGTAGGTTCGAATTTCTCTCCTTATTGCTCAATCTAAAGGTCAGGAGAACAAGGAAAGTACATTACAAGCACATAATATTATGTACTATAAGATCTTATTTTGCAAAAAATGAAATGGTTTTGGGCAAGGTAATAGTAATGGCTTCCACTTCAAGCACATTGCCCCAGCATGACTCTTTATACAAAGAAAACCCAGCCATATAGAGGGGGCTTTCTAGGTTGCTGTATGCAAGATATCTAAAATCAGCAGTCCTTAGCCATTTGGTTTGCATGCTATTTTAACTGGGTACCATTTATAAGAAGAGGCACATCTTGTTCGTCAGAAATCGTTCAACCTACCAAAATAAGAAGTTTTGCGTGATACCACCAACTTGTACAGTGCAATGGAGATCTTTTTTTACAACCCATTAATCTGCTCCACTTTCATACAAACTAACAGGTTGGAAGTAGTTTATTGTAGTAATAAGCAGATTTCCTTCCTCATTATCAACACGGCCCCAGAGTCCACTGAGAGTACCATCTAAGTTCTTGTTTTGGTATCTACCATAGAGAACTTGATACACTTTAAAAAAAATAAAAATAAAACAGTCCAGAGGGCCTGCACATAAAGCATCTCACATAATTATTCTAAACATGACTCTACACTGTTACTGAACATAATAACAATCAGACATTTCTTTTCAAACATATATTACCTGGTCAGATAGAGTTTGAGGTGATGAGTAGCCAACGCGGCAACCGTGGGAAAGGCAAACCAATTCAGCACTAAGCTCTAGAACATGGGCTAATGGCAAATAGCCAATGTAGGTATCAGTGTCCCTGAAAGAAAAAGAACACACTTTGGGGAACAATTTAAATCAGTTTACACATGTTCCCAACTCCTCACATGTGATCTAATAAAGCGCAGGATAAGACTAGCTGGACAAGCAGCACTAGCAAACACTGGGTATCACAGCTCTCAACCTCTTATTGCAATTGTGAGCAAGACAGAGGCTCTGAAGAGTACAGACATTGAACCAGTTGTAGGAGCAAATTGGGCAGATTTTAGTGATTAAAAGATTAGGGCTAGTTTGTTAAGGCATAACATACAAATCAAATAGTTCCTTGATATTGTGCTCATTGGCCTGTGTGGACGATTGTATACAATTACTGAACTATAGACCAGAGTGAACATGCACATGACGGTCACGCCCAGTGATAACAGTGGCTCCAGCACCCAGAAAAAACAAACACAAAACACAGGAACAGGTTTTAAGATCTGCAAACCAAGTGTTAACCTACCCCAGATTGGGTATTCTTTGTGCCATGCCAGTGATGCCAGCGATCAGATTACTGTGAGATATCATGACACCTTTTGGAATGCCCGTAGAACCACTTGTATACATGATCACAGCAATGTCATGCGCCACAGGAACGGACTGCGGTTTAATTGCTGTGGAGACAGAGAGAGCGCAAAGACTGTATTAAACCCATACAATTTAAAGGGTTACTGTGATCCTATTGAGAAGGGGACCATTCTGGTGTAATATGTAATGGGCACTGTGGAGAAGGTCCTCAGTTCGTAGAAAAAGTAGTAAAACACCATGTCACTGTGGCCGTGCATGGTCCGATTACAGGCTTTTCATGGAGAAGCTTTTAAAGGGACCTTTTACACGGCTCAGAGCACATGTGCGCGCTGCGGGATGACGAGGGAAAGGAGAGTGAAAAAACACAAAAAACACCAATGTTGAACGGAGGGAGGAAATCCTCCCCTTGTAGGCGTACTGTTTGTTAGCATTCAGCGCGTACAGAAAATGCACAATATCGCAATCTCAGGCAAATGCCTTTGGGGCATAATTTGTTAATAGAGTAACAAATTATGGCCCAGTGAAGATGTGATCACAGAGCTGAAATCGCTTGTAGGGATCATCAGGAAAGTAAACAATTTTACTTCACGAGAGGAAAAATACCACCAGGTTCTGTCACTAGAGTTTAATGAATTCTATTTACGTTTCTGGTCTCTATTTGACAACCATTCTACATCAATATTATTTACAGAGACTAATACACAATATATATCAAAACATAAAAAAAAATGACAGTTTCCCTTTAACGTGATGACAGATCTATCAAAACAGAACATTCCCAAATTTCAGATTTGTGGACTATCCCTATTTGCGTGCAAGATGGTTTTTCATAACCACCTGCTGACCTTAAATAACTCATATGATTTAATTAGACACTAAATCACAATATGAATCACCATCACACTTTAAAAAGCCTGGTAGAGCGAGGTCTTCAAAGTTTATAAATTATGGAATTTCCCAAGACAAATTGGAATGACCGAAATTAAAGCCCTTTTTCCAGTTAGCTGTGGGTCACGCCCTGTGCTTATAGGGTGCCTGGAAATTAAGAAAAACTTAGAAGTGCTGATGCCTGCATACTGGATTCCGGCAAATGGACGGAAATTAGTACTTTAATAAATTCTCTTAGTAAACTTATTTACTGCCACATAATAAAGTTATAAGTGAATGAACAAGTCCTTGGTTTACATTATTCCCCAGCAATACACACATCCTAAAAATTACATATTTAGAAAACCGCGTGATGGTAGATTAACCGATGTATTAAAGAGAGACCGTACAACCAATCTACACTTTTGGGCCTAATTTGTGCCTAACGTTTATACAAAAACCAAATACAGAAAACATCCAATTAGAAATGGTTCGCTAATAGAGAATACAAATCAAGAATCTAAGTTAGTCCGAAGTTGGCCTTAGTTTCAAACAGGTTGCTTAGATTTACATATCTCGCTAAGATGCAGTCAAGTTTTCATTTGTTTTAAACAGACCCTGACAGGGAGTTGAACATGAACATACTCAAAGCAGCCGAGCTGGCATTAGTTTTCTGCCAGAGAACAATAAACATTTTCAATGTATTCTGAACAGACTCGGAAAGGGTATAAACTGATGAAGGGTCTTGACAAGTTTAAGTGGAGACATGAGCTAAAGCCAAATTTAGTGATTTTCCAGAGGCGAAATGACATGAAAGTCACAACAATGATTTCAGCAACTGGCCCGTACCAGTAAACTCGCAAGCCTTCACATTTGTGTGATTTAGGTACTTTAGTGAAACTACTTAAAATGGCTGAACTATAAAAATCTACTAAAAACAACAGGACTGCCTGAAGAAATCGCACGTAGTTGCTGGTAAAAGTAAAAGCCGTTTACCAGCTGACACCAAAAAGGTGACAGATCAGAGATCCTAGTAAATCTCTGGAAATTGGGCAGACTTGATGGGCCGAATGATCATCTGCCGTCACAGTCTAGGTTTCTGTGACACTCTCTTGATATTGTAAATAAAGCAAGGGAGGGGATCGAGCAATAGGCACGTGGGGGACCCTCAGTTTATGTTATACCTGCCCGAAAAAGTTTTTGACACAGAGACAGGGGATGATGCCAGTAGCCTGCTAGAACAAAAACCACTACAGTGGCTGTAGCAGTTATATTGCCAAGACTGGCTCTTTTAAGCCGGCACATTTATTAGGTGGCAAAAAGATCAGGGGCCGAAATCAAAGAGTAAATGTTACGGGCCATCCAACATATAATTACGTCTCTTCCAAAACGTTTCCCTATGTCCAACCCTAAATGACATCTTCTATGATTCACATTATAACACCAAATCTATGAATACACAGTAGTCTATAAATCAATATCCATAAACTCTACACGTTGTGTTCGCTCCACACCACAGCATGATTCCCAAAGCTGTTGCATTAAACCTTGAAAGAAAGAACCATCCGATAATACCAATAACTCATTATGTGCTAAATAATTAAAGCCAAATGCATTGTGCAAGTGTCACAAATTTTGTAACTGGAAGAGTTAACATTCCCACCGCCCTGGACAAAAAGGCTCTGATCGGTCACCTTTTTTGACGACAGAAAAGGTCACATGTGCTTTGCCATGTGTGTGATAAATAGCCTACAGTACAACATATGCTCCTTGTAGGAAACTAGCATTCAATAACGAGAGTGGTGAGCTAGACAATGTATGGAAAGTGTGTAAGGCAACAGTTTACTGTGGGAACAAAAGCATCAGGTTCGTGTTATTTGCACCAGATGTATTGGGCCTGAAATTGAAGCATCTCTCAGACATCCTTCTACTGCATCTGTTCACATGGAAAGAAATCCTTTACACACACACACACAACTAAATCAATTTAAAAAAATTAAAGGGGGGATGGGTGGGATGTATTCAATTCATCATTTGCTCCAAGGACTCTTGATTTCCTGCTGTGGAGGAGGAGGCTCAGATTGGGGATATCCTGTTTTTTTAATAGTTTGAAAATTAACCCTATAGTGACGTTGGCTGACAGAGAAGAGAACACCGATGGAGTAAATTGGAAGGAATAAATCAAAGTAACATGCACTCTCACTTTTGAGTTTTTTGTTTTTTTGTTTTTTAAATAGAACCTGCGAAAAACCCCTACAGATCGAGCTGCAAGTATACGGAAGTTCCAACTCAAGCAAAACATGGAAAAAAGTAGAGACCATTTTGTCTTGTCATAAGAGATTTGGAAAAATGTGGCAAAAGGTTGAACTTCAACAAGCTTTCTCCTGGCCTGCATCATCAGTCACCTGGTAATTGATGGGAACAGGCATCTTCTTGGATAAAGTAGAACAGATGCCCAGAGCATCTCATTGCTGCATGAATAGAGAGAGACCCCCATCACGTTCTCTTGAGCACTGGCTTGAGTACACACTTTGCTCCTGACAGCTGAACTAGATGGTGACTAAGGAATGGAGAGCTTCAAGTACATCTCTTTTCACCCTCTCCTGGAACATCTAGGCACAAAACCCTCACTTTGAGAGGTCAGTCACTTTTTTTTGTCTTTGCGTTTTTTCTTTCAGTCTCACTTTATAATTGAGACATTCTGTAAACAGTGATATAGCAGTTTAAAAGGAGTTGATGTTATGGCGTGTCAAGCTGGTTATGTTACCATGTGCACATGAAAAAAAGAATAAAAGAAAAAAGAAATGAGTTGCATTTGTGTTTTTCCATTCTGTTTGTACTATCGCTATACAATGTAGATTGCTTGTCCCCTCCTGCCATTATATACCAAAACCATAACAGCAGGACATGTAAAAAGATAGATGGTGTGCTGGCTCCAAAATACAATAAATATGAAATTAGTTTTAGTGAAGCCATTCAACATATACTCCGTATTTATTTGGGCTAATATTTAGCATTCAACACAATCATGCATATACAAACAGAGTGTAACTGACATGCACAAAATGTTGAGTTTTCTCAACAAAGTGAAGAATTGGATAGGATAGACTTACTTCTCTTTGCTCCCAGGGCTTGTACTGAAGCCATACTGTTTACAGTAATGTTTTGTGTTAAGTCTGCAGGCTGCGAGCTGGTGCCATCCACAAGAATGATGTGTCTTAGAAGAGGGACTTGAGGAAGGATGCCCTGAGAAAAAAATAAAAAAAAATAACAGAATCATTGAGTGTACAAATGCAGCTCTTTATTCAGATCATAAGCAATACACACACATGTGTATAATATAATATATATATATATATATATATATCTATCTCGATTTATATAGCGCCAACAGATTCCGTAGCGCTTTACAATATTATTAGAGGGGGGATTTGACTATAAATCGGACAATTACAAGAAAACTCACAGAAACGAAGGGTCTATAGGAGGTGGGGTATAAAACACATTAGGACAGGGAATAGAAGTCAAAATAAGTGGGAGTGAAGCAGAGCTGGAGGAGAGAGTAGAGTGCTGCCCTTTAGGAGAGAGCAAGAGACAGGTAGTCTAAGAAAGAAATTAGTTTTAAGGCGCTTCTTAAACGATTGAAGACTAGGGAAGAGTCTGATGGCGGTAGGCAGGCTATTCCATAGGAAGGGAGCCGCCTGTGAGAAGTCCTGCAAGCACGAGTTGGCCGTACAGGTGCCGACAGCGGACAGGAGGTGGTCATGGGCAGAGCAGAGAGACCGAGAAGGGGCATACCTATGGATCTGTGAGGAGATATAAGAGGGGCTAAGATTATTCAGTGCTTTATAGGTATGGGTTAGCACTTTGAAATCCTATAGGATACAGGAAGCCAATGTAAGGACTGACAGAGGGGTGAGAGGACCGACTAGAGAGGAAAATCAGTCTGGCGGCAGTATTCCTTACAGATTGTAGCGGGGCAATACGGCTATTGGGAAGACCAATTAGGAGAGAGTTACAATAGTCCATGCGAGAGATTACTAGGGCATGGACAAGTTTTCTTTTTTTTCTCTCTCGCTCTCTCTCTATATACACATACACACACATACATACATACATACAAACACACACACACACACACACTAATAATATACAGATCTTAATCACAAGATTTGCTCTGTTGTTCTTGAGAGGTGCAGGTCACCTAGAATCTTATTCTTTTCTACAACATCAATTATTTCACTGGTTAGCAAAAATAACTAAATACATAAATGTACAGTTAGCAATATGCAGTTAATAAAAGTAAATACATTTACACTTGTGCATTGCAGTTTGCTTCATTCATACAGTCATAGGAGCCCAGAAGGCGTGGGTAAATGAAGAGATGCAAACACAATTTTAAAGAGACTAACACAATCACAAAACCAATTATGAATTTTTAGAAAGGACTGTAGAGAAATGTATGTTACCTTGAGTTTTGTCTGCAGCAGCTCCTTGCTGGTAATTATGTGGGTGACCTCTGTTTCCACCAGTCCATGTGCAATTGCAGGACCCCCCAATGTTGCGTAAATTGTAACCACTATAGAGGAGGAAGAGGGAAAAAAACAAAAACACAGAAGGTTAATCTACGTCATTCAGAAGAAGGCCTTAGTATAAATACTTCAACAACAACAGTTTTCCAACCAGTCAGGATAGTTATTGCTGGAGTTTATTTACTAAACTAGGAACTAGCAGGGATTTGATAAGAGAAATGGAAACTTTAGAGCCAAGCTGGAATACCTACCATAAATGGACTATAAAAAGTGATGGGGCATAATACACATCTCCCAACCGTCTGGATTTTGGCAGGACAGTCCCAATAAGTCGGTTCATATCACTCCCACTTTGTTCCCTGGTGTTCCACTGTTGGGGACAACACGGAACAGTCCCCAGAAAAGTATATCATAAGGTGCACATGCGCAACACTAGGACCCAGCAGAGAGAACTGAAACAATATTCCTTGCATGGTCTACCCTCAGTGGGCTGACCTGGGAGATTGAAAGGCAGACTGGCATGCATTTATGTAGGCTGACCTGCCAGTACTTCAGGCGGAGACACTCCCTTTGGATAGAGCCAGGGACATGGGCGCCTCACTGGCCTGCCCCCTTTACTGGTTTTCACTTCTCAGGGTGCGGATATTGGGAGGGAGGAGGAATAGGATAGTAGCAGAAAACAAAGATTATTTTAATCATACTGTAGTTTTGAATGTTTCAAAAAAATGCTACAAGGCTAAAAGATTGTGTTATGGAAATAGAAATAGAACAATAGAACAAGGTACTAAATATGACTTGTATGTAATAAGATAACGAGGACAGAGGACAGACCAAAATTGGAAAACTGAATACCATATGTCCAGCCATTGGGCCTATCGGATTAGTGTCTGGTGGGCAGAGATTGCCACATAACTAAGCCAACAGGGGAAATCAAAGGATCTCCCCGGCCAGCACATGCAGGGCCAACCTTTCTTCAGCTCCGGCTCAGAAAGTGAGCTAAATGGGTGATGAGGAGAAACAGCCAACTCGCTTTAATACAGGAGGGGGCAGAGCAGAGAAGGTGGTCCTCACTTCACGCAGTGCAGACCAAGCTGTCTACTCTAGATCGTGTAGCAAAATGTTGCCGCAGCAACACTGATACTTTTCCCAGCGCCAGCCTCAATGAGAGTCTGCACCCACCAGATGTGCAGATAAGAATTGAACCATCAGGGATCTGGATATCCCTCTCACCCCTTCCTGACCAAAAAAAAACAAAAAAAAAAACCTGAGAGGGGGTTGGAATAAAACCTTTTTTCCCCCGTTTTCTCTCTCTCTCTTTTTTTTACTGCTCCTACCCCTTTTCACCCCCCCAACACTCTACACTAGAACCAGCCTCAAAGACAGACATAAACCCCCATAAGCAAACTCTCCTCTACAAGCAACTCCAAACGCACACCACACACAAGTATAGAGTATGTCTGCCATTGCTTCATCTCGAACATCAAGAATTCTATCTAGCTTAGTGAAATAAGAAGATCATAACACTTTAAATTGCACAATATTAAATCTGTTTTTGTTATTTAAAGATAGTGTACTGCCCAAAAAAAGTTATATGTACACAGAATTGAGTGAGGGGGTGAGGGAAGAATAGATGTGGGCACTAACAGAACATCACAGACTTACTCCCTCTGACTGCCTTTGGCGTTTTTGGCTACAGCATTACCCGAGAAAAACAAAAACTACAAAACATTAGTGTTTGCAAAGCACATGCTTTGTGGTTAACAGATTTTCAGAAGCAGTACAGATGACATAAAATGTTCTATTTTAACCGTGTCTTATAAATCCTTGGGAAAAGAGACTTCTGACATGGTTTCAGTGCAGTGGTGAACATATCTGAGTTAATGTACACCAGATGCTTGAAAGTGAAGGCCTTCTGGATCTTTCGACAATTAAAAAGGAGTCCAGATTTCTTTCCTGTTCCCCACAGAGAGGGCTACATTAGGGGACTGCTGCCTGGGAGCAGAGGAAAGGAGAGAGGAAAAAGGGCAGTAGAATTACTTGGGGTTTTAATTAAAAAGGAGGCGTTCACCAAGTTAACTTTACAAATAATAGTATATTCTCTGGATTTTTGTCACAAAGTTCAATGAAAGGAAAAAAAAAAAAACACTGAAAGTTATTTTAACTATAAATTGCCACGTTACCTAAAGGAACACTAAAGTGTGAGGAATACAAAACTTGCATTCCTGACAATATGGTGTTCTCTCCCCCCTGCCCCAGGTCTGGTTCCTTCCATTTGGCTGATATCAACAAAATTGATGATCCCATAGGAAAGCATTAAATAAATGCATCTCTATGGGGAGAGTTTACCTCCATGCAGGGTGTGGAGACGCTGAACATCAGTGCTGCACATTGGTGGCCTTCTGAGTGACTGTCACTAGAAGTGTTAATAGGCAGTAATGTAAATGCGGTGTTCGCTCTAAAAAGACAATGCTTACATGAAAAAAAAAAGGGCCTTCGGGACCTACTATACACATCAGAACATTACATTAAACAGTAGTGGTTCTGGTGACCATAGTGTCCCTTTAAGAACATTCTACACTGTCATTATAACCTGCAATGTACTACTTGATTAACGTAAGCCGGTCCATAGAAGACTGCTGTTCCTACAGGAGTGGACATTCCATGCAGAATAGTCTAAAATGTCCCTTTTTCATAACGGCAAGGCAATGTGTACCTGCAAAAAGCAGGCTCAACATGATTTACTCCTATTTAAAAGAGACACCAAGTGCCAAAATCATTCATTGTAATGTAGTGATGTTGGTGTATAGACCCTGCCCTTGTAGTCTGACAAATTGTAAACATCACTGTATCTGAGACTATGTGTTCATATTCATAAAAAGGTCACTCCATGGCGGTCAAAGCCAATCAAAGGATCTCTCCAAACCATCCTTTTATAGACTGCAAGGAACCAGGCAGTCTCTGCGTGGTGTCTCTGCAGACAGAGTCAGATGTACTACAATGCATTCAGACAGAACTCAAAGTGATATAAAATCCCATCTTTACAGCCTGGAGACACAGGAAGCTGTGTGAGAAAGAAAATATTAAAATCACGGGATGTGGCCTCCTTTACAAGTCAATCCTCTTTTGTGACATTTCTAATCATATCTATTTCAGTGACAGTTAAGACAAACAGTAACAGTTGGCATTACCAAACAAGAGGCTTCGTTTCTTGCACGCAGTGTGTAACAAAAGAAGGTCGGCAATGCCTAATGTAGAAATATAACAGAGCTCTGGAAATCAAGTCTAACTCCGCCAGAAACTTCACTTTTATTTATACTGTAAGTCCATCAGTGTGGGCCAGTTAAGATGGAAACATTAGGCCGACACACATGCACAGTCATGCCTAACTCATTTTACTTCAGCTGATGGGATCGAGCAAGTGTCTGGGCCGGTTCCCACAAGCTGGCTCTACTCTCTCCTCTGACCTCAGTTACATAAACAAGCCTTGGTCCAGGCTTTCCCCAGCTCATGCAATTAACTACTCCATAGAATTGCAAGCAGAGCAAGGGAGAAAAAAAAAAAAAAAAAAATAAAGCAGCCAACCGATATTATTAAATTGGGACAACTATGTGGCAAAATGTAATTTCTGTAACAGCTGGAAACAAAACCAAGTTGAGAACTGATACAGTTTGGTAATTTTAGTCTAAAAATGTTAAATGTGGTTCAGTGGTCGTCAGTTCTCCACAATTTACAACTTGGTAAATAAACCTTAAGAAGGATTAGAAAACATTTAAATACAAACGTATACACAAAAACAAACACGGCCAATACTGTAAAAACTGATTTGCCGGTCACTTCAGCACCGGTGAGGTTAACCAGCCTGACATGCTCATGGACTTGCCAAAAATCACTACATTGACGTCAGAGAGTTGATGAGCCAGGAGAGGAAGCAGCTGTTTGCTACAGCACTGCACACTGCAATCGGCTGATCCCGTGTCTCTCAGCTGAGGTGCAGATAGCTTTGTATTCTCAGGGATAGCGTTCGTGTGGGAGCGCATGCATGGGACCTTTTCTCCCCCTATGGGATAAACAAGCAAGCTACATAGATACCAGCAGCGTCTGACAATTCTCAGAGTAGCATAAATGTACGGAGAAGAAGCTAAAGAGTAATTTGTTTAAAAAAACTTTTTTTTAACAAAATTTTACAAAACAAAAGGCATTCTGGGAGACCATGTGATGGAATAATAAGGGATTAATGAGATATTTATCTCCCAAACACACTTGGACTTTTTATTATTACTACACAGTACTCCTATAGGTAATATCCTTGAATTCATGTTTGCAGCTTAAAATTGCAGAGATTAACAGACTGCACCTGCCCGAGGCTCAAATACCAGGTACCCCGACTTAAGCCACTAATATTGAATACTTTATATAGCCCCAACATATAGATAGGGCTCTTGTACAATATTATAGTTTCAATGGGCATTGTCTAGATATGTAGAGTTAATATAACTGGAGAATAGCGCAGGATACTGCCTTAGTTAAGTTATTTTTTTTTTTTGAAAAATAATAAAAGATGATCTCCAGCTAGGGAGATCTAGGGATGCTGACATAAATAATAAATGGACAACATTGAATAACAGTATATAAATTGAACTAGCTAGTATGGAGAGCTAATTTAGGGGAAAAGGAAAAAGGAACATTTAATGTATGAGTTCCAAAAATACCCTCTGGCGTCCTTGTTAGCAGGCTGAATAGGAAAAAATAATAATAATAATAAACAAAAACCTTTATTGAATCTTTCAATTAAGATAACCAAAAAAAAAAAAACCCAGAAGGACACTGTACTGGATCCCCTAAATAAAAGACTAGTGTGGAGGTAAAGATAATGGTATAGTCTAGATTTATAATAGTCCAATTATCTTGTGTAGTCAGTGGGACTAAAAAATAATGAAGACAAAACAGTAGGGCTAATACCTTATAATAGAGTTACAATGAGCAATGATACCTAGGATAAGTAGAGGTAGGGATAGAGAGGCAGAGAAACAGTTAATATAAATCCGTTAATAAGACCAAATATTATGGATACCCCAGGCAAACTTGCCCAGAATGATAGTGAAAGTCCCCTCCCTTTTTGTCTTGGAGGTGCTAAACCACTAGGTAAAGAAATCTGGATATCTGATACAATCTATATAGCAACCTCAAAATGAATCCCTAGGCTCCTATAAACACCTTCATGGGTGTTCTAATCTAGTACTCACTCTATGAGGTATCGCCCACTATCTACTACTTCCAAACCCCAACTAGCTAGAAGTAAACAAAAAAATAAATAAAACTTGGTCTAAATAATCATTCTATCAGTGCAAGTCCCTAGTGAAAAAAGAAAAAGTGAGTAAAGGGAAAGCATGCTGTTTTTTTTTTATTTTTATTATTTTTACACTGACAGTGCGTTCTCACTTTTTTTTTTTTAATCTTCTCCTGGTGTACATTCTACTGCCTATAAAACCAATTGTATACTTAGAGGCTGGGACACCCACCCAAGGATGCGTGTTTCCACGCTTGTCGATACCCACATATACTTTCTTGTATGCCTGTTGAGAATTGCCATTACACCTTTATAACGTGATACAGATGCTTTTGGAAATGGAAAATCCAATAAAATACAAATTTAATTAATTTTTTTAAATTGCAGAGATTCAATTAAAAAGGTCTGCAAATATAACCCTCCCGTCACTCACAACAGGCTTACTCAGAAAATACATGTTCCCTTGTGAACGTAACTAGTTTCCCTCACAAAGCTATGGAACAAACCAGCAGCAGCTTACTGAACCATATTTCCTATAAACCCATTTGGGCAGGATTTTAAAGGATAAGTAAAGTACTCTGTCAAAATATTGAGAAAAGGGATTGGATGAGACATTGCAGCCTCTTTCAGTAGTTTCTAGGGAGAGTTAATTGTATTTATTTTTAGAATAAACCACTAATAAGGCAATCTTCACATTTGGAGTCACAAGAATGCAGAACACAGTCACAGGGACACTATAGTCACCAAAACAACTTTAGATTAATGAAGCAGTTTTGGTGTATAGATCATGTCCATGATTACAGTCTTACAGCTCAACTCTCTGCCATTTAGGAGTAAAATCACTTTGTTTATATAGCCCTCTGTGGATGCGACTTACACAGCCTTCCTGAACACTTCCTGTAAAGAGTCATCTAATGTGTACACTTCCTTTATTGCAAATCCTGTTTAATGTAATAGCTTGCTAGACTCTGCAGGAGCCTCATGTATGTCATTAAAGCCCAATTTACAGAGCATGAGTTAAAAACCTTTAAAGTAAGTTACACGAGATTGAAAGTAAAATCTATTTTCTTTTTTAATGCAGGCTGTGTCAGTCACGACGAGGTGAGGTGTGGCTGGGGCTGCATCGACAAAAAGGGATTTTATTCCTAAATGGCTGTGACTTGAGCATGAAAACTTCAGAGGCATTATTTATACACCAAAACTGCTTCATTAAGCTAAAGTCGTTTTGGTGACTATAGTGTCCCTTTAAAGGCTTCTCATACTGCTCCTCCACGAGGAGACACTTACTGGAGCAGTACAAATGCGCAGTACTGCCCCTAATGCTGCTCTATAGATAAGCATTTGATTGGCTTAGTTCACATGAAGGAAGAGAAGTCACTGTAAGAAGAAAGGCAAGTCTAATTTTATTTACTTACATTTATAAGGGATCTCAATATGGGCCTGCCAACATTATAAATACCTATGTGTATCTTTAAAGGGATACTATAGCTGTATTCCTGACACCATCACTCCCCCTCCGTGTTAAAAACTCATTATTTACTTAACATATCCCAGCGCCGATGTCCCCTCTGCCAGTACATAGGAATCAATGTTTTCCTATGGGTAAAAAGCATGACATTGGATGTCCATATGCAGAGCACGAAGACGTCGAGCGTCCAATACCAGACCAAAGGTCCATTAGGATCCAGGAAGCACCCCCGGTCAATTTCTGGTAGACAGTCAGTGGAGGCAGATTTAGTGAGGCAATGTAAACATTACAGTTTGCTGGAACTGCAAAGTTTAACATTGCAACACTAAGAGGGACAGTGCACCCAAACCACTTCAATGAGCTTAAGTGGTATGAGTGCCTATAGTGTCCCTTTAACATTAAAGTGTTCTTTCAATTATTATTATGATATTTCTAGAGCGCCGTCAAATTCCGCAGCGCTTTACAATGGGTGGATGAACAGACATGTAGTTGTAACCAGACAAGTTGGACACACAGGAACAGAGGGGTTGAGGGCCTTGCTCAATGAGCTTACATGCTAGAGGGAGTGGTGTAAAATTACACAAAAAGGTAAGGATAGTATTAGATGTTTAACATGAAATTGTTATGTTATATAGCTCCTGTGTCTCGCCCAGCCTTAATTTTGCGGTTACAGTCACAGTCTCAAAGCTATGAGAGAGCCTAAAGCAGATGCTGCCCTTTAAAATAACAGGAGGACCAGGATAAGCTGAGAGATCTCAGCCTCTCCACGTGTTCATGTTCGCTGAAGTTCACAGAGTAAAAGACAAAGGTTATAACTCTCTCAGGTGATCCATCTTTCACCCTGTATATGTAACATACTCGTGCCCACGCTAACTTTCCAAAACACACAATTATTTAAAAGATACATAATACACACACACACATTCATACACGAAGATGTCAGTAAAACACATTAATCTTTCTAACGAGTCTCCGGGCTCAGTGTATAAAGTGCAAGAATAGCAGTTGGTGTGTTGGGTGAAAGTCCAGCAGTGAGACACAGCACGTTTCAAAAAGCCAGAGCAGGCTCATGTCCTGAGTACACTGTTCTCCCCCTCACATCCTGCTGCAGGGTATCAGCTTGATGGGAAAACCAGAGCAGGGGTGAAAAGGGGACTGGAGAGTGTTTATTATATTAGATAATAAAGCTCCTTAATTTCAGAGAGGATGAGGGGGATGGAGAAAGCTCAGGTTTTCTGTAAACGTGGAATTTTAAAAGTTTAGCCGTTGGTAGGGGCGATCATTGCATAAGGAGGAGGAAGAGGCAGGGTGATGGGAAGTAATGTGACATGAAAGCCTGTGACAAGTTGTTGCATCATTCTGGGATCCGCTTATTGTAGGTCAAATTGAGGACTAGGCTAGTACAGGGATTTTAGACAATTTATTTTATAAGGAAAATCTTTAAATACAGAGCAGCATTTGTTTATTAAAAATAGAGCACATATAAATATAAGAGATTTGAAGGAAATAGTTTAGAATTTATGGAGAGGATTGCCTGCCATTTTTACAGAATGTTGTCATCTATATAAGCTTATAATATCCTCTAGCATGCACGCTCATTTGAGCAGGGCCCTCAACCCCTCTGTTCCTGTGCATCCAACTTGTCTGGTTACAATTACCGTATATACCCTAGTATAAGCCGAGTTTTTCAGCACATAGATTAAAAAAAAATATTAAAATAATTAAAAAAAAAAAATGCCCTCCCCTCACCCAATTTACACACACTGCATTCATTATACACACACACACACCACAAACACACACACTGCATTCATTATATACACAGAAACACACACTCTGCATTCATTATATACACACACAAGAACACACACTGCATTCATTATATACACACACACAAGAACACACTGCATTCATTATATACACACACAAGAACACACACTGCATTCATTATATACACACACACACACACACACACACACACACACACATACACACACAACCACACTGCATTCATTATATACACAGAAACACACACTGCATTCATTATATACACACTGTAAATAAATATTCAATTAATATAATTTTATTGGGATCTAATTTTATTTAAAAATTTACCAGTAGCTGCTGCATTTCCCACCCTAGGCTTATACTCGAGTCAATAAGTTTTCCCAGTTTTTTGTGGTAAAATTAGGGGTCTGGGCTTATATTTGGGTCGGCTTATACTTGAGTATGTATGGTACATGTCTGTTTGTCCACCCATTGTACAGCTCCAAGGAATTTGTTGGCGCTTTATAAATGATTAAAAAAATAAAAATAAAGAATAGTAACACGCAGAAGATGAAGAATGAAACTAGGAAAGGAATAAAATTAAACTGAGAACTGGAGATTTTAAGGGGCATCACGGATGACCCAGATCAGATTATGAACAATTAAAAGAACATCAACATTATAAAATATAGAACACATTTATTCCAAGCTTTAGATCAACTATTTATGCTTACAGCAATATATATTTATTATATGCCGTGTCTGATATCTAAACAGGTCATGTCAAACTAACTTGATTGCGTTCTACAAAGAAGTAAGTAGAAGTATAGATCAGGGTGTTGCCATGGATGTGATCTATTTGGCTTTTGCCAAGGCATTTGATACAGTTCCACACAATAGATTAGTGTTCAAACTCAAGGAAATCGGTCTAGATGAAAATGCTTGTTCTTGGGTAGAACATTGGTTTAAAAACAAAGTACAAAGAGTTGTCATTAATGGTAAATTTTCAAGCTGTACAGAGGTGGCAAGTGGTGTCCCTCAGGGGTCTGTTCTGGGACCCCTTCTATTTAACATGATTATAAATGATCTTAAAGACCGCATTGAAAGTCATTTCAGTGTTTGCAGATTACACAAAACTTTGTAAAACAATACAATGTGAGCAAGATATTACTTTGCTGCAGAGGGATTTAGATAGACTGGGGGACTGGGCACTCAAATGGCAGATGAAATTTAATGTTGAAAAAGTTATGCACTTCGGCGTAAAGAATACACATGCAACGTATACCCTTAATGGAAGCGAATTAGGGATAACAACACACGAAAAGGACTTGGGAATTGTTATAGACAACAAACTATGCAACAATGTGCAATGTCAATCAGCAGTGGCCAAGGCCAGTAAGGTATTGTCATGCATGAAAAAGGACAGTCATTCTCGGGACAAGAATATCATTTTGCCTCTTTATAAATCACTGGTAAGACCCCATATTGAATATGCTGTGCAATTTTGAATATGCTGTTCTAAAGAAGGATATTATGGCACTAGAAAAAGTGCAGAGGCGGGCTACAAAATTAATAAAAAGGAATGGAACATATGGGCTATGAAGAAAGGTTAACAAATTTAAACCTATTTAGTTTAGAAAAACGTCGCCTGAGAGGGGATATGATAACATTATACAAATATATTCGGGGCCAATACAAACCATTGTGTGAAAATCTAGTCACAAACGGACTTTACATAGGACACGAGGCCATGCGTTTAGACTGGAAGAAAGAAGATTTCGTCTAAGGCAAAGGAAAGGTTTTTTTACTGTTAGAACAATAAGGATGTGGAATTCTCTGCCTGAAGAAGTGGTTTTATCAGAGTCCATACAGATGTTCAAACAGCTACTAGATGCATACTTGCAAGACACGAATATTCAAGGATATAATCTTTCAATGAAGGGTAATAACTGCTTGATCCAAGGATAAATCTGACTGCCATTCTGGGGTCAAGAAGGATTTTTTTTCCTAGCTTGTTGCAAAATTGTGCTTCAAACTGGGTTTTGGATCAACAGCAAAAAACAAATGTGAGGTAGGCTGAACTTGATGGACGCAAGACTCTTTTCAGCTATGTAACTATGTAAATGTTTCAAATAAATATATAAACAAAGAGCACAGCTAGGGTGGGGAATTTAATGGTGATTTGTTGCTCTGTTCTAGTGACAAAGATCAGATCTCGTACGACAATTATATGAAAGTTACAGAATATTTTCAAGCCGATTAATTGTCTTCCACAACTGGGTATCAAAACTGCCTTTTAGAACATAAACCTAGGACACTGGTGTCTCCCATCTATCACACCTTTCTAATGATTGAAACATACTCACAAGGGAAGTTGTGCATGAAGCATGCCTGGGCTGTGATGATCCACTCTGCTCGTGTCTCACAGAATATGGCAATGTTAGACTTTGGTTTCTGACCAAGTTGAGCGAGACCATTTCCGAACTGAGCAGCCAACGAGTAGACCTCTTCAAATGTCAACCAATTGTAATTCCCCAAGATCACCTGGTGAAACGTAAACAATGAGTATAGATTACGAACACTGAGTGCTAGTTAACATGTAGCTGTAAATAGGGTGTCCCCAATGTATGCAACTGTAACCATGCATGTCAAAACCAGATAAAGGACCACAAAGTAAAGAAAACAAAAAGACCAAAAAAAAAAAAAAAAGACACCATAGTAAAAAGTACAGATTTAATTTTTTATTTTATTTTTTTTTTAACAATTATAGAAAACGTGTAAATATCCCACGTTCCCCAACACACAGTAATACGTCCTGTGATGCCACCATTGTTGTTAAACAAGCAACAGACATTTCACCTACTATGGGCCTGGGCCAGGCTTCTTGCTTACCCTGAATTACACTGTGTGACGAGGAGCAGAAGGACACTTTACTTATTTGTTCTTGTGTTTTAGTCACCCTGTACCCATTATAATATGGTTAAATGTTTTGTGTGCTCTCATGTCTTGCGGTCAACTAAATAGATTTGTCTCTGGAGCCTGTATGGCTCTGTTGGTAGCAACAGCTATAAGCACTACCTGAATAGCAAGGCTTGTTAACTTACATATTCAGGTAGATTTGCATACTGCTAAATCTGCAGGCAAGACAGAGATCTTGTGTTAAATATTGTGTTCCCAACCCCTTTATAAATATGTTATACATTTCTTGTATGTTTTCAGACAAGTTTTGGTTATTTGTATTTTACCAAGTTTGTCATAGCAAGCTTGATGTAATAAGCATATGGGCTAGTCCCATATAAAAATAAACAAAGCGGTGCATCGTTACTTTTGGAACGGTGTTTTGTGAGGATTTTTTAGGGATCCCAGTAACAGTCTTCAGACCTGATGCTGATGCTTTAGCCCTGGGATAAATCAAGAGAACTAGACCTGAGAGCTGCAAGTGCCTTTGTAAAGGCAATAGCAACCACAATGCAAGCAGAGGTGGATACCTACCTGGAAGAAGTGCTGCAGTGGAACAGGCAGATGGGGCGATGCCAGCCTGGTCAGGTGGAAAAGCTCCAGAGAGACACCAGTTGGCAGGAGTTTAAGCGCTCCAGGCTCCTTTCCATACGGCTAGGAAGCGGATACTTTGTCGGAGTACAGGAGCTCCGTCACACCAATAACTTACTCGCTTCTCCCAGTCACCACACGCCATCTTCTGCATCTGGAAACCGTAGCTGCCAGGCAATAAAGCGTCACGTGGTGACCTCTGTAAATTCCCTCATGCGGAACTCAGCTGAAGGCAGGGAGGTGATAGGGTGAATAATCTATCGTAATGTACTGGACTGGCTGTCAGCAATCACACTCCTATCAGTAGCAACACTGCATAAGCTGGGATCTCCCTGATCACAGCATGTACTGGCTGATAGGAGTGTGATTGCCATCAGCATGTTCAGTTAATGCCAGGTTGGTTAAGAAATAGTGTTACTTTTTTTTTTACACTTTAAATGTACAGAATATCGCCACCACTTATCAGCAAACTGCCAGAAAGGCAATGTTTACATTTCATCCTAGTAACACCTCTAAAAGCAGTCACTAAAATGGCCACTAAAAGGTGCTACACCTATCTCAGTGCTGCATAGTGTGCAGCACCTACAATCAGCATCTCCAAACTCTGCATGGAGACGCTGAACACTCCCCATAGAGATGCATTGCTTTAATGCATCTCTACAAGGAGATACTGATTGGTGCAATGCATGTGCAATAGCCTCCCTACGCTGTCCTATGGAAAAGCATTGGATTGGCTAAGAGCATCAAGACTGATGACCTCAGCCAAAGAAGTGGTACCAGCTGTGGCAAGACTGGCACCATCTATGGACAAAAGGGGAAGTTGAAACACCTTTTTATTAAGAGGCAAGTTGTGCTGGGTACCTAAATAGTTAGTGTAACACTGTCAGTCAGGCATATAGGTTTGTTGTACGTGGTGTCAGAAGCAAGTTGTGCACAGAATTGACAAGCCATCCCAGAACTTTGTTCAGGGTTGGCTAATGCTTTCTTTTGGAAATGTATCATAATAACTTTGAAAATATTAAATTAAAAAAAACAAAACAAAAAAAAAAACCTTTTGATGAGGTATATAATATTGGTGTCAGAACAAAGACCATCGGTATTAAAAATAGCTGCTCGTTACTTGTTGATTGTCAATCAAATAAATGCCCTCTAAATAATACAAAGGACAGAAAATGTAGCTAACAAATAATTAAAACCATTTGGATACCATTTTTCAGACAATTGCATGACAAATATTAGAATGTGCACAAAAAAGGGTATACATCTATTCTAATTTAAATTAAAACAAATTCAGATAAAAAAAAATTAAATTGCCAAGTCACCTGTGATTTCAGTTTGTCTTTTTTGGCCCTAATCTTTTAAATCCACATAGCATTCACTTTAGTAAATGAACCTCAATGATTAATAAATTATTTATACTAATAATTCATTTTTGCACGAACAGTCATTTATCCTTTCTATTCCGCGTACTCTAGTTCCTGTAGGTTGAAATAGACCAGTCGCCTGCCCCCATACAATCATTCGGCTGTGGTACACAAAATAAATAAAAGGTTTTTTTCTACAAGAATGTAGCTGAAAATTAAATTTTTCAGACTGACACTAAAGCCAACAAGACATTTTCTAGCTAAAAGGGCTATACCCTAAAATACACTTTATATATATGTGTGATAGTCTGGAGCCTGTCTCAGTAATGCATTTGACCTTTCACTCACAGAAATGAACAGCAGGAGAAAAACTCAAAAAGGACACTACTACCCTCTAGTGACAAGAAATAAAACTACAGATATGATCATTCAGAGGGCATTTTACCACAGATGACAAAATATTGTATTTAGAACATCTTTGTTGTAATACTAAAGAACACACCTTTAAAAAAAAAATAAAAAAATAAAAAACACATTTGCCCTTCGTGTAAATAGAGACTATGATGGACAGAGGATAAAGACTTTGGTGGTCTTCAATTTTCCCACAACCTAAGAAACTGAAAATAAAAGGTGGTGGTGTAGGGTTTCTGCTCTCACCTCACTGCTCCTTCAAACCTCTACCCACACCCTCTTCCCTCTCTTTCGCATCATTTGAGATTCATTCAATCAGCCTTTTCAAACCCATCTCTGCCAGCATTGCTGTTATCCATCGTCCCCCTTGTTCCCCACATCTCTTCCTTGACCACTTTGCTGCCTGGCTTCCTTACTTCCTCTCCTCTAACATTCCATCTGTAATTCTCAGAGACTTCAACATTCCCATTAACCCAGCAACCTCAAAACTACTTTCTATTACCTCCTCCCTTGGGCTATCACAGTGGGCTAATTCCCCCACGCATATAGCAGGCAATACTCTAGACCTTATTTTCACTCATGAATGTCCAGTCTTTAACATCTGCAACACTCCATTTCCTCTCTCAGATTATAATTTCCTACCATTTGCTCTCAATAGCCCCCTTTAACTCAGAAGGAATCTGCATTCTATAAACCTCCAGCAGCTGTCAGCTGATATCGATTCCCAACTATTATCCATTCCTGCTTACTCATGTCCCTCACTGGCTATCTCCTCATATAACTCTACCCTCACCTCAGCCTTGGACACTGCAGCCCCCCCTCCAAATACGCACCTTGAGGAGAATATGTCCCCAACCGGGGCACACTAAATCAACACGCTACCTGCAGAGATGTTCCCATTCTGCTGAACGTTGCTGGAGGAAGTCTCACACAGAGTCAGACTTTCTACACTACAAATTCATATTGCGTTCCTACAGCATAGCCCTTGCCAAACAGTCATACTTTTCTTCTCTTATTCGCTCATGCTCTCGCAATCCCAGGAGTCTCTTTAAAGGACCACTATAGTGCCAGGAAAACACACTTGTTTTCCTGGCACTATAGTGCCCTGAGGGTGCCCCTACCCTCAGGGTCCCCCTCCCGCCCGGCTCTGGAAGGGGGAAAGGGGTTAAAACTTACCTTTTTCCAGCGCTGGGCGAGGAGCTCTCCGCCCCCAATCCTCCTCGTCGGCTGAATGTGCACGCGCGGCAGGAGCTGCAGTTTGAGTCCCCATTTACAATGCTTTCCTATGGACGCTTGCGTGCTCTCACTGTGAAAATCACAGTGAGCAGCACGCAAACGCCTCTAGCGGCTGTCAATGAGACAGCCGCTAGAGGCTTTGGGGGAAGGCTTAACCCATTCATAAACATAGCAGTTTCTCGGAAACTGCTATGTTTATAAATAAAATGGGTTAACCGTAGCTGGACCTGGCACCCAGACCACTTCATTAAGCTGAAGTGGTCTGGGTGCCTAGAGTGGTCCTTTAATACCTTTAACTCTCTTCTTTGCCCTGCTGCGGCCACCCCCAAAACTAACCTTACAGCTGATAGTTTTGCATGCTACTTTACTGACAAGATTGAACAGCCAAGGAAAGAATTCTCACCACTCTACCCCTCACTTTCTCAACCTCACCTGGATCATGCCTCTCCAACCCTTCCGACTTTCTCCAAGGCTACTAAACAAGAGGTGGCTGCGCTTATCCTTTCCTCTCGGCCCACCAATTGCCCGCTTGATCCTGCTCCATCTCACATTATCAGATCTCTCTCTTCTTGTCTTGTGCCCTCACACATATTCAACTGCTCTCTTTCTTCTGGCACTGTTCCTGTTGTCCTTAAACATGCTACTGTAGTACCTTAAAGAAACCATGTCTCGACCCATCCTCCCCCTCTATCGTCCTATTTCCCTGCTCCCTTTTTCCTCAAAGCTTCTTGAAAGACTAGTCTTCACCCGTCTGGCCTGCTTCCTCAACACCAACTCTCTACTTGACCCTCTTCAGCCCAGCTTCCGCCCCCTCCATTCTACTGAGACTGCCCTTATCAAAGTTACGAACGACATTATCACAGCTAAATCCAAAGGTCACTACTCCATACTAATTCTTCTTGACCTCTCTGCTGCTTTTTACACTGTTGATCATGTTCTCCTTCTCAAAACTCTTCAATCACTCGGTCTCTGTGACTCTTTCCTCTCGTGGTTTTCCTCTCATCTCTCCCAACGCTCATTCAGTGTCTTCTTTTCTAATGATACCTCCACCATTCGTCTTGTCTCAGTTTGAGTCCCCAAGGCTCTGTCCTTGGTCTATTTTCTCTTTATACTGCCTTTCTTGGCAAACTTATTACCTCTTTTGGATTCCAATACCACCTGTACGCTGATAACACCCAGATATAGATGATCTCCCTGGACCTCTCCCCTGATGTCCTGCAACGTGCCACCTCTCGCCTTTCTTCTATCTCTGATTGGATGTCCTCCCGTTTTCTGAAATTGAATCTTTCCAAAAATAGAACTTCTTGTCTTTCCTCCTCCTAATACTAATCCCCCTCTCTCGCTCTTCCTTCAGATTGGTGGTACCCATATCAGCCCATCCTTACAAGCATGTGGTCTTGTTGTTCTGTTTGATTCTGGCCTCACCTTTGAACCTCACATCCGATCTGTTGTCAAATCATGCCAATTCCACCTCAAAAACATCGCCCGCATTTGCCCCTTTCTTACACAAGATGCTACTAAAGAGCTTGTCCGTGCTCTAGTAATCTCTTGCATGGACTATTTTAACTCTCTCCTAATTGGTCTTCCCAATAGCCATTTTGCCCCGCTACAGTCTGTAATGAATGCTGCCGCCAGACTAAAATTTTCCTCTCTAGTCGGTCCTCTCACACCTCACCTCTCTGTCAGTCATTACATTGGCTTCCTGTATACTATAGGAGTCAATTCAAAGTGCTAACCCATACCTATAAAGCACTGAATAATCTTAGCCCCTCTTAAATCTCACAGATCCATAGGTATGCCCCTTCTCGGTCTCTCCGCTCTGCCCGTAACCTTCTTCTGTCCGCTGCTCGCACCCGTACGGCCAACTCGCGCTTGGCTCCCCTTCCTATGTAATAGCCTCCCTAGTCTTCAATCATTTAAGAAGTGCCTTAAAAACACATTTCTTTAGGAAAGCCTACTGCCTAAACTCTACCTCACATACATGTCTCTTGCGCTCTCCTAAAGGGCAGCACTCTACTCTCTCCTCCAGCTCTTCTTCACTTCCACCTAATGTGTTTTATACTCCACCTCCTATAGACTGTAAGCTCGTTTGAGCAGGGCCCTCTTCAACCTATCGTTTCTTTAAGTTTTCTAGTAATTGTCCTATTTATAGTTAAATCCCCCCTTAATAATATTGTAAAGCACTACGGAATCTGTTGGCACTATATAAATGGCAATAATAATGATGATAATAGCATCCATAGAAGATATTTGATACCTCTGATTCATAAAGCAAGAATACTCAAAGCTGCAGAGGTAGGCAACCTTTGGCACTCCGGATGTTGTGACTGCATCTCTCTTGAGGATTTGGTAGCATTATGGGATATGTAGTTCTCAAGGATTGTGTTTGCAAACCTTTGGCACTACAGCTGAACATTGGAAATGTCATTAACAAGACGAGTGTCAATCACAGTCATTTTGATTATTTTTGATCCCAATGGACTAAAACTTCCAGAAAAGAGTGCTATCAGGTTGTTCTAGAGCTAGACTATAACAAAACAGTGCAATATGCTATAGCACTCTTAAGAAGACCTGAAACAGATAAATAGGGACACAGAAGCCTTAATATGGGACTAAATATAGAATACATGTCCTTGTCTATAGTATGTATTCTTTGCTCAAACTACAGGCTTCAAAGCCTCCACAAATACAAAATAGTTGACACAAACGATCAGGTGATGCTCTATCACCCACAAAAGGATGGTGTATAAGGTATGGCTGCTAAACTTCGTCCGCAGTTGCTACACCTAAAGAACAGACAATGGGTATTTAAAATGAATATACACTGAACAAAATTATAAAAACGGAACACTTGTTTTTGCCTATATTTTTCCAGAGCTGAATTTAAAGCTCTAAGACTTTTGCTATGTACACAAAAGGCCTATTTATCTCAAATATTGTTCACATCTCTTTCTAAATCTGTGTTAGTGAGCATTTCCTTTGCCGAGATAATCCATCCACCTCACAGGTGTGAAATATCAAGATGCTGATTAGACAGCATGATTATTGCAAAAGTGTGCCTTAGGCTTGTCACAATAAAAGTCCACTCTAAAATGTGCAGTTTTATCACACAGCACAATGCCAAAGAGGTTGCAAGTTTTGAGGGAGCATGCAATTGGCATGCGGAATGCAGGAATGTCCACCAGAGCTGTTGCCTGTGAACAAGAGGACAGTCTTAAATTAGAGGGACAAAAGGTTTAAAAATAATATCAGGAAGTATTACTTTACTGAGAGGGTAGTGGATGCATGGAATAGCCTTCCAGCTGAAGTGGTAGAGGTTAACACAGTAAAGGAGTTTAAGCATGCGTGGGATAGGCATAAGGCTATCCTAACTATAAGATAAGGCCAGGGACTAATTAAAGTATTTACAAAATTGGGCAGACTAGATGGGCCGAATGGTTCTTATCTGCCGTCACATTCTATGTTTCTAAGTTTCTCTACCATAAGCAGTCTCCAATGGCGTTTCAGAGAATTTGGCAGTACATCCAGCCGGATGAGTGGGTAAATGCTCACATTCGATGGCGTCTGGCACTTTGGAGAGGTGTTCTCTTTATGGATGAATCCTGGTTTTCACTGTCCAGGGCAGATAGCATGTATGGCAGTTTGCTGATGTCAACGTTGTGGATCGAGTGGTCTATGGTGGTGGTGGGGTTATGGTATGGACAACGAACACAGGTGCATTTTATTGATGGCATTTTGAATGCACAGAGATGTGATGAGATTCTGAGGCCCATTGTTGTGCCATTCATTCACGACAACCATCAACTCATGTTGCAGCATGATAATGCACGGCCCCCTGTTGCAAGGATCTGTACACAATTCCTGGAAGCAGGAATTGCATGGCCAGTATACTCACCGGACACGTCACCCATTGAGCATGTTTGGGATGCTCTGGATCGGCGTATACATCAGTGTGTTCCAGGTCCTGCCAATATCCAGCAACTTCACACAGCCATTGAAGAGCAGTGGACCGACATTCCACAGACCACAATCAAGAACCTGATCCAACTCTATGCGAAGGAGATGTGTTGCACTGCGTGAGGCAAATGGTCACACCAGATACGGACTGGTTTTTGAACCCCCCAGATCCCTCCAATACAGTAACACTTCACATATTAGAGTAGGCTTGCTTTTATTGTGGCCAGCACAAGGCAAACCTTTGCAATAATCATGCTGTCTAACCAGCATCTTGATATTTCACACCTGTGAGGTGAATGGATTATCTCGACAAAGGAACAATATTTGAGAGAATTAGGCCTTTTGTGTACATAGAAAAAGTCTTGAATCTTTGAGTTCAGCTCATGAAAAATGGGGGCAAAAACAAGTGTTGCCTTTATAGTTTTGTTCAGTACATACATACACTCACACATCTGTCTACTACTGAAAGCAGTTCACCCACCTTTTTAAACACCTTCCCATTAGGCTGGACTTCATCCTCCTCATTCAGTACCTCTCTAGTTCCTAGACAATGATTGGTTTTAAAATTGTCCGTAGCTTGTTTGAAGACCTTGTCCAGAGTATCGCAGCCTGGGTAAATGGAGGATGCCAAAGTATGGAAACTGTCAACAGATCTGTACGGACTGCCAGGATGTTCTGCTAGAGGTTTGGCTTTTATTCGCTTTGCACGCTTCTGACGCTCTCTTGCACCAGAAATCAGGAACCAGGGCACGAATGTGATAACGCCATACAGCCACATAAAGAAGTGCAAGAGGTAGAGAAGAATCGGATTTATATCTTCCTTTATCTGCATTCTAAAACGTTTTGGTTCAAGACAAGTCAAAAACGGAGATGGTGTAAACAGAAAGATACCTGGAGAAAAAACAAGAAAAGAAAAAAAAAAAAACATGCATCATACAACTATTCGAACAGACATGTACCTACTAATCAGTAAATGTAAAGCACTACATAGTTTGTCACTAGGAATGCAGTGACCCTCTGCTATACATGAAAAAAAAAAAAAAAATATAAGTGTAATCCAAAGCAACCATGGAAAGCCATGTGTCCTTTACCATCCATTAGATCGATGATGAGCTGCATACTTTCACTCCTTTGCTCTGGAGTCCAGCTTCGGACCTTTCCCCATAGGGATGCATTGATTTAATGCTTTTCTATGGGGCGGACCTAATGTGTGTGTTACTCGCCAGGCATGCGCATTAGCGCCTCCTCGGCCGTAACATTAAAATAGGTGGAGCCATAACCCAGTGCCGAGGAAATCAGCACTCTGATAAGGTAAGTTTTAAGGGGGGGAGGAGGGGCACAGAATCTATAGTGCCAGGAATACAGCTTTGTATTCCTGGCACTAGAGTATCCCTTTAAGAGGGCTATATAAACCCTAATATTTCATTTTACGGTACAGAGTATGGCTTTGTCGGACATATTACTTAGGAACCAAAGTAAAGTGGCAATGCTCAATGTAAAATGGGTGCCAAAATATATATAAAATTTGAAAAAAAGAGATGCACTCTGTGGTCTTTATAAAGTGAAGTGGTACTTTAATCCATATAAAAGTTTACATCCATCTGATCTACGTTTCAACCCATTTGGGTCTTCCTCAAAAAACAATGTATTAACCTAAAAAAAAAATAATAATATATACACACTATTCCTATTACAATCTAGACGATATCCAACACTCTAAAATACATGAACAGAGCTCTGCTGTAAACACGCTAAAATACATGAACATAGCTCTGCTGTAAACATGGCTGGAAGAAGTGTGTACCAGCATGGAAACCAGACTGCTAAAATAAATAGATAAGGAACAATAATACAAGGAGCTGAAACGAGACAGAATCATCCCTCAAAAGTCGTGATTTTTGTGAGCTTTTGGATTGTCAAAACTGTATTGCCATCGATTATTAGCATACTTGTTAAACTTTTTTTGAAAAAACAGCTGAAGACAGTTCAACTTCAGTTTAAAGAATGACACTTATGTTACCAAAACCGAACACATCAGATTTGAACCCTGTTTAAAAAGCTATAGTTTAACCAAAATCAGCCAATAGTTACTACATCACAAAAGTAAAAGGCAGATAGGTAGATGGGCACGAAAGTGGATCCCCTTGAGGCACAAAAAAAAAAAACACCATCCACAAGCTGTGATAATATATAGGAGTCCTATAGGAACCAAATTTTGTCATAAGCCGACAAGGAAAAGCAAAGTTTTTAAATGTAACAGTCCAACTGTTAATTACTCACTTAACCCCTTAAGGACCAAACTTCTGGAATAAAAGGGAATCATGACATGTCACATGTCCTTAAGTGGTTAAAGGAGAGACCGTGAAAACTGTCACAAACAAAAGTTATGATACAGAATAAAGAGAATATATTTACTTCTGAAATGCTCCATTTACCACGTGCGATACATCCACTCTGTCTAAAGAGACCAGGAGGTGGCAGAGTTTTCCAAGTCAGACGTCATCACCCCAGTGTTTTCACTGGGAGTTTTGTGCACAACCCATAAACCACTGGGAAGTAGAAATTTATGGGATAAATAATTCAGTAATCGCAAAATAGCTTAATTAAAGGAGGCTGCCTTTGGGGTTAAACCGTTCAAGAATGGTTTAACCCAGGTGTAGGCAATTTTTGGCACAGATGATGTGGACTACATCTCACATGAATGCTTTGCCATCATTATTCCTGTAAGAACATTAAGTCCACAACATCTGAAGGTTGCCTACCACTGTTTTAACGCATTAAAGAGCGTGTCTGGAGACCTCCTGGCACCACAACAACTTAATTTAGATGAAGTTGTTTTGGTTACCGAAGTGCTCCTTTACAGGGATATTTTAAGCACTGTGTGGGTCTAACCCAAGGAAGGTGAGATAGAACTGCTAAAACAAGGTGATTTCATTCCTAAAAGGCAGAGAATTAAGGCGGCAGGGGCCATCTGCAAAACTACTTTATCAAGTTAAAGGGACAATATAATCACTAAAACAACTTTAGCTTAATGAAGCAGTTTGTGTGTATAGACCATGCCTCTGAGGTTTCACTGCTTAATTTTCTGCCATTTAGGAGTTAAGTCACTTTTGTTTCGGTTTATGTAGCGCTAGCCACATCTCCCCTGTCTGTGACTGACGCAGCCTGCATTGGGGGGGAAAAAAAAATATTTGTTTCCATTTTAGATTTTACTTTTTGAAGTTTTTATCTCATGCTCTGTAAATTGAATCTTAAAATCACACATACAGGAAGCTCTTGAAAGGTCTAGCAAGCTATTAACAGTGCATCGGGGTAAGAATTTTTTCCCCTCACAAATTATAAGGTTACTCTATGCACCATGACCACTTCAGTTATTGTAAGTGGCCATGGTGCCTGGAGTCCATGCGTGCAGCATTTCACTAAGAGTACAGAATTTAACACATTTTCCTGGTGGCTAATGCACTTTTGGACATGTTTGGAATCTGTCGCCAGGAGCCATAGCATGCTGGCGACAAAGCGCATGGCTGCACAGCTCCTTGCACCATGCCAGCCTGGTCCTCACCTCAGACTAAGAGAGAACGTGGCCTTGGTGCTGGAATGGAGGTGTGTTTTAGTCATTTTTTCCTCGTTATTTTTTTGGGGGGGGACCAGAATAGGAAGAGTTACTCTGACCAAAGCAAGTGTTTTCTTAAAAACACTTTTTTTGAGTTGGAGTAACCTTTTAAGGAATGTAAACACTGAAGAATGATTGAAAAGTTTATGGTGCAGATTGTATCCTGTGCCGGCTCTACCTTATAGTGTAAAAGCGGTGTTAGAAGTATATATATATATATATATATATATATAATTCGTTAGGGGGTCATATGACAAGTTTCCCTCTGAACTCTGTGTAGCCTGTTAACATGGTGACTCCTGTGATGATGCAGGAAAACCTGTAAGAGTCAATAGTAAACTGTAGTAGATTTATACATCATGTGTATGTCACAAGATTTGGACTAGTGTGAAGAGGTATGATGGTATAGAGTGTGGGAGAAGAAAAGATTAGCATCAGCTTTTAAACAGAACTCCCCTTAGCCACGGCTAGAGAAACAAGTCAGAATTTTGTGACGAGGGAATAACTTGTTTCACGTGACAGAAGAGGATGCAGAGAAGTGACCCAGAGTAAACTCAGACTTTTGCACAACTACACCTTACTTTGAATAACCAGGAGGAGGAAACTTGCACTGCAGCAGCACCAAAACAATACATGTGTATTTTAGGCTTATCCCAGCCACCTAGAAGCTACATCTTTGAGCCACTCATCAATTAAACAAACAAAAAACACTTGATACATGAATCTTCAAAAAGGAAAGCGTAAACTTGATTGTACCTGATGCTTACTTTCCTGGCAATATGCATGGCAGTACTACACATGGTAGCTACTAACCACAAATGACACTGCACAGGAATACACCCCCACAGCAATAAATGACACCCCATCCCTCATGTCACACAAATGTAACAGAAAGGGGGGGGGCGGGATCAATCAATCTCTGGAGGAAGACTGGCCACTCTTCCGCGGATATATTCCTGGTCTCTTGCGGCCAGAAACATGCTGGCCATAAATTGAGAACCTACACCACAAGGATTTACATCATTAACTTGGCTCAGTTAATAGTGCAATCCATCAAATCACAGCAGGTTACCCTAGACACTACCCCTACACACTAAAGAAGTACCTGCAGATGCACTGTAAACAGCAACTTACAAAAGGATGAGAGGCTAACCTCATCTAGGCAAGGAACAAGACTGAAGTGGGGCCTGCAAAATGAGCTCAAGATAAATCCAAAAGGGTTAAGATTGAAGATTTAGAAAAAGCTGGGGGATAAGGGGAGCCTGACAGCAAAGCAGACCAGCCGCATATCTTGTGGGATCTAGGGAAAAAGTGCTAAAGCAGCCTAAATCACTAGTTTTATGCCTGAATTTCTACTATTGACCTCTCCAGGAAACAGAGGGCGATCACGGCAGTCGAGATCGGTGGCTGTTATTGGGAGCAGATGTGAGGCCTACTCACAGTACCGGGGGGGGGGGGTACAGTCTCTCCTTCCATCTCTGCCCCCCCCTGCCGGTGGGGGTTATCCTGGCACACTCTATTTGTGCTGCGGTGACTGATTGCCAGCAATATGCCCTCCACCGCAATCAGCCTGCAGAGACCAGCAAGGGCACCTTCAATGGCACACTAGCAATGGCGGACGCCACATGTCACAGTGATCTTCAAGGAGTGCTGGCCAGAGCTCTCTCAAGACTGGACAGCATTTTTGAAGCATTCTGGCAGAACCTACACCGCCCCACAAAACCTGCTAACCCGCTCACCGGGGAAATCTACTAGTCATCCTCGGGCTCAACCTGTGGCTACCGACTCACGGAAAATGCGCCTCAGGCGGAGAATGCAGAACTCGAGACGGGCTGTGACCAGGCCTGCTCCAGGGTTACAGGGAGCAAGCCCTAAGATTCTTAAGCGGGCAGCAGACAGAAGAATAGGTGCACAGAGGGAGCCAGAGAGGCTGCACAGTTTTCCTGACTTCACACCCACAGCTCTCAAACTACCGGACTGACAAACCCACGCTGACTTATGGGACACTACCTTGCCTGTCGCAGGTATTGGCTGACTTTGGCCTAAACATGGCCTTGCTTGTCTAGCCGCTCGATTTTCTACTGTGCTTGATACATGTTTTTTACTTCCTGGCAGAGAACACAGTGGGCTATTTACTACTGAGCATTGTGGATCTTTATTCACCTATGGGGTCCTGTGGGGTGGGATACTGGCTGGTCAGCAGTCATCGAGTTCCTATCTCTCCAACATATTATATACATGTCTAGAATGTTTTAGCTTGATTCATAGCATTGTTTTGTCTGCATCTTAGACATTTTGCTGCAGCTTGTTTATTCTTCCATTATGTACACAATGCAAAATCTATGTGCAAATTACTCTGATAAAGACTAACCTAGCTTGTTTTCTTTACTACATTTAGCAATTTAACAACCACCCTATCTGGTGGTACATTATGTTGTTTCTAAGCTACTCCGTGCATATGCTTAACCTGGTTCATTTATTTGGGGTTTTAACGCCAAGTACTGTATTCTCTTTTCTTGCCATAATTATTAAAAATGTGCATTATTAACGCTATGCCATACAATTGTATTACTATGCCTTTTGAATTGTTTGCTATAGCTGTCGAGGCTCTGCAAGTCTGTTTGTAACTACATACAGAACAAAAATAAAGAATAAAAAATTTTAAAAAAAAATGTAAAAAAGCAATAAAGGCTGTATATTAGTAAACTAAAATTGGTTAGTGGCAAACAACTCCTTTTGGTGTGACACACTGACTTCTGTCATGCCAGCCACAGATATCCTCTAATTTTGGAACGTTTGCAGATCATCATCAGAATTACATGAACCTGCTAGAGAAAACATTTGCTAGAGACAGGACTAGAATTCTATAATAACTGCAAGGAGAGGTACTTTTGTCCATGCATTACATAGCATAGGAAAGGCATGCACAAAATAAATAATTCAAAAATTAAAATAATTCTAGTTTTTCAGTCAAAGGTCCTCTTTAAAAGGAAATGAGTAATTGTGGATTCTCCAGTTTTCTGTGTATTGAAGTTCTGTCTGTTCCAAAACAAACCTTACACATTGCTTGGCTTACTACCACTAAATGATGTGGAACAAACATCTGCATGTGCAGAGTAGCATAATCTATTGGAATCTTTTTCTTACTTAATATTTTTAAGATTTTAAACCACACAGGATGTATATCAGCAAAAGCGTGAGCATCAGACAGAAATTCAGAAATTAAGCGATCTACTTTTAGGTTAGCTTAGCTTTCTGTTTACTAGTCTGAAGTGCCAGGAGCCAAAAAAGAGACCTGCAGCATGAAGAGGGTGGCAACCGCAAGGGACGGCCTGGTGTAAGTAAAACGTACCTCACCTGCACCCTGCGTTTACTGTAACCACAATGGATCTGCCCTTTTCAGGAGTCTTTACGAAATATGTAAAAAGCCCAGAAATTGACATATTTGATTTAAACTGCGTTTTATAAGAGGGAACATGAAAAAAATATATGGTGGTCTAAAAGAGGAATCAGAACACCAGTTAGGAGTTTCACAACTACTTGCAAACCTTGAACTGATTTTATTTTATTTAACTTTCATAGTCTTAAAGTGAAATACCACTTGCAAATATGTTTAATATTGTGTTTACTTATCCCTGTGTTTAAACAAAAATGTATTTGTGAGGTGTGAAATATAAAGTTTGGGTACAAAACTTTATATTTGGAAATCCAACCTGTTTCCTAAAGAAAATAATTCAGGACACCAAGAAGAATGTTAGAAAGGTGAGTTTGTGTGCAAGAGTAGCATATTGATCCACTTTCTCCTCCCTGAACTGAACACTGCAAAGGAAGAGACCGGTGATTGAGCACAAACTAGTTCTACACAGAACAACAACACACATACCTTAATTATACGACAGGATCCTTCATCCATATACAAGCACCTTGGGTCCGACAGTGTTTGAAAACTGACAGTCTCCATAGGCCAAGCAGGGAGGACTATAGAGACGGTTTTCAAACACGGACCCAGGGTCCATGAAGGGTTCCATCGCATACTAAAAGGAAGGGATGGGTTATGTTCACTTATGCTTAATCGATTTCTTTTCAAAACTTAATAAAAAAAAATAAAAAATGATTATATTGAAAAATACTTTCAAAATAACTATAGTCCTTTAATGTGCAGTAAGAGAACTCTCAAGATGGACGTTACCACTTTCTCTACAGTTTCCCTTTCTGATGATTGAGGAATTATGGCTACCAATTTCACCAAGCTGCAGATATTGGATATACTTTTGGCATCTCCAATTGAACATTTATCTTGTTTTTACTTGCTTTCCAGATTAATATTTTTAATAAAAAATTTTTTATTTTTTATTTTTTTAATATTACAGACATGCTCACCAGGAGGACAATGGGGATTTGATTGACATATTGTAACTTTCGAGTACATTGTTTAAAATTAAAACTATGGAACTATAGCTGGGGGGGGGGGGAAGGGAAAGTTGTCAACGTCATACATGATTAGTCCTACTGGCCGAAACAGATGTGTTTGTTGTGTCACAGTTACCAATAAATATTATTTTATGTGCCCATCCTGGGAAGAAAGATTCTCCTTCTCCCCCCACGCCCCCCACTGTAATTTTAATTTGAAATTTTTATTTTTTTATTACTTGTGATGACTATTACACTTACAAGGCAATCATACAACATTCTTAAATCACTCCATGTTGAAATTTAGTTTTTTACTCCTTGTATTGTGTGACCTGTAACAACCAAAAATAAACAAATCCTACACATATGATGTACTCTGAATATCATAAAATAAATTCACTTATTTCTAATAACTTTTAGTAAGCTGCACTAATTATGCAGACATTTGTATTGCTAAACCTGTATGAGGGGAGGCGGAGGGGGCGGGGAGTATTTCCCCCAAATTGTTTAAAGAAAATGTTTTTAATAATAAATGAGAATGTATATGGAAAATCAAATTAAAGTCCTTTTTGTCCTTTAAAAACAGGCATATAATATGTGATGTAATAAATGAAAAGGCTGGAAATTGCAGTTAAACACACACAACAAAAATTACTTTGGTCCTTAAAGCAGTACGGTCACCGTGATATTGCAGATGTCAGGGGGCAGGTAAAAGTGAGATATTATTCGAACCTGTTCCTCACGGAACAAGTGTCACTGCTGAATTCTTGTGCATGCACTCAGTCTGAGGATCCACTGGTGTGGGTTGGGGGATTGACACTTCTAGTTGGTGGTAGCTCCACCCAGTGTCTAGAAATGTCAAACATAGGAAATATACTACTTTCACTCAGTTTATCTATTGACTGGGTTTGAATTTCAGTGAAATTCTAACACAGTCAATATGAGTATTTCATAAAGATTATCTAATTTTTCAGATGGAGAAGACAGTGGCACATTAAGTGAAAACTAGGTAAATATGTAAATACATAGTGCAAGAATCACTGTTTAGGTGTCCTGCTCCTCTTCCAGTGAAGATGAAAATGTTCAAACGTACCTTTTCTCCACAGCCGCACCAGTCTCGCCGTGGCTGTCCCCTCCTTCATGGCAGGGATCCTCAATCTTAACGATCTTAGCCCACCCGATGCTTTCCCAGCAAACCGCTGGGCCAATCAGCATCCCCTCATAGAGATGCATTGAATCTCTTTGGAGAACGTGAAGACGCTAAACGAAAGCCTTCAGAGTGACTGCCACAAGATGTGTTACTGAGCATCAATGTAAACACTTCCCTTTTTCTGACAAGGCAGTGTTTACAGTGCTAACACTGCAGGGACAGGCTATAGACAACAGAACCACTACATTAAGCTGTAGTGGTTCTCGTGACTATAGTATCCCTTTAAAGGGTTAAATATATGGAATAAGTAGAGAAACATTAAAAACCCTAGTTAGTGACTGTTCCTGCTTAATAAATAAGGCTGGATATTACTTTATTAACAGCAGACAGATAGGAATAGTGCAATTGATTTCATTCCTTTACATTATGCCTCCACAAGGCATGAGAGGAAGCACGTCATGTAATAGGATGTTACTCAGGCTGTCACTGAGTGATGGGAGCAACAAAGCTTCTTACTTCCTTCCCAGTCTCCTGTTAGCATAAAAATCAGATACAGGCTGAGCCGACAGCACCAGACACATAGGAAAAAGAAGTGCACGGTACCAAGGAATAACCTAATTCCCACTTTCAGGAATAGATGGCTGGTTTAGTTAGAGTGCAGTCTTCAACACTAGAATTACATTTCACATGAGAACTTCCCATACTATTCAAAGTGATCTCTTCAAACATTCTAAGACACTTAACTGCAGTGATTACCCACATTCTAATTGTTATTCCTCTTAGTCCCTCGATAGAAATCCTCAACTATTCCCCTTAAACTAATAATCTGGTGGAGGACGATAGAATCTATAAAAACGAATGTCCAATTCAGAGAGAGGCTACTCTGATTCCATATTGAGCATTATGGACGGCAAGATAACATTATGTATATACACTGATCAGCCACAACATTAAAATCACTAACAGGTGAAGTGAATAACTGATTATATAGTTACAATGGAACCGATCTAGGGGTGGGATATATTTTAGGCAACAAGTATACAGTCAGTTCTTGAATTTCATATGTTGGAAGCGGGAAAAATGGGCAAGTGAAAAGATCTGAGTGATTTTCTCAAAGGACAGATAGTGATGGCAAGATGACTGGGTCAGAGCATCTCCAAATTGGCAAGTATGAGATATTGTTTGCATTGCGCAGGTGGAGGGAAAGCGGGACCCAATCACTGAAGCTTACCCCTCTCTTCCCCCATCCTAAATTTTTATTTTTTCCTCCCTGCCAAGGATATAGCCATGTCATGCTTCTGACTGTACTTGAATGACCTTAGTGGTTTTTCAGGAGGAAGGGCCAGCCTCCCTCTCTCTTGGAGGATTCCTGGGATGGGAACGGGGAGAGGCAAACAAAGGCTTGGTCCCATTCAGAACACTTTATTTTATTATAGGTACCCTTTTATGTTGTAACACACAATACAGAGATTGGGATAGTGATAATAGACTGATGGGAAATTGACCTCACTACAAACATACAAAATTAAGCCCTGCGTTCAAACTACTCCTGGGCGGCATCAATGATTACAGTACACAGCAGCTTAAAAATTTTATATATATACACACACACACACACACACACACACATATATACACACACACACACACACACACACATTAAAAGGTTCCCATGAGCAGTGGCCTACATAAATATTAAAAGATGTGAGACAACCAGCTGGTCACCTGGCCAAACTGAGCAGTCAGGAGAGAAGGGTCTTGGTAAAAGGTGACCGACAACTTGATGGTGAATCTGGATAGGCGTCTAAGCTCATGTGTGGAGATGGGAAAATTATTATTGCAAACTGGACGGACACAAGCCTCTCCTCACTGCAAGGCACATGAAAGCAACTAGGATTCTCAGAATTTCAGAAACAAGATTATCTGGTCTGATGAAACATTTAAAAGATTAACAGTTTAAAGTTCTGTTGTCTGAAGGAAACCAAGCATTTCTCATCCCAATTGTAATTCTGATGGTGACAACATCTTGCTTTGGGGATGTTTTTAAGTGGCATGGACTGGGAGGACTGAGAAAAAGTTGAACACCGCAAAATACTGAGATATCCTTAATGGAAACTTGGCCTGGACCCTAACCCAATTGAGAAACTCTCGAAAGACCTAAAAATTGCTCTCCAAAGACTGTACTCACTAACCTGACAAAGCTTGAGAGAATATACAGAGACAAATGGCAGAAACTATTCAAATGCTACCCAACTACCCAAATTTGCATCATACCCCAAAACACACATCAAGGTGGCAGTAAAACTTCAGGCATTTAAAGAAAAGTGTGGCAGTTAGAAAGAATAGTAGAGGGCAGCTAAAATAATTATTTTTCTTTAAAAGGGACACTATAGTCACCTGAACAACTACAGCTTAATGTATTTGTTCAGGTGAGATCTATAGCTCCCTGCAGGCAATCTAGTGTAAAAACTGTATTTTTCAGAGAAAATACAGTGTTTACATTGATTGATAGGAATACCTCCAGTGGCCGTCACTCAGACGGCCACCAGAAGGACTTCCTATCATGTAGGGCCCTAAAAAAGCCTTGTACACGTCAGACATATTAAGATACGTCTGACGTGTGCAGGAGAGAGAAGGCACTGTGTGCGCGCCTTCTCTCTCCTGCCTGTCAGCAGAGGGGAGGGGGCGGGCAAAGACCGCGAGCTGAGCTGTCAGTCAGCTCAGCTCGCGGTAGTGTGCTCAGGACTTCAGAGGGCGGCATTCTGAAGTATGTGCGCATGTGCGAATGGGGGATAACAAAAATGGCGCAATATTTAACTTTCAGACGCCATACTTAGATACAGAGGAATAGAATGGACTGACATGCACCTGATAAAAGACTAACTTTGTCGAAACACGTTGTGCTTGCTAGCTTTTTATATGCTACGTTTTATTTTATCTTGCTACGATTTTAAATGATTAAAGTCTACCTGTTTATATGAGTCTGAGTTCCTGCTTTTTGTTCAGACTGTGGAGGCAGAAGAGGTTGGTGAGACTACATAAAAGACCAAAAACAATGTGATCTCAGCCAGAGCCTGCTATATGAGGCTCTGGGAAATGTGAGCAGTTATGTGCCATTTCTAATTAATCACAGAAAATCTGAAAATACCATGGAGAGTGTTAGATTTTATGCTTCTTATACAGATTCAAGCTGTTATGTTTAATCGGCTTTCAATCTAAATTTGTCTGTATAAGTATCACAGTTTGTTTTCATGGTGATATTTATTTATGCTCAGTGATTGCACCCTCTATTTTATTCTTTAAATGTGAGCCTAGGTGGGTAATCATTGGCAATAGGGATGGTTGCAATAATGGTCTAGCGCCAAAGTGTTTCTGTTATATTGTTCATCTATTTATAAGCTGCACAGATGGTTACATACAACAAGGTGTAACTAGTGACCCGAGTCCCTTAGAGAAGGAACCAAAAAAAAAAAAGTTCTAAAAAAAAGTTTATTGTGCTTGTCCTCTACAGGAATGCCTCATTTTATGTAAGTGAGCGGCTTTTACTTACAAAATCAAAAATGTATTTTCCAGGCCAGCTAAACAGATTTCCTAGTAGCAGCGACGCAAGTCTCTCCTTCCCTTTTTCATGTGTACACATGTACTGCGGATGATCATCCAAAAAAAGCCAACACCCTGACACACTAACTTTTCAAAACACAGACCCTACCCTCTCCTGCCACCCAGATAGCATGTTAAGTGGGCTTCTTCAGAGTGTGTGTGTGTGTGTGTGTGTGTGTATATATATATATATATATATATAATTAGTGGGGGGGGGAGGAGAGAAACTGCATCACAGCATATATGAACTCACTGACATCAGAATTTATGCATACTAGGTGTTCATTTGTATTACATCTTTGGGAAGATTCAGCACAATCGGAATGGTCAAAAAGTGAGGATTTTTTTTAATTTTTTTTTTTTATATGCACCATTGAAATTGAGCACACCAAACACAAGCTGGACTACACTGTGCTTTAAGTATGTTCCAAGCAAATGTATGTGAATTTTGTAATGACCTAATGGTTAGTGCAGTACAGTCAATGATGGTATCTCAGCACACAAAAGCAGGTGCGCAGAACTATTTTTATAAATTTATTTTTTAAACCATTTTGGATGAAAAAGTTTACAAGCAAATTTAAAAACTAAAACATACATGATATCGGTATACATTGTGCTAGGAAGTTGTATACTTAAGGGTTATTCCAAGCACCATGATTACTAAATGGTTTTCCCCATTACTGGGGACCCAAGTCAAGGTACTCCTAGCATCATATAACCACTTCAGCACTTTAACATTTTAATATTTAAGAACTTGTTAAAGGGACATGCTAAGCATGAACCACTGCTTTGTGTGGGAGGGACGGTGTGTGTTGAGGGGGGTGATTAGACCACTTCTCTCAGTCTATCAGTGGCCCAATTCAAATGTTACATCAGCAGTGGGGCCTCCATTAAAGCGCCAGGAGAACCACATGTTTTTGACAACATGGTAGAAAATGATTTGACACAAAAGTGGACGGAAAGTGGACAAGTTCTCTTGAAGGGCAGCTTTAAAAAAAAAAAAAAAAAAGTGCCACTAATTTGTTGTAGGTTATTACAAAAAAAGTAATTATAGGTAAAGAATAAAGAAACATAAATCTCCCAGAAGCCAACATATGGGAGATCTAGATCTGCAAGTGAAAATAAAAAGGTAATATATGTGTGAAAGTGAGAAGGAATTTAATTAGATAAGCAGATGAGTACACATGACAGTGATTCACAAAGATGAGGAGTTAAGGGAGTCAGCATAATATTTTATTTAGCATCAGGGATCAAAAGTTGAAAGGGATGAAGGTAAAATATTTTTAGTCCTCGAATAAGTGAAAGCAAGAAATAAATGATTTCAAAACCCACACACTAACACTAGAGTTATCCTTGTTTTAGTCTCCTTTCTGTGGACTTACAGACTCAAATATGAGACAGATGGCATCTTGAATCACTTTGCCACTACAGTAAAAGCAGAGCATTCATCTGCCTGTCAAACATTATGGAAAGTCATGTCGCTTGCTGCTGGGTGATCGAAGGCTGTGACACCAACCAAGAGAGGTCGCTTCTTCCCATACTGCATACTTAACACAAGAGGGAACCAAAAAAAAAAAAAAAGATATATAATGGGCTAAATTGAAGGATCCCTGGATGCTCAGTCTGACATCCCCAACAACAGACAGACTACTAGATAGACACCCAGACATATTATAATAAACCATGTCTAAGCAAAAAAAAACAAAAAATTTTTATATATTTATTATAATCTGAAATGGGAACAATAACTAATACAGCCTCTCCAACAGATAGATTGTCGATAATGAAGGAAGTGCCATGCCAATTGATCACTGATACACTGCGAATGGCTTGCTACACAGCAGGTGAGAGCCATGCATAAAAGACAAATTGCCCTTCTACCAGTGAAATGTGTGGGAGGGGAGTTGTCTCTCAAAGCGTTCGTAACATTGCTGGTTCCAAAGTTAATGGATTCTTATTAAACAAATACTCCAAGCACAGTAATTAGTACACTCACTCCACCCCGCACCACCACAACCATAAGTAGTTAAAGCTCTGTGGGTTTAACTGCTCAACTATGGACCGTCAGGCACCGCTCCTCACAACCACGACTTCTGATAGATAGCAGGAAAGTCCTAAGCAGGAGTTTACATTATCAATGATGAGCTTTGCCGTGCAACGGGGATAACTCATTGGCAGAGGGTGTGCACTGATCACTGTCAGCCAAAGAGCCAAGTCCTAGCAGATGGTTGACCTCAAGAAGGAAATTCAAGTCATTCTAAAAGTGTTTGACTACTTACAATAGGGGAGCACTAAGACACTCCTGGCACCATAACCACTACACTGCAATGTGACCATGAACTCTTGGGATAACGTCGTCCATCTTTCAGCATTTTCATCACAAGCCATATATAAATAAACCCAGATTGAATCATACGTTTTATTGATATGAATATTAAGTAACAATACATCCCATTAAGTTCATTCTACAATTCAAACAGGTGGCCTTCTGAACCTTTTGTTTCATTTAACTTGCAGGCCTATATAAAAGAAGCATCCTTTCTATATACAAAAAGAGTCATTGTCCCTGCAAAAGACCAGGTCTTAAAAAGCAAAGAGAAATTCTCAAAAAGAGGCAAAACAAAAAAAAAAACAGAGGAAAATAAAAAAAAAAAGTTACACAAAAGGGATTCTCTATATTGTCCTAAAGAATAAACAAACAGAGAATCTTATGTGAGCCTCAGCAAAACAAAAAGAAAGCCGCAGTAACGGTGAATTCAAAGAAGGCCTTGCTTGAGCAGTTCCCAATCATGTGAATGAGAAAACACAAGCAGCAATTAGACAGACATTGGCTATCAGTCAAATGAGAAATTACTAACAGGATTATTTACGAAAATGAGAATTGAAAGGAACACTAAAGCGTTGGGTATACAAAAGTGTATTCCTACCGCTAGAGTGCCCCCAGCCATAAACCTCTAGTTGTTGTTGTTGCCAAACACAGGCATGACTGAGAAATGCTTTTCAAATTTCCACTTCATGAGCCAGCTCTGGGAGAGAGACTACAGTCCACATGCATGGTTGGGCAAATGAGGTTCACAGGCCCATTCACAGAATGGTTAGAGCATCTAATAAACCAGGGCTTGACAAATCCCAGACACCCAAGGGATTTGTGAGCCCATTCAGGCCCCTAGTTGACCGGCTGCCTGAGAACAGAGGCAGGCGCGGTTCATGGAGAGCTATGGGCTGGAAGCAGGCTGGGCTGGGCTTAAGGAGAGCTGAGGGAAGCAGGCTGGCGGGTGGTCGAATGAGCGCAGAGGCGGTGAGGGAGCAGTCATTTCCCTGCTCTGCTCCCTCGCACGCCCTACAGTGATGCCGGGAACCAGAATATGACGTTAGTCCGGCACCACATCACTAAATATCCAAAAGGGAAAGGACAGAAGCCACACTGGACCCAAGGGAAACTGATACACTTCAGCTCTCCCAAACTTAGATAAGTTGTGTGGACACATTAAAACAAAACAAATCATTTGTGAGTGTTTTAGAGGGGGAGAGGTGTTGACCATGCCTCCTCCAATTACATGGGAAAGGTGTTTTTACTCACCTTTTTCCTACACCATGGTGGTGATACCGTCACTTTTCAAACCTCCATGGCTGAGATCATCAATCTTAACAATCTCAGCCAATCCAATGCTTCTCCATAGCAAAGCATTGGGAGACTATTGCGCATGCGTGGCAAAACACCACGCCAATCAACTTGAATCAATGCATCCCTATGGGGAGCATTAACATAGGTGCTGCACACTGTGCAGCAAGGAAGCACCTCTAGAGGCCATCTGATTGTCACTAAAGGAGACACTAGGCAGCAATGCAAACACTGCCTTTCGTCTGAAAAGGCAATGTTTACATTGAAAAGTGTCCAGGGACAGGATATAGAACAACAATATTAAGCTGTAAAGGCTCCTGTGACTATAATGTCCCTTCAAGAATTGTATTTCTGACATTTAAAAACCTAGCTCATTGTTCGTCTTGGTGGTCGGGGGGCTCTTGGTAAAGAAACCCTTGTAATTTTGACTGAGAAACCCCATACTAGGTGCAATGCATAAAAGATGTGTGGCAGGAATAAATTTAGTTGTACTCTCCCCCCAAAAAAACCTAGCTCAGAATTTTTTTAGCTGGCTCCTAGATTGTAAGCAAATGTCAAGCCCTGTAATAAACCGACATAGTGTATACAATGCATCTTTAATGCAATATTCCGTGTTAGTTCTTCGATAATTATTCTATGCAAACATAAGTGTTATTTTACAGTTCAGAGTAAATTATGTAAAAAGAATTTGTGTTACTATGTTTCGACCTTTGTTAACAGAGCAACGTATTCGTACAACAAGGTGTGCCAACTGACTTAACGTATTTAGTGACTGGAGTCAAAACAGAACCATGACAAAAAAGGAATACAGAGAGCACAAACTTAAAGCCGCATTGTCAGTGGTGGCATTTTGTATTTTTCAAAAAAAACAAAACAAACAAAATATATACTGCCATGGTAACAGGCCTGCTTCCACAATAGCACCTGGAGAGGGGAGATATACTTACTTGAAACTCTCCCTCCTTGAGGATGAGTGACATCTCATGAAAAAGAACAAGAAGTTGCAATAAAAGTAGTATGCAGCTTCACTTTTCAGCACATTCTGCTATGAACTGGATAGTCCACAAGACAAAGTAATCTATCTTGTCTTATGCCCAGCGGTGTATTTACCGCGAGGCTGACAAGGCATTTGCTTTGGGCGGCACTTTCAGAGGGGCAGCTTTTTCTGTAGTAAAAGCAAGTCTTATGGCTTGCCTGATGTGTGTATGTGTTTACACACACACAAATGTATACCCATCATAAAAAAAATGCCTTTAAAAACAGCTACCCTTTAAAAATACACCTATAATCAAAAGAATAGAACCCCAAAACAGGCAGAAAAGGAGAACAACAAATATCGAGACTATATATTATAAGAGGTTCTCTCTCTCTCCAAAACCAGATGAATAAAGTAAATAGCTAAAAACCTATATTAGGAACTAATTAATAGGGAAATGAGGAGATCCGTGAGGGAGTGTTTAGTAAGATTTCAAGAATTGCAAGAAATATTTATGATATTGATGAAGACAGTACCAAGGCCTGAATCATATAAGTATCATCAAACTTACATAAGGCAGGTACGCGTCTGGAAAAATAAATAAATAAAAATACACCTATAATCAAACATAGTATAATTTCTTATACTTTACAATCAAATTACAAAACCTGATTAGCATCTTATAGCAGCGCACCACCTGGTTGAGTTTACATGAGTACATACAACAAACAAATATTAAAATACATCTTTGTGCAAATGTACAAATATAAAGCTGGAATAAACTAAGCCTCGTGGCATTGGTTTGTTCTGAAGCCAAATACAAAATTGATAAGTGATGATTTACTGGGCACAGCTCAAGTTTGCCAACTACATTTCCCACATGCCCAAGCCGCCCTCAGCCACGATCAATGTCACTATCTTAACTAGCTGATCGTCATGGGGAATGCATTTGGCAAACATCTTCAGAATTATGATTAGCAACCATTGAAATAAGGCTCAAACATGTATCGGAGTACCTAACATGGTCTATACCTAAGTACAGAAATGAGACAGTTTACCAAATATATTAATTCATAAATTCACAACAGCTGCACGTCTTCCATGGCTCAATAATCATAAAAAAAACATAATAAAATTAATAGGTTTGCTCCTCAAATCACAAATTGTTTTAGACATTGTGAGACTACAGACAAAGATCGAATTATTCAAGGTTTGCGGCCATGCTTTTATATACCTAGTTAAGTCTGAACAGTAAAGTATTTTTATTTATCTTTAAATCTAGTGCCTCAATATATACTTGTGGTTTTGCGCAAGTTTACATGCCTTTTAGTTGTGGTTGTCTGCAGAGATAGCGGAGGTTACAGCATTTTATAGTTATTAATTAGTGCAAAGTGTGGTGGCAACAAAGGAAAAAAAAAACAGTACAACAGGAATCTAATAAGACAATCTATTGTATATTTTCAGTCTATGTTAATAGAAAAATTCACATAAAAAGAAAGAAAACAATAAATAAATAAAAGTTTGCCATTTTAAAACAAATCCCTGATCTTTGATTTTCCTCAGCTGCTTATGAAATCGGACAGAATGTTCTGTCAATTTAGGCCTTGCCAAACAAAAAGGATTACTGACAGAGGGAAATCGACAAAACAAGAATTCACAAGGATGCTACAAATTATGGACCAAAATATCCTACCTAGAAAAAAATATTTTGGTTAATTTAAAATTCGGTTGTCAAGGCCTGGATCATATAATAATCTCATTCAAGTCTCCACTTGTTTTGACATCATGAATGCATGTTTACTCATTTCTCATTGAAGTCAATGAAGAAAAAAATGCATTCTCAACAGTGTCACTGAAATGGAGAGGGGATTAATTAATGAGAAACACTTGCCCACGATTCATCGGCTTTAGCTCAGTGGCTTCCCTTCAGAAGCAGATCTATACAACATCTTTGCAGTTCTTGCTGTCTTCAATAAGAAGAGTTTTAACAGGAATAGCACATCCCTGCTAAATCTCTGAAGACAGTCTTGAAATGGAAGACTACAATGTGAAACTATGGCTCAAGAGGTCTTTGCAAAAACACATTTGGAATCACGTTAACACATAGGCAGAATGATATACCTGAAAATGAAAGAAATCCTATATTTTCTCCATAGTAAAACAGTGTTATTTACAAACCTCCAAATATACTGTACATTTGCAAAATTTGTGAAAATTGCAACATTTTCCCCAAGGATTGCAATCTGAATATTTACTAAAAGCAGTTCAGAAGTTAATTCAGGGAACTGCATCCAATATGATCATATCATCTTACTAGCAAATCTAAAATTGGACATATCAGAGAAATTGTACACCAAACTTTTAGAGACAATCTGTTTTTATGAGTACTACAAAAACTTGTAAAGTAGGAGGCACATTTGGAGTTTTGTTTGTCCCTACATCCTTACTTTTTGCCTACAAATGTCTGCAAGCAGGCTGCACATTTAAACTACAGATACTATTGTATAAGTCATAGAAAGATGTTGCTCTACTACAATCTGTAACATAGACAAACAAAAGAGAAACATATGTAATTTTATTTTTGTGAACATTGATGTACAAAAGTTCAAGGAGAAAATCCAGGAACCAAAGCTAGCAAAATGCTCCTGACTGGTAATTTTAAGGAAAACTGTTCAGATGCACCTAATTGATGGCTCCTGAAAACACAATTAGATCAGGTTTGTTTTACAAACATGCTTCAATTTCAACAGAATCTAAAAACACAATATGTGAATTGAAGTGGTCATGGTGCCTGGAGTCTGTATGTGCAGCAGTGGGGTATGTGCAGCAAAAGATGCACATACGGGGTAGATGCACACAGTTGTATTTATTTTCTGATAATGGGCAGCTGATGCTTTCACACAACTAATGGCATCGACAAAGCACAACTTTGGCCAGAGAGGATGCTTGGAACCCACTGGGTAACGGGGCTTGCCTCATTACATGGTAACAGGGCCAGGGTACCTCTTACATCCTAACCACTGCAGCAGACTGAAGTGAAGTGAAGATGGCTGGAGTAGCTTTTTTTTTTTTTTTTTAAAGGAACACTGTAGGCACTTTAACATCATCAATAAGATGATGTTGTTATGGTGCCTGCAGTCACGCCCCCTCTGATCCCCCAAAGATCCTTATTTCACGAATTAGAAGGCTTGCAAGTGCAGCTTCAAGCCACACCTCCAAGTCCTCTAGGTATGTGGGCCAGGAATCCTACTTCTTGGCTCTCATAACACATCATACTAAAAAGAAATATGGAGAATAGGCCATGTATGTAGTATTAATCCATTTTAGTAAGCCACTGAGCTCTGAGGCATAGAAAATAACACAATAACACAGCATACTGTGATGGCAAGCGTGCATGTGCAGTACCGTCACGGTTGGACATCGAGAATCATTGAATACAATGATTTTCTATGACGAAATTGTAGGTGCATACCGGCAAGCACCACGTATGCACCTGAGTTCCCCAATGTGCTTCTATAAGGAGAGTTGGATTGGCCCATCATGCTAGGATGACGCAACCCAAGGTAGACTCAGCACTGGAGAAAAGGGGGAATATTTTTTTTATATTTTGTTCTTTTTATTTTACCCTGGGAAGGAACTACTGTAATTGAGAAGGGGCATTAGGGCTGTAGCTCTAGGAATACAGTGTTCATTTAAAAGACCTTTGCAGATAAAAGTGTAACACCACATCTGCCAGCTTTATTACCAAGACCAGATCAAGAGTTCTGGGCTGGCTACTGCTAATTCTGAGCATTTTGGACATCTCTTAGCACGCATAGCTTGTTGGTTACAGACACCCAATGGTGGCATGCAGGGCACGCTTTAATCCATAACTACTACAACATACTGTAGGGGTTATGGTGCTTGGAGTGTTCCTTTAATATACAATCGCTGCATGGCTTACTTCCAACTGAAATTAGGTTACTTGTAACATATCCAGAAAATGTGATTATTGGATCACCATGGCAATCGCATTTATGTACATAACTGAAAAATTGCTTCTTTACTGCTGTAAGTAGTAGGATATTAGAGGTACAAAGCATACAGAACTCTCAAGTACTGAAATATTCATTTGGGCTTATTTGAAGTAGGTTCCAGAGCAGCTGCTGTAGACATCGGTGCTGGTTCCAAAATGAGGAAAAGAAGAATCTTGTAGATAAAAACTAATTAAAAACACATGAGGGCTGTCACAAGATTCTTATGTATTGGACCAATTATAGGCAAACATAGACATGCTTCAATACTCTGGGATTTCCATCTATATTTGCATTCTTCCTATAGCGTTAAAGAGAAACAGTCAGAAGGAAGAAAACAGAACGTAAATACACTGGCTAACCAATGAAAATAGATCATCCAAAATAGCTGAGACAGGAACCAAAACAGGAATTGGAGAATTTTTACAAACTACCCTCAATACACCACAGCACCTATTTGCCACGTTTTTGCATAAACCAATTTTGTCATTTAATATCCAAGAAATACATGCCAAGTTCAACATAGCACACTTATTTAAAAAGTAAAATGCCTCATTCTTCTCCACAATCATATTACACAGTATTTTGGATTTTAGTCGACTATTCAAGTTAAGTCCCAAATCTAAAAGCACAAGATACCAATTAACCCAGACTACGGCATTTAAATTGGCATACAGATGTATTTTAGATTAGTAATTTTATCCTGTACACGTAGATCAGCATTGTACATTGCCAAGTCTAAGCTTAATTTATGTAACAAGAGACAAACATACATATAGCTTACCAATAATAATAAAAATAAAAACTGCTTGAAAAACCAAATTTTACCGTATTGAATTCTTGTGCTTTCCTACAATCCAAAAAAAACTCCTAATAATGAAATATATAAGTGAAGCAAAAAAATAAAAAAGGGGGGGTCTGCAAGTTCATGACCTTCAGTGTAACTATATAGAGGATTATTTTAGTCTAAATTATAAATTGTACGGAATTAAAGTGAAATTAAACATTTAAGGCCTAAATAGCTAAACTGAAAACATATCTGCCTTGGTGATATTTCCCCCCCATTTTGGCCTAAAATATGATGATATTCTATTTGATCTCAGACAATCAATCCTTTAGTGAATAACCCTGTTAGTAGTATTCATTAACCAGCACACAAAGACCTACAATGACTGGGTGAATGGGTATCTGAGGGCATTATTGGGCATGGGTCCTCAAACTCCGGCCCCCCCCAGATGTTGCTGAACTACTACTCCCATGATTCTCTGGCTATGTAATTTACAGATTCATGGGAGTTGTAGTTCAGCAACATCTGGGGGGGGGCTGGAGTTTGAGGACCCATGGGCTAGACATTGGAGGCATCAAACAAAGGGGAATCCCCATCTAACAAAAAAACTAAATTGATCAAATACAGGGCAATAAATAATCCCTGCAAGGGGTGTATAATATTAATAGGATACAGTATATAATAGTTATATAACCCAATATGATATATATGTATGTATAATATTGTTATATAGCCCAGCCTCATTAGATGGAATGGACCTGCTGATGGTTACAGGTTAGTAATAATGAGGTCCTCCATTTACTGAATGAATAATGTAAATAATAAACATGCTGTCTGTTGGAAAGTTGACATTAGGTCTCGGTATTCTGCCAGACACCGGCCATTATAGAACCAGAGGGCACTGGGGACAACAGGGAGCAATTACCTGCAAACAGGAAGGGGCAGGTAGGTCCCCTGTGAGCCAGAGGGCAACTTACCGCCAGGAGAGAGGGATGGAGGGAGGGAGGGCACGGTGCCCCGGCTGATGATGGCGGCTACGATGACGGACGCAGCACACTCACGCACAAGATGCTCGCCGGTGACACTGGCCGTGAACACGCACGGTTTCTGCCCGACGTCAGAGCCACACCTCCCCCCAGCCAATCAGCGCGCGCCTCTGAAGAGGTGTGACAGGCCAACGAGCCCAGGCCCATTCTCCTGCTGTCATTGAGGCCGACTGAGAGGTCGATCGCGATTGGCCAGGCTGTAGTGGCGCGTTGGGAGACGGGGGTGTGGCTTAGGAATGGGGCGGGGACAGGGTTACTCCAGGTCACATTGAGGAATGTGGAATAAATTGCTCTTGTGGTTGTCCAGCGGCCACTTGTCCCAATGTAATGCAAATTACCGGTATACTAATGAAAAGAGGTCTTTACTCACATGGCTTCCACAAGGCCAGAAATAGCAGCGAAGCTGTAAGGGGAATTTAAAGATAAAATAGCTGAGATGGAGAATGTTAACAATTTGGCTCCACAATTCTAAATTCTAACAATTCTCCAGAATTCTAAATTTAATGAATAATAAACAAACGTTTTGGGTACAACCCTTTTTAAATGCAAAAAGGGACATGGTGCATTGAAAAAGGGTTGTACCCGAAATGTTTGTTTATTATTTTGTCCTCCAATAAATTTTGGTTGCACTTTGTTTGTGCACATAGCAACATTTTGCGCAGCCTCTATTTGTTTGATTTGTACTGTGGATTGTTTACTGTAGTAGCGTATGGGCAGGGTTCTCTCTACCTCTTGTATTTGTCTGTGTATATTGTATGTTCTCCACTAATTGTACAACGCTGCGGAATCTGTTGACGCTTTATAAATAGCAATAATAAATAAATAGTAGCATTGCCTTCCCCAATGCAATGGAAACCTCCGTAATAAAGAAAAGAGTGTAATTTAAGGGGTAGCTCTCATTTGTCTACATACATTATTGCAGTATATACCAGGGTTAATAACATTGTGGAGGTATGTAAAAAAGCGTATGCAGCATATCCGCATTGTGGACAACTCATCAAGCCTTGAAAATGCTCATTGTATCTATGCGGAAATGCCTCATGAGCGCATGTGCTCTCTTCCATTCCTTCAGCAGTGCCATACACGGGCATGTACCATGTGTACAGCACTGCAAGGTTAATTTCATTTACTTGACATACCCTGTTTGCCAGCATGGCATATAAATGGCTAGAATAAGAATGCGTTATAATTTATATTGAAAAAAATATATACCACACCCAATGGCTAACTTTTCATAGGCTCCTTGGTTGTGCGAAAATCTTGCATGTTAAGGTTGCAGTTTGATATTAACGCCTTAAGGACCGATGACAGAATTATTCTGTCATGAATGTCCTTCTTGTAAAGGCCCATAAGAGAATAATTTTGTTGTGCAATATTTACCAGCATGGGCTGTTTCCCTGCTGGTAACTGGAGAACCCTAGCTATCACTCAATACCTGAGGCTCCTGTCTGTTAGCTGGGGCTAGCCCAATGCTGACAGATGAGCTGTATCCAGTGCTCTTTAAATTACCATGGCTGAACTAACGGACTCAGGCATGGTCCCAGTGATATAATATTTTATGTCACCAGGGATTTTCTTTAAAAGGGTAGATGCGCAGGTTCCGATTGGGTCTCCCTGAAAGCCTCCAGCAGGGCAATCACCAAGCAGGCTGCCCATTGCTGATCACTGTGATTCCTACTGCAAGGAGGCATTCAATAAAATTGTAACATTTTGTCACAATATGATTTAACAGCAGAGTGGGAAATAATCCCTTCCATGCTGCATTTGTAAAGCACACTACTTTATGAGAGATGTCCTGTGCGGATATCAGCAAGGGATTCCCTCTTCTGACATCCACAGTAGAAATTCCACTAAAACTGTTCTTTGAATTAGGGTTAAAGGGACACTATAGTCACCAAAATAACTACAGCCTATTGTATTTGTTCTGGTGAGTAGAAAATACTTCAGTTTTTTTGCAGTAAACACTGTCTTTTCAGAGAAAATGCAGGGTTTACATTACAGCCTTGGGACACCTCCACTGGCCACTTCTCAGATAGCTACTAGAGGAGCTTCCAGGATCAGTGCTGCACAGTGTCATTCAGTGTCTCCACCCTCTGCATTGAGACACTGAACTTTTCTCATAGAGATGCATTGATTCAATACATCTCTACGAGGAGATGCTGACTGACTAGAGTGGCATCTGGGTATGCCCGCTTCCCCACCTCCTTGACAAGCTCAGCCAATCGAATACTTTCCTATGGGAAAGCATTGAGATTGGCTCAGATCATCACTTCTAATGAAGTCAGCCAAGCAGGCAGATCAGGGGCAGAGCCATCACAAGCAGACTGTAATAAAGGTAAGATTTTACTTTATTTAGCAGAGCAGTGGGTTAGATAGTGATTTTAAAACTGTAGGATCAAATACATGTTTGTGTTCCTGTCCCTATAGTGTTCCTATAGGTTAAGGGTTAGGATTAGTATCAGCAAAGCAATCCCTGTGGTGACATAAGCAGAGCAAATCCCTGTAACACTATTGCAAGGGTTTAAATTGGACAAGGGGGTGACAAACACTCTTTTCCTCGGACGTTTGCCATGAACTCATGGAGGAGTGTGGAAGCTGGCCTCATGCCCCACCGACTATGGTCCAGGTCGGAGATCCCATTTAAAGGTTACCCTACACAGCAGCCATTAGCAGCCCTCCCTGGATGCCTTTGGTTCATCACTTTCCCTTCATTTGAATAGAACTGAACGCTAGCTCCCTGGCAGCCGTTCACATGAACCAAACCCACGAGTGGTCCTCAGCGGTACTTAGCAACGATCACTGTGGAACTAATTTCAGCATGAGGACTTCGTGGGTCCCCGGTCACCTCAGCAGTACTTAGCTGTGAATGTTATGGAACTGTTTTCGGCATGAAGTGACTGTGCGGTTCCTGGACAACTTGGTTCTTTCTGGAGGGAAGGTGCCTGAGACTAAGGGGAACAAACGCTACTTGAGAGTCAGGTGGAGCACGCCGTATTGCAGCCGCAGGAGCTCCCGAATGTTGACCGGTAAAAGCACCAAACGCCCTGGAACTATTTGGGGCATAAGATTTTTGTACACCACGTGTGCAGCCGGTCAGAACTTTAACACAGTGGCATTTCCCCTACACTGCATGGATCTGAGGGCTATTTGGAGAACTTGAGCGCTCGGATCAGGGCTATTTGGGGATGTATTATTTGTGGGGTTATTGTATATTTTTATGATGTTTTGGGGTATTTTTATGTTTTTGTGTTTGCCTCTCTGTTTCTGGTAGATAATTAGCTTACCAGTCTTTAATGCAATTATTGCTCAGGCACAGAGATCTCTGGGAGGGGTTTGCATTGTATTGTGTGGAGATCCCCTTCTTGGGCTTGTGTATATAAGCAGGCAACTTGGCCATAATAAACCAGTTCCTTTAAACCCTTCACTCAGTCTGAGCTAGTGTTTGGGTTGATCAGCTATACTCTCTGCAGGAGCGCTTACTCACTTGAAGCTGTGGGGGACACAGAGACATGGGGACACTAGGGGCACAAAGAGACATAGGGACAATGAGACACTAGGGGGGACATGGGGACAGAGACACTAGGGACACTGAGACACTATGAGAAACTGTGAGACAGGGGGACAAACACACTAGGGGAAACTGGGAGACATGGAGATACTGGGATAAATGGGGGCCCAGACAATAGGGGAGACATGGGGACACTGGAAGACATTGGGACACTGGGAGACATGGTGACTCTAGGGGACCCTGAGACACTGGGAGACATGGGGACACTGAAACACTGGGAGACATAGGGACACTGAAACATTAGGAGACATGGGTAAACTACGGTACACTGACACTAGGGGAGACATGGGGACACTGGGAGACATGGAGACACCACTAAGACACTAGGGAACACTGGAAGACATGGAGACACTAAGAGTGACATGAGGATACTGAGACACTAGGGGACACTGGGAGACATTAGTGGACACTGAGAAAAATGGGAACACAGCGATGTGAGACAGGGAAACAGTGGAAGCAATCCCTCTATACGGCAGAATCCAACTAAGTAGTTTTTTTGGTAATTTTATAGAATTTTCTGTTATGTCACTCCTTGTGATTTTCATCTTGTGATGACACGCATGCATAATTAATAATGCAAATTAGTATGGGCAGCATTTTTTTCCCAAGAAAGATGGCAACCCTAGTGCAAGCTGGAGCAGACATCAGCACTTACCACAAGCAGAGCACCAGAGACATGCCACACCATAAAAGGAGAAGCCATATTAAGGTTTGCTCCATCTCAAGTAGGTCTTGCTCACTGATTTATATTTATGGGGGAGGAAATGGGGATCAGGGAGCAGAGCATTCAAGCATTCCCTCACACCACCTGCTGTATTGTGGGAGCTGTAGTCTTCCAGCATGCACTATAGAGCCATCAACTTCACAGAGTAGCACAGGGGAGGCATGAGAATCAGAGGTGTGTTGTTCTCCTCAGAAGTCACGTCTAAAATATCAAAGTTGTCCTATATGATGTTTAAAATGTTAATTTCTTAATTTTGGGCTCAAGAAATATGGGTAGTCTTATACATGGAGGTATCTTATACACGGAAAAATACGATACGTTGTAAGTGACAACTTATCACGTTGGAAACTCCACTGGAAGTTAATTCTACACAGAATGTCCAGCTTACAATTATGTTTCAGTAAATATTTCTGTTTTGTTCTCTTCATCCACTTAGTATACTTATTTTGCATTGCATACAATAACTGATGTGATATTTGCTTAATAATTCGCATGTGATTAAGGTATGCATGTCTGCATGCATATTCAGATTGATTTCTACAAATAAATGGTATACTCATGCATATTTAATTATTTATAATTTTTTTATATTTCCAAATGAAAGAAAATGTTAGTTCACACCTAGCTCTGTAAAGCTCTGCCAAGTTTAAAGGACCACTATAGGCACCCAGACCACTTCAGCTTAATGAAGTGGTCTGGGTGCCAGGTCCAGCTAGGTTTAACCCTTTTTTCTATAAACATAGCAGTTTCAGAGAAACTGCTATGTTTATAATAGTGTTAATCCAGCCTCTAGTGGCTGTCTCATTGACAGCCGCTAGAGGCGCTTCTGTGCTTCTCACTGTGATTTTCACAGTGAGAAGACGACAGCGTCCATAGGAAAGCATTGTGAATGCTTTCCTATGGACTGGCTGAATGCAAACGCAGCTCGCGCCGCGCATGCGCATTCAGACGAGGAGGAGGATGAGAGTCCCCCGCCCGGCGCTGGAGAAAGAGGTAAATTTAACCCCTTCCACCACCTAGAGCCCGGCGGGAGGGGAGGCACTAGAGTGCCAGGAAAACGAGTATGTATTTTAAGTAGAATAACAAGATGAACCAGAATCCTGTGACATTTAGAAGGTCAAAATTAAACAGTGCACTACCCGTGTTTGCTAAACATACTTATCAAGGCTGTTAGAACTCACACAAGCTGGACATTAAGGAAGCTTTTTCAAGTCTGGTTTTAGTTAGCATTCATTTCGCCGTGTTACGGTTGACAATTTGACATAAGTAACAGAGCTTGTATAGTGTCAGTCTCATTACGGTCAGAATGTTACTATGATCATTGAATATACTTTGGTTATATCGGTAGCTTACAGATGTACTCTTCCAACTGTTAATGCGTGCAATACATCTAAACACATAGATTCTGTATTGTTCTCATTAATGAGAGTATCACATTTTCCTTTCAGTAACAATTGTTGATTTTCAGATATAAAACATATTCTGCAGCATAGTTTTTCCTATTAACCCTAATGACTTTGCTCCTAAACGCCCTGGGGTTGTTGGTTTGTTGCCAGGAAGATATTCCAAGTAAAGGGGATGTCGGAGTATACAAAGGTAACTAGAGGAGGATGACTTACTTGACTGAAGAAGCCTGTATAGGTGAAACACATTTGTGTTTATTTTGTTTATATAGTGGTTTACTGAATAAAGCCTTATTCGAATATACTACATAGTATCTGCTTTGAAGAGAAGTCCTCAGAGGGAATACACACACTGCCACCTTGTCGAACCATTAGTTTAGGCTCTATTGAATGTGAGTGTATTGATTTTATTGTGTAATATATTGCCGCATTATCCTTTTTTTGAGAGGTGGATGTAGAGACGGCTGGAATATTGGTGTTGATATGCTGTCCATTGAGGAGAGAGGCTGCCTAACCTAGTCTAGAAGCAAACACAGCAAGAGCTAGCTTATTAGCTCACATTTATGTGAGCGTGCAATGCACCCTATTACATATTTGTGTGTATAGTGTATTTTATTTTACGGAGGTTTGAATTAGAGATGTAACTGTGAGACATGCTGTAAGAGAAGTGTGTTTATTTAGAGAATCATTGCACATACTATAGCGCTCCACTTCACGGTTATATTTAGATATTCCACAGACACTAGACAGTTGTTTTGGAAAGATGTTTGCTATGCAGCAATTCGGTCATGTCAAAAATATAAAATTGTTTTGCTAGGTTGGGACTTCCAGAACAAGACTAAAATAAACACCATATCTTTAGATTAGCTCCCTATATCCTCCACACTTTAATTATGGTTATGTTTACAAATAAAGTGCAAACTAAACATCTTCCATTAACATTTAGAATACATATTAATTATTTAGACACAATGTAGAAATGAACACAGATTTGTGTATTTACACATACAGATACACATGCATACCGAAGTCAGAATTTACATATGTTTGGCCATCCTCCTGTTTCCATATATTTTAGGTAGGAGGAAGGAATTCATGGGTTCCAGTGGCATCTGGCTGCTGGGGTCTGGGGCTGGTCTCAACTTTCTGCAAGCTGCCGTTGAGACAGGGGTCCAGACACGCTGTTATACGGCCCCTGATCAGACACCCATCACTTTGCCTTAAGTGTGAATGCCAACTGACGCCCCCCCAGCTTGTGGGCTACACCGCACTACTGTGATGTATTTGATTGATATTCTCAGATACCGAATTAACACATACAATATTACGGATTGATAGATATATCACTAAATTGTACTTTGTTTATCTCTACTGGTCTATAAAGCAAATAAGGATTGTCAAGATCCTAATTTTTTTTATTATAATTTTTTTTTTCTTCTTTAACACATTTCACTTACATAGTGTAATAAGGCAGCAGTTGGCCACCATTTGGCATCAATATTTTCCAAAAGGAAGACATTAAATGATATACATAAACAAGTTTCTTTATTATACATGTTGTTCCTGCTGTTGTGTTGATTCGATCAACAAATACCAACCCACCTCCTGCCAAACTATATAATTGTCTTTTTAATTATTTTCCATCATTTGGAAGACTTGCAGTGCAAAGAAAAAAAAATGGACAGGTTACTTTATCATCATTCTTTATAACTGGTAACGGTATCAAAAAGGACATCAGATAAGCATGTGTTATCTCCATCAACGCCCAGCCTATGTACTGTTCAATGAGATAAAGAGTACACACATATTCTGTTAATGGCAAAGGCTATATTATCTCAATATTGCATTCATAATTAGTCCAGTATTACAGGTTTCAAACCAGTATCAAATTGTCACTTTGCTGTAGACCAAAACACATCTTGTTTGTGTTAAACAGTTCCTTCAGAGCGCCAACATATAGAGAATGGTAAGTATCCACCTCCTGCTCAGAGGGATCCTCAATCCTAGGGACAGGGATGGGTTTTCCAACTGAAATAAAACAGAAGTTTAATCAGAATGTATTCAGAATGGATGTTGTCTGACTGATTTCTCAACACATGCGGCATTTTGTATTTCAATCAGTGTGCCACTAAGGTAGAGATGGTGTGAGGGTGCTCACGGCAAGTCTGTCCAACCTCCTAAATAGCATGTAATAATAACCAGGAAGCCTGGACTAGCATATTCTATTCCCCCGTACTTGTCTTGCCGTCCTTTTACACAAAATTGTGTTTACCCTGAACAAGCTATAGTACAGAGTTTGTTTTGGTTATTTACTGATCGGAGTATGAGCTCTTTACAATATGTTGTATATACTCTTTTCAATGTGAATGCATGTATATATGTTAATTATTTTTGAGCTCCTATGAACTTTCCCATTGCCTTTTACATATCATTGTTAAATTTTGCTTCCACTAAATGCCAAGCTTAACAAGTTAAATAATTATGTAATGGTGTTTGGTAATTATGCAGCGCCAGGCCCATGTTATTCAGGAGTCACTTAAGCCAAAAATTGAAAAATTAGGTTACATGCCACTGTACAAGTTTCACAGCTTAAAGGACCACTATAGTGCCAGGAAAACATACTCGTTTTCCTGGCACTATAGTGCCCTGAGGGTGCCCCCACCCTCCGGGTACCCCTCCCGCCCGGCTCTGGAAAGGGGAAAAGGGGTTAAACTTACCTTTTTCCAGCGCTGGGCGGGAAGCTCTCCTCCTCCGTTCCTCCTCCTGGGCTGAATGCGCACGCGCGGCAAGAGCTGCGCGCGCATTCAGCCGGTCACATAGGAAAGCATTCATAATGCTTTCCTATGGACGCTGGCGTGCTCTCACTGTGAAAATCACAGTGAGAAGCACGCAAGCGCCTCTAGTGGCTGTCAATGAGACAGCCACTAGAGGATTAGGGGGAAGGCTTAACCCATTCATAAACATAGCAGTTTCTCTGAAACTGCTATGTTTATGAAAAAATGGGTTAACCCTAGCTGGACCTGGCACCCAGACCACTTCATTAAGCTGAAGTGGTCTGGGTGCCTAGAGAGGTCCTTTAACCCTCACAGCCCCAGTTTCACAATACGCATATGGGGAGGTTTTAGAATGTTAAGAATGATTGCAGGTTGGATACTTAGAGTAAGGCATTGGGCAATAACACAGGAGGTTAGGAGTGAGTTAGCATAGGAGATCTAAAAATGAGACTAAAGAGGTCATCTGACAAAAGAAGGACTACGTCAGGGACAGGTGACAGATAAGGTTTTATGTTAGCCCAAGTTGTATGGATTAGTAAATAATACACTGATAAACACCACAATGTGAAAGCACTTGCAGTAGCATTACTTATTCAGGAATGCGCTTATTAAAGCGCTTGCACTGGACTTTTAGAAGATGTTTCATAAGAGAGAAAAACAAAAAACAAGACAAGTACTCAAATGTCTGTCCCAATGGATCCACAATAGATTAGGCTTACTCACTTCTCATCTTTCTTTAATGTCTTCTTTATTGTATAGACCTTTCTCATTTGAAATTATTTTACCATATTAATGTCTCTAGGTCTGTACTAAAATTAAATTTTCACCATCAAATTCACAGTTTCTAGATGTTAACATCACAACTACATTTGTGCAGGTGCTCAATGACTTAGGACTAACCCACTGTATTGATGGGTCTTCGGAATGGCATTATTCCCGTGGAACTGCTGGAGAAAATGCCTTGTCCAAAGAAAATGCAAGGAGCAAATCCAACCCAATGCTGGAATAATTCTTGAAGGCTTTTCTTCCAACTTCCAGCTTCAAACTGGCATTGCTGTAGAACCTCGTTCTCCCCAAAAGAATACACAGGAACTAAGGACGATCTAAAAAAGGAAAATTACAGAGACTATGTAAGCCAATACTACATTTGAATACAAATACCACTAGGGCTATGTCATGCATACATCTGCTCTATGTATCTGTATTTCCATCCACTGATATGAGATCATTGCCAACAAATCAGCCCTGAGCACCACGTTCAATGCATGACCTGTGTAATTATAATTAAATACAGTGATCTGAAAGAAACAGATATTGTTATATAAAAGCACAGTTTAAATGCTGCTTTTTTGTGTGGATTTTATTAGTGTTAAATATATGATTTTATGTTCTGGTTACCCCAAACCAGTCTCTGTGTAATGCGGCACTGCGCACGTAGCCCAATAAGTTGTTTTATGTAATTTCGGGAAGGTCGTAGCAAGTTTACATTTTTTTTTCTTCTAACAGAATTAGAAAAAAGAAAAAAAGGATGACACAACTGTGGGAGATTCTCCCCTTATTAAGTCTAAAGCATTTCAACTGCCATAAAAATACTTCTAATATAATGTAAATGCATATGATCCTTTGTGTATTGTGCTGCAGTGGGTCAGCCAGAGTGGGATGTGAATTACTTGTGAAAACATACAAAGGACATAATGCAGAAAAATGTGTAAAACCATTAATTCTAGCCACTTGCAGTGTACAGGGGAAGGGATGTATTAACACTCGGGCTTCGGGAAATGTGTAGGATGACTGAAACCAGAGCTAACCTACTGAAGATAACATGTTATTTTAGGTTGTTAATGGATTTTTAGTGGTGCTGGAGAGGACTTGATGGCTTTACTGAAAATATAAGACACTCTCCGACTCCAAGTTTCACTATTTCAGTGTCAGCAGGGTGGGCATTGCATTTATTTCCTAATATTATAGAACCCAGAATGGTTAGATTTGATATAAAAAAAACTCTTGCTGGCTGTTTTATGGAGTACGGTGGTCTTAAAGGATCCAGATTTGCTAAATCTGTTTTTAAATGTAATTTAGGGCAGTCTGTAGAATAACTGCGTGGAATATCTTTTTATTACTCAGTGCAGTTCATACTTCACATGTGTTTGTTAATGCCATGTGTGTGGCCTGAAATGAGGCTGCAGGGGATGGATAGAAGGGAGAGCTGTATACATAACATATACACCTACATTATTAGGTGCCCCTCCATTGTTTGTTAATTGCCTACAAAATGGAGTCAGGAGAAGACACTAGCATGTCCCTGCACTTTTTTAATGTAATAGCTCCAACCTAATTATAATTACTCCTAATTATAGAAATGAAAGGAAGCGTGACAAACAGAAAATAAATAAATATATATATATATATATATATATATATATATATATATATAACACAATTTCACACGCTGCATCTACACCGTAATCGTTGCAAATGAGACAGACCATCTTTTTAAAGCTCTCCACTACTTACCCATTAGCAAGTGCCTTCCTAACAAACCCTTTTCGTCTTTTCAAGGTGAGTTTATGTTGCTTCTTAGTGCAGTTCAAAGCTTCTGCCGCTCCTCCAACTACAATGACCACTACATTACCAGGGCCATTGTGTGATAAGAGATAGTCTATTGATGAGTGGGTGACCGAGCACATTCCTGGAATAGATTACAATATGGCCACAATTGGCCAGTTCAATACAACGAGTTTAATCAAACACCATGGACTTTCAAGCATCATAAACTGGGAGCAGGCAATTACACATGAATTCTTCCTGTTTCTATGCAGTCCATTTCAGAGAGTGCTAGTAGGTGTTGGTCAAGCCACTTTAGTTCATTTATAAATTTATTGATTTGATGTTGTATATATATATATATATATTCAAACTTTCAATAGAGTTATGTGTCCATCGCTTCTGATCAGTCTGTGTTATGCAATATGTGGGGCTTGTCTCTTATTCTGGTCTACAATAATGGAACTGTGAAAATAGGAGTAACATTCTCCATAACCAACACCTATTATTTACACTGCTGGTTTCTTCACTGCAGATTTAAAAAGTAACACTGATTCTCATAACTTAGTCAGTATGATTATAACTTAAAGGAACTCTGTGGGTACCATAATCACTTGTACTGAAGTTGTTATAGTGCCTGGAGGCCAAGTCCCGCACGGTTTACTCACCATTTAGTAGAAATTCTCTGTCTCCAGCAGCCTAAAGCCAATGACGACATGCCAGAGGCAGAGCTATATGTCTCTTCCTCGTACCATACCAATTCATACCTTCGATTAGGGCAGTGATTAAGAGCACTCTGCTGCGTTCTCAGCCAGTAACTGACCACTGATGCTGGTATTGCATGAAGGAGAGCACAACTCTGCTTGTTTTCCACTGTAGGCTGGGATTTAAGGGACCAAGAATCTCTACTAGACTGTGAGTAAACCATTTAGTATTGATGTGTGACCAGTTGCCAGCAGAATCCAGGCAGTGGTTATGGTAGTTCTGGTGCCTACACTTTTCCTTTAAAGGATCCAGCTATGACCTCGATTCCATGCTATCAGACAAAAAAGGTTAATAAATATATCCTGGTTCCAGACGACTGTTCAATTCAATTTCGACTGGATTTAATGCCAACCAAGCTGCTCGATAGATATTGTTCAGAAACATATTTATCAGCCTTTTTTTCCAGTTAGTCATTTAAAAAAAAAAATGAAATAAAAGCCTATGGAGTCACTGGGACCCCAATATTGGTACAAGGGACGTTTTAAATCTCCTCCATGCCTCCACTCACCGTGCTGCAAGAGGGGGCATGTATGCTAAAAAGCGAGCAGAAAGTGGCTTTGGGCAGTAATTGAGAGCACTAGGTCATTAGATCTGTCCTACCTGTTATTTTTATTAGAGCTACCACCTCCTGACCACAAGTGGGGCCAGGGTGAACACCATGTCCCTCCATTGTTTATTAATTGCCTCCAAAATTGAGGCAGGAAGGGACACTAGCATGTCCCTCCACTTTTTTTAATGTAATAGCCCCAACCTGCTGGCCAAGGGAAGACGCACTGTTTCACACATTGAGAAAACTAAGGACTTGTGACCCAAACAAATAAGAACTCATGTAGAATGGAAGGAACCAGATGTCCAGCACCAAACATTAGTTATTGGGCAGTGCATCGGTCCTGTGGAATGGATTAAAATAATATATATTCTACAAGGTTTCTCTAAATGGATTATACAATCTGAATTCATAGACATTATATTAATGGTGAATATTTACCTGCTGCCAAAATATACTCTCTGAATATAGGCAACTTGAAATTTCCTGCCAAAGTAGTCACACATGGCTTCATTTTGGGGAATAAACGAGAGAACCCAGTACTATCAGTAGCAAAATTGCAGAAGGCTCCGATGCTCAAGATCCCGTGTGGGTGATATCCAAAGATGTAGTTTTGATTTGGATCCAGATCCACAGTTTTATGGAGCTGGTGGAATAAGGCAATAGCTTATCACTTTGTATTATAGACAAGGTGGGCATATGCCACCATAATAAGAAAACAAAGTAGTGTTTTAAACCAAACAGCTTTCCAGTAGCAGTCACAATGGCAATGCAGCAAAGGTGGCTGCTGAGATATACATAATATATCAACTACTCAAAATCACTGCTTTTAGTTGCTTTTTAAGAATGAGAAATTGTGTAAGATCATGAAAAATGAAAAAAAAAAAAACATAAAAAGTGAAATTTACCTAATTGAAATTAAACAGGCTTGCTCATTTATCATATCTTAATATATGGAAAACATATTTTGCCCTGAGGTTATTTTAATGTGTAATTTCTCCAACAAGTCACTTTGCAGACAGTTGAGCTCATAAAGTCATGCCATCGGGAGTGGTAATGTGGCATATTGCCAATTAAGAGGACTTGTATTGTTTGCTTTATAGAGCAGCTGACCTTGGAACTCAATAATGATGGTAACTTTGCCAGATGACAATGACTTTGACAATATGAATGCTGCGTGTCAAGTTTCAAAGCTTTCAGTAGGGATCTCAGGATCTCAATAAGTAACAATAATGCAATAGCACAACTATTCTACTAAGGCAAAATTGTAAACCCAGAACATACCAAGTCAGTGTACCTCACTTTGTGTACGGATACATAATATGTAATTTAAAAACACCAAATAAAATATATATAAAAAAAAAAAAATATATATATATATATATATATATATAAACTGTGCTATCTTAAAGGGATACTATAGGCACTGAAACAACTTTATCTTGAACAGTTCTAGTGTATAGATCATACCCCTACAGTCTCACTGCTCAATTCTTTGCCATTTAGGAGTTAAAGGGACACTATAGGCACCCAGACCACGTCAGCTCAATGAAGTGGTCTGGGTGCCAGGTCCCTCTAGTTTTAACTAGAGAAACTGCTATGTTTACATTGCAGGGTTAAGCCAGCCTCTAGTGGCTCTCTTCCGGACAGCCACTAGAGGTGCATCTGCAACGCTGGAGGCATATTATGCCTTCATCACGCAGAGCATCCACAGGAAAGCATTGAGAAAGCATTCCACTCCGCTGACGGCGGGGGAGGAGAGGTAAGGGAGCCCGGTGGTGGAAGAAGGTGAGTAACTGAAGAGGTTTTAACCCGTTCAGCGCCACGGGAGGGGGACCCTGAGGGTGGGGGCACCCTCAGGTTACTATAGTGCTAGGAAAACCGATTTGTTTTCCTGACACTATAGTGATCCTTTAAAATCACTTTATTCCTTCTGTGTTAGTCTACTAGAGACCCCCAGGACCCTCATGTGTGTGACTAAAGTTCAGTTTACAGAGCAGGATATACATATTTCTAAAAGCAACATCTGATTAAAAAATGAAACCATTTTTTCATGAGGGCTGTAAGAGTCACAGCCAGGGGAGGTGTGGCTGGGACGTCATAAACAAAGTGATTTAATTCCTAAATAACAGATTTTAGCAGTCAGATTGCAGGGGCATTATCTATACACCAAAATGGCTTCATTAAGCTAAAGTCGTTGGGTGCCTATAGTATCCCTTTATAAAAAAAAAAAAAAAACACAAAACAAAAAAACTATACAATAGATTTATATTACGTGTGCAGTGTTCAAATACATAATGTAAAAAAAAAAAAAATAACGGACAGCACAATTAATACAATAGAGAATACATTAAAAATCATAAAACTATCACCAATAAACAATGAATAGAGAAATCTGCTACTGGAACTAGTCTGATGTAGATGTACTATTAACAAAGACATCAAAGACCTGGCTTCCGCTCAGATCACTCTATAACAAGACTTGGCATCCGCTCAGATCACACTAGGGCAAGACATTGGGGAAGATGAATGTGTTCTGTTCTAAAAAGATGTGCAAAAATGTAAAAGGGGAGCAGTCACGAACTGAATGGGGTCTGGTTTCACTGGTTTCCAGTGGGACTACACCACTTTCAGAACAGAACAAATAAATTCCACCTTAGCAACTCCAGTCATGCTGTTTAAGTGTTAGCACCATAACCAATATCAGTGTTTCTCTGTTCTATGCCTCTGTTTTGGATTTAATAAAAAATAAAAAAATAATAAAAAAAACAACATTCTCTCAAAAACTTGTGTTTGTTTTTATTTTTAACTCTCCAGGTCCACCACTCAATCTGAACCCAATGGGCATACATTCATTTCCAAAATAAACAGACTGAACTTAAGATGGCTTGCAGTACAGCCCAGAATGAGAATCACTAGGAAAGTAACTCAACACCTGGCTTGGGGGTGGGGGGAATGGGACAAAAGGATGGGCTTGTGGTAAGGTGGAGATAATGAGGCACATGGATGGGCAATTTTGGCATCAGGGTATGATAATTTCTAGTTACGACTGGTTTTTACTTATAAATAGCCATAGTTACATAGCTGAAAAGAAACTTGCGTCTATCAAGTTCAGCCTTCTTCACATATATGTTTTTGCGGTTGATCCAAAAGAAGGCAAAAAACCCAGTGTGAAGCTCTTCCAATTTTGCAATAAACTAGGAAAAAATTCCTTCTTGACCCCAAAAAAAACAGTCGGATATCTCCTTGGATCAAGCAGCTATTACCACAAAATGAGAAATTATATCCCTGTATGTTATGTTTTTGCAAGTATTTATCCAATTTCAGTTTAAACATTTGTATGGACTCTGATAAAACCACCTATTCAGGCAGAGAATCCCATACCCTTATTGCTCTAACTGTAAAAAACAAAACAAAAAAAACTTTTCTTTGCCTTAGATGAAATCTCCTTTCTTCCAGCCTAAATGCGTGACCTTGTGTTCTATGTATAGCCATGTTTATAAACAGATTTTCAGGTAATGGTTTGTACTGGCCACAAATATATTTGTATAATGTTATCATATCCCCTCTCAAGCACCATTTTTCCAAACTAAATAGATTTAAATTTTTTAACCTTTCTTTGTAACTAAAGTGCTCCATTCCTTTTATCAATTTTGTAGCTCGTCTCTGCACTTTTCCTAGTGCCATGATATCCTTCTTTAGAACAGGTACCCAAAATTAATAGTTATAAGAGATAAGGTAGAGAGTGTGTGTCAGGTTGCTTGAAGAAATGGGGGGTAACCCCTAGCTATTGAAACAACAAAAGAGAAACAGATATCAGAAAACCCCAAGGGTACATAAATGCAACCGGTACACCAATGGGTATCTGAGATTAAAATAAAGCAACCCCTAATCTATTAAAATATAACTTTTAACACACTGACGCTTCAGTGTGATTGGTGGTTGAGACAGACAGGGACGACGTATCTGTGACCATTAGCTAGCTCAGTACCTAGCCACCCTCCACTTACGTTTATTCTTTACACTCTATTGAGTTTTAGATGTACTTTTAGTTTTTCTAGTTGGTTATTAGACTAGTGCAGGAAATTTGGAGGGCTCGATATCAAGGGATTGAGAGATAGCAGGGAGGGAAGTGGGCAATTGATTTCAGTACACTAATTACCCTCTCTGCCTTACTTATATCTGTGCTATGAATCAGATACTGTGACATTTCTGATTCTTGATGCCTATTTACACTCAGCCTCCTTTCTTCTTTTACTAGTTACACCAACTTTAGATAGGATATTTTTTTTTTTTTACTAAGGAGCCACTGTGCTTTTTTATTTTGTATCTATATTAAAAGTTATATTTTAATAGATTAGGGGTTGCTTTATTTTAATATCAGATACCCATTGGTGTACCGGTTGCATTTATGTACCCTTGGGGTTTTCTGATATCTGTTTCTCTTTAGGTGCCCAACATTGCACAGCATATTCAAGGTGTGGTCTTACCAGTGATTTATAAAGAGGCAATATTATATTTTCACCCAGAGTATTTATAAATGACAAAACCTTACTGGCCTTAGCAACTGCAGATTGACATTGCATATTGCTGCCTAATTTGTGGTCTATAACAATTCCCAAATCCTTCTCGTGTGTGGTTATCCATAATTCACTACCATTTAGGGTGTAAGTTGCTTGTGCATTCTTGACCCCTATGTGCATAATTTTGCATTTCCCTACATTAAATTTCTTCTGCCATTTTAGTGCCCAGTCCCCCAATCTATCTAAATCCCTCTACAGCAAAGCAGTATCCGGCTCACATTTTATTACTTTACAAAGTTTTGTGTCATCTGCAAACACTGAAACATGCCTATTTCAAGAGCATTTATAAATATGTTAAATAGAAGCGGTCCCAAAACAGAACCCTGTGGGACACCACTTCACACTTTTGTCCAGCCTGAAAATTTACCATTAATGACAACTCTATGTAATCTATCTTTAACGCAAGAACAAGAATATTAATCTAGACCAATTTCTTTTAGTTTGAAGACTAACCTATTGTGAGGAACCGTATCAAATGCCTTGGCAAAATCCAAGAAGAACATATGCACTTCAACACTCTGATCTATACTTCTACTTTCTTCTTCGTAGAATGCAATTAGGTTAGTTTGACATGACCTATGTTTCATAAAACTATGCTGATTATTGCTAATAACAAAGTTCTTGCCAATGAATTCCTGAATATTATCCCTTAATAGCCCTTCAAATATTTTCCCAGCCACAGAAGTTAAGCTCACAGGTCTATAATTTCCAGGCAAGGATTTTGAAACCTTTTTAAATATAGGAACGACATCTGCCTTTCTCCAATCCTCTGGTACAATACCTGAAACAAAGGAATCTTGATAGATTAAAAACAGAGGTTCACTTATTTCCCCACTTAGCTCCTTAAGTACTCGTGGGTGAATACCATCAGGCCCCAGAGTTTTATTTACATTAAATTTCTTTAACTGCTGTAGCACCTTGTCTCGAGTCATCCAGTCACAAGTTATCTGAACGTTTTTTGCAGCAATTATTTGCATAAATTAAAGCTTAAATACATAATTTTATACAGTCAGCTAAAGTTTCCATTACAATGGAAAGTCCTGGAGTACACAGCCATACACTTTAGTGCTGCTACCCAAATACCTATGGATTAGATTGTATTGCCACTAATACCTTTATACAGGTTCTCCAATCTTACAACATGCATGTTGGGCTTGCCATGAAATCATAAGATTTGCAATGTATAAAAATGTAGGAAGTACATTTGGACTTATCTTACTTACCGTTATGGGAAAATAATCTTTAAAATGCTTCCACACAGTCCACTGATTCATCCACATAGATTTCCTACCCCCTGTAAAAGCAGATAGGGCTCAGAATAAGACAAAGAATAGAACAAATATTGTTGGCGATATACTCCTTCATGTGTTGATATGGTGTTACGTGGATGATAAAACTTAAATGATGAAATATGACAGTTTAGGGTTTCAGAAGATATAATCCATTTCAAGAATAAAATAAGGTATTGTAGGATAAGATCAGGGTAGCTTAGATGTTTAAAAATGGACAGTGATGCGCTTTATACTTTAAGAACATGAGCATTATACGTCAATACATTAAAAACATATGAAACTCAAGTTAAAATTCCAAAGCAGACTATGATTAGAGAAACAAAATATAATTTTCAAATCATATATTCATAAAAATCAGCAAAATAAAGATAATGATATAGCCATGATACTTTTCTAGCAGATTTTGTAAGGGTAAAGAAAGGGTCTTTATAACAGGTTATAGATAAGTTAATTATGGTATAATTGGCAAATTTATTTCGGTTACTCCACATTACATATACTTTTATAGGCATGCCTTTACATTTAAGTCTCCACATTAGATTTTATAACATGTCACTATTCTGTACCTCTTTCTGGTGTACTCCAATCATACATGAACCATACCATGTACATAACAAGCAACGGCCATAGCGAGCTGCACGCAAGCAACGTGATCAGGAAAAAACAGCCTGGACCTGAGAGGAAGACATCAAAAATCAGTATGTACCGTCCTGTTGGATTGGGCAATCTAGACCTAACAAATAAATAAAAAAATCTTAATACTTTACAAAACCGAACAAGCTAAATATTGAACATTGTTATTTTTATTTTTTACTTTTATTTAGATTTGTACAAACAATACAATATTCCTAAACAAGCATTTGTTTGTGTAAGGCAGAGGAAAGGCTAGCTTTTAATATTCTACACGTATGCATAAGTCATCTTTTAACACCAATGAAATATTAACCCCTTAAGGACACTTCTGGAATAAAAGGGAATCATGACGGAATATTTCCGCCATGTGTCCTTAAGGGGTTAAAGCGAAAGTGAGGCTAAGCGAACCTGTGGCTGAACTCTCGAATCTGCAACTCCAAAATCAGTAGTGAGAAAATCTGGGCTTTTTTTTTTTTTTTTAATGTATACTGAATAATTGTGTGTACACTCTTGGTGTGGTTTAAATGACTATATGAAAAGGTAATTACCAGATTTTTACTAATTAAATGACGTAAAGTCATGATTTTATTAAGGACACGGAGTATCATGCTTAATCCCTTTCTTTATTCCTCAGCAGCAAAGAAAGGATAATGTAGATATTCAAAGAAAAACAAAACAGCATGTACCCTAAAGGGTTAACCACATATAACATGTTATCCAATGAGAATGTTCCTAGCACAATAATGCCCCATGTGACCTTAAGCCACTCCTCTTTCTTGATGGTGCCGACGAACATCCCAACAGACTGAAGAACATACAGTATGACCAATTAGATGTGCAGAGCAACGACTCCGGGAAAACACAACAACGGAACTCCGAAGAAACTGGCAATCATCCGCTTGAACTTGGTATGAACCGAGAAATAACCGAGACAGAGAAATAAGTGGTAAAATATGTTCCTGGATATTAAATTCCACATTCACAGTGTATTAGTAACTATAACAATATGTCCAATTAGACAAAACATCAATAATATCAACAGTAATAGTCAGCCAGGTGAATGAACAACATTACCATGAGGACTGTACACCCATTACATGCAAATATACCCATAGGTAGGGTGCAACATACCTGGATCGGGTGGAATAATACTCGCCTTAGTGTCCTTAATAAAATTATGACTTTATGTCATGAAATTAGTAAAATCTGAAATGTCACGGGACCAATCAGCAGCACGGAGAAGGTCTTCCAGTCTGCATTCCAATGAGAAAGCTTTGGATGCCATAGCACCCCTAGCAGAATGTGCTCCGTACGTGGAAGTGTCGATGTCAGCTGACGTCATGATCCATTTACCCCAACAAGATAAGGTAAGTGTAGAAACCGGATGATGTGGATGTTGAATCACTAGAAACAAATCTGGATACCTGGGATCTCAAACTAAAGAGGTCCTTGCTTCATATTCATTGAGACAGGCCACTGGACATAGGTTAACATTATGTGGAAAGGCTGAATAAAAAACCAAAAAAACACAACGATGTAATGGATGTCTTCGTACGTCTCGATATATGGAAAGAAACGCCCTCCGGCGTAAATGAGCGGGCCGTAGAGTCCAGTGCACGACACGTTTACAGGAGATTAGACAAAACAGCATAACCAGTGAGTTGCTAGATCAAAAGGTCCTCATTCTTTGGCCAATTTTCAAGAAGTCGGAGAACGAGGCCAATAGCCCATAAGGAGGAATATTTAGGACATGGTGGATGTGCAAATCTGATGCCACGCAGGAGTCAACACACCAATGGATGTTTACCTGCTTGAAGTCTGTTCCAGCCTTGGTGACATGCCAAGATAACTGATCTATATAAAATGTATTGTACGATAGGCTAGGTCATGGTCAAAATGTGAAGTAAGGAACCTCAAAACATGACTCACAGGTGCAGATATGGGATCCACGTGTTGTTCAATGCACCAACACAATCCATGATTTCCAGGCATGTAGGTAGGACTTTCTTGTTCCTGGAGGCCAAGCTCCCGCCAGGAGGTCCAGAGTTGCTTGTAGAACATTTGGGATGAAGCAGAGTCCCCATAGAGGGGCCATGCCAATAGCTTGAGATGTCCCTGGAGTAGAAGGGGATGCATGTTCCCGCTGGGGTCTAGTAAGAGGTCGGAAAATACCGGTAGTAACCTCGGGAAGTCTATGGACATTTCCATGAGTGTAGGGAACCATGGGTGAGTCCTCCAGAAAGGAGATATGGGGATCAAGAAGGTGAGGTAGCGCCTGATATGTAATGGAGTCCGAGCGATGAGAGAGAGAAAGGGGGAAAGGCGAGTATTCGGAAACAGGTGAAGAAAATCATTTGCCGCTGGAGCTTCTAGAGGTGGCCTCCAGCTGAAGAACTTTGACAGTTGGGAGTTAAATCATGATGCGAACAGGTCGATATCTAAAGGGCCCAAATGTGACTGTAAATGGCTGACGGTGGAAGGATTCAGTCGCCAATCGCTGGTATCTTGTAGGTGTATGGATTTCGAATTTGCCACTATGTTGGACATCCCCGGAATGTACTCTGCCGGTACAAAAATATTGCGATCCAGGCAGGATTGACAGAATTCCTTCGCCATATCCGCTAAGACTGTTGACTTCGTGCCCCAGAGACAGTTGATATAAGGAACCGCTGATACATTGTCCATGTGTAACAAGATGGAGCAGATACACCCAAGAGGCTCCATAGGGCAAACGAGCCTGCTAGCAGTTCGGGGCAACTGATGTGTAGTCCCTGTTCCTCCAGAGACCATTTTCCCCGGTGGTGGTAGGCCAACAGCACACGCCCCAGCTGAGCATATTTGCATCGGATTCTACTACGAAGTCCAGAGTGGTTCCGAAGATCACTCGCCTGTTTCATGCCTCCATGTGTTGTAACCACCCCATGAGTTCTTCTTTGGCTGTGCAGTCGAGAGGAATAGAGTCTGAATAAGAGTGACTCAAGCGAAGGTACTTGGCCTTCAGACGTTGAAGTGATCTGTAATGCAGTGGGCCAGGAAATATGGTTTGGATCGATGCTGAGAGAAGGCCGATAATCCTGGCCAACTGCCTCAGGGTAAGAACAGGACCTGCTAACGTCCGGTGGATTTCCTTTTTGATGTACTTGACTTTGGATGTTGGTTGTAGGAGTGCTCCGCCCATGGAATATATGGTGAATCCTAGAAATTCTATTGATTAAGAGGGTTCGATAAAACGGCTTTTTCCAATCGATTAGGAAGCCTAGGTTGTCCAGCATAGTCTTCATTCGAGACAGGTGTTCGCGGAGCAGGGGATGATCCTGTGCCATTATGAGGATATCAAAGTATATTATAAGTTGAGCTCTTTTGCTGTGTAGAAGGGCAACCACTGGTTTCATGAGTTTTGTAAAGCACCAAGTGCCGAAGAGAGACCGACCGGAAGGCATTTGAATCGCCACATGGTCTCCTCCCACAGCAATTGTAGGAATTCTTGGCAATCTTCGGCCATCGGAACGGTGAGGTATGAGTCCCTCAGGTCGAGTTTGACCATCCAGTGCCCTGAAAGCAGGAAGTCCCAAAGAGTGTATACCTTCCATCTTGAAATGGTGGTATGTGACAAAAACATTTAGTCGAACGCCTCCACCTTGGGGACCAGAAAGAGGTTGCTTAGGAAACCTGGAGTGCAAGGATGAATTACTGAGATTGCACCCTCAAAGGCTAAGGACTGTATTTCCTTTGTCACAAGGTACTGAACGTGTGTGGAGAACACAATACGCTTGGGGAACTGCGTTTGAACGGGGTGTTGCACAAAATCTATAGAGTAACCCCGGACAGTCTGGAGGACCCAAGCATCTGAAGTGAGCCTGCACCAGGGATCGACAAAATGACACAGTCTGCCCCCCACTATTGTTATTGAAGACCGGTGATATGTAATTAAACTTACCATAAGGCAGTCAGACATAGGAAGAACCTCTGGATCCACAAAACTGCCAAGGCCTGCCCCTAACTGGGAAGAATGGTGGGGTGAACTTGGACTCAGGCGCTGGAAACCCAGAGTTGATGGAGCCTCGAGAAGCCCGGTATGAACGGCTGGGCAGATGGCACAGATATTTGCCAGCCCCGTCAAAAACTCTCTGGGAGAACACTCGTTTCATGCTGGCTTGTGCCTTGTCAAGTGCTGTTAAGGTACCTACATATGTGCCCAACTCTTTCACAAAGTTATCTCCAAACAGAATGCCTTTTGCCTGTGGCCCAGGCTCGGAGATAGCTAGGTTTACAGCTTAGGCTCTATTTTTATTAGAATTTCCTTGCGTCTTTCAGTGGCTACTGCAGTATCGGTGTTGCCCTGCAAACATACGGATCACGGGATCCACCCCTTGATGACTAACAATTCTGCAGGTGTACCACCTGCCAGTGTGGTTTCGAACATGTCGAATATTTTTGCACTCGGTCCAAGGACATCTAGGATTTTATCCTGGCAGTTCCGCAAAGCAAAATCCAGGCCTTTCTTGGCCTTCCAACCTGATTTGCCCATTGGCAATTTTTGAGTCCACGTCAGGGTTAATGCGGTCCATATCAGGAATTGTGGGCGTGGGCATTGTTCTGTGCCACCTTGTCAAGCAGTTTCCTAATACGGGAGGCAATGTATTTTGCCATGTGATCTAGGGGGTAACAATCTTAAGGATCTCGGATGCTGCAAGGTATCCGGTCAAAGAGCGCTTCGCCCTGAGGGTCAAAAAGGGTGGAGCCATCTACTCCATCTTTGGTGTCCTCTCCAGGTACGGGCCCAGTAAAATAAACACTGGAGTCATAAGAGTCCTCATCGGACTCGATCAGTGCCTCCTTTTGTTCCGATTCAGATTCGGAAGAATCAATTAGGGTTTTTGCCTTCTTCCAGTTCCTCACCGATTTTGCTTAGTGTGGGCTCTTAGTTGTGCTGCAACCACATCCTCTGTGACAGGACATACCCTGTCCATCAGTAAGTTTTTGGAGGCATCCTCGTCCAAATTGCGAGATTTGTTGGCGGATTTACACCCACTGGGGGCCACCGGTTTACTCTCTAGGGGTTAGAAACGAGAGTAGATGGTCGCTGCATGGTCATCAGTGTCTGAGTAATCGAGTGGGACAGATTATCTGACATGACCATAGCGGTAAAGATGGCTTGCGTCACAGACTTGGCCATAGTAGCGTCTAGGAGCGAATGGAACTCCTCAGAGTTCATTTCCTTCTGTGACGCTTCATCTAATGTGGGTGGCCTAGACACTGTTAGGGGTGCAAGGGTTTTGGTGGCACTTGAGGAAGAGCTGGTAGCAGAAGCTTACACCTGTTTACCTGACTGCATGGCACAGTAATTCCTTCCCACAAGTGTGACAGAAAAAAAACTAGCCTATAGGAGGGTCAGGCACTATAAGGGTCACAGAACAGGAAGAATCTACACAGTAACAGAAACTGAGGAGTGCAGTGGAAAGGAGAAGTATACCAGCACATATTTATACAATAAAATGAAGGCACAGTGTAAAAACCAAGCAAGCTCACAGAGTGTTCCCTTAGGAATGAACTTCTGTGGACCACCGGTAAGCTGCACAGCAACCCAGCCATCCAAACAGCTTAATTCCGCAATAAAAAGCGCGGCAAAACCGCCAACCCCAAGATGGCTACCACAATGAGCACTTGCGATGTACGCTTGCGTGAGTGGCACCACAACGGTACCCTGTAGAAGGAAGGAGCAACAGGAATGGTCGGAAAATAAAGTGACCAGATGACTAAGGGTAGGGGTGGGGTGGGGGGTGGGAGTTAGAGGAGGTTGCAGGGAAGGATAAACAAAAGGAGCAACAATATAAGGTTCCAACAATATAATGCTCCTATAAAAATAAAATGGGCAAAAAAAATTAAAAATTGTGCAAAGAAGACAGCAATATACTAGACAAATACAGTAATTAAAATTACCCAAATTAAGTCAGAGATATGAAAAAAATTTACTTAGCTGAGGAGGCAGCAGCAAAGAAAGAGGAGTGGCTTAAGGTCACATTGGGCATTATTGTGCTAGGAACATTCTTATTGAAAAACATTTAATACGTGGTTAACCCTTTAGGGTACATGCGGTTTTGTTTGTCTTTGAATATCTACAATATCCTTTCTTTGCTGCAGAGGAATAAAGAAAGAGATTAAGCAGAATATGACCCTCTGGGTCCTTGAATAAAATGAGTGTGCTTCTTTTTGGGTTATTGTATAACAGGGTTAGTACCCCTCTACACATTGTGGATAACTTTACGTAGAAGGTGATATTATGTTAGTGTAGGCTACTGTACCTGGATGAATTTGTTGAAAAAGCATGTCTGATGACAATGACGACAGATGGAATCAATGGAACTGTGAAAATGTATAAAAATACTGAGAATCTCAATCTGACCCTCAATAAGTCTTTGCTGTCCACAGCATGTAACCAACTTTGCTCATACATACAGATCTACAATTCAAAGTCAATATTGTGATGACAGGATGTCACTTGCGTCATCACAAAGATATCTCTCAGGGGAAATAGCTTACGAGGCAAGCCATATAGAAGACAATGAAGAAGAACCTCAAAAATGTATAATAAGCTGGCAAGTGGCCATTTGGAAGATATAAATTTTGCAAGGGCTTCGTATACCTCCTCCAAAATCTCATTTTTAAGAAGTCCAAATCAGAGTCTAGTTGTTCTCGTAAACCAAGCTCCCAGTGTCACTGGAGAAACACAACTGATTCTATGAAAATGAACACTCTTACCAAGCAGTAAGAAGCATAGGATCCACTGCAATACACTGACAGTTTGTAGGAGCTCTGTGTACATATTGCTGTCGCTTTCCGTCACTTTTGTCTGCACATTGAGAAAGATTAATAAAGAGGGTAAGCCATTTCTAACCACTTAATAGGTCTTCTTTTCCACTTTTATGTTTGTGTTTTGTATTTTTTCCACAATTAAAAACTTTGTTAAACATTTACTGCACAGTTTTTATTAAATTCTTTATTGTGACGGAACATAATGATAAAAGCAGGAAAAAGAAAGACAGATTGAGAGAAACATACAGGATTTCATATATCGCAGGCAAGTTCCAACTGATTAAAACATCTTATGTAAGAGTTGAGCAGTATAAATCTATCAAATATAAAATGGAATGCGTATAAAGCCAGATATGGCAGATAATTTTGTAGCGTTTGGATTGAGAGCATTATTATGAACAACCCACAAGTCAAGAACTGGGAGAACGACTAACTAGATGTATTTAGAAAAGTATATGCAGCCTTGATGAACGGTTTCTGAATTGAATTTTCCAGATTGCCAGAAAACAGAATCTGAGAGAATCTGTAGAAACTAAAAAAATAATTAAAAATCAGTGTCTATGTAAGAGGGGATTAACCCAGGCAATTCTGTCAGGATAGAGAGAGGGCAGTGACAGATGGCATAAAGCTTGCTATACGGATAATTTAGGACTGCATCAGATGACAGTGCAATAAGGACTATGCCCACAAGCAGGAAAGTAATTAGTTCTAGCCCGTCCTCAGACAGATTTACTGTAATACAGCAGATGCTGCCATGATTTTATATAATGATACTATGGAGACGAGTGCTCCTTAATGTTCAAAATGAGGAATAGTTAGTTAGCCCTAGGGCTGTCACTCACTAGGTCAATTGGGCACAAATCACTCGTACAAGCTGATGGGCTATGCATGAAAAGTGCTGCACATTAGTATAAAGCAATCATACTAGAGGTGAAAACTTAAAACCTCACTGTTACTGCACTTTGTTTTTGAAAGTATAATCTCTATAAAAAATTAATAGATATTGTGTTGGGATTTCGTTACAACTCAACCAAAACACATCACACAAGGTCTCCCAAAAGCTTCTCTCCCACAGTCAAGATAACCCACAAGTGACACTAGATTCAGCAGAACAACTACATCTTAATTTAGTGGGTCTGGTGTATATAGTCTGCCCCTGCAGGCTCTTCAAGTAAAAGGCAATGTTTAAATTGCTACCTAGTAACACCCCTATCTGCAGTCATTCAGACGGCCACTAGAAGTGCTTCCTAGTCCAGTGCTGCACAGGCATTCGCCATTTCCATGTTCTGCATGGAGAAACTGAATGTTCCCCATAGAGATTTATTGCTTCATGAGGAGCTGCTTGTTGGCTCAAAGTGACGTCTTGACACACATGAGCCAAAGCCTCCCAATGCTTTCTGCCTTCTCAGCCTTAAAAGGCGTGGCCAGTCGTGGAGGGACCGGCACGATGTGGAAAAAAGGGGAGCAAAAACACCTTTTTACTGTGATCTAGGGGTCGCCACAGACCTGAAATAGTGAAACACTAGAGTGTCAGGAACACATTTTGTGTTAGTGTTCCTGTGACTAAAAAAACCTTGGGGCTCCTTTTTTGATTAACGAATTGGTTTACTTCCTTTAACACATTAATGCTCTATACCACAAGGCCATGCGTTTTAAAATAAAGTAGTTAACATTATGATATCTAAGAACACAACATGGATCTCGCAATCCTAGCTGAGCTACAAAGTCTACACATCTCCGTACAATATTGTCAACATAGATATAATATATACTAATATAACACTTCATGCATAATGCAACAAGGTACAGAGACAGATTCCTGTATTAAAATCTAAATACAAAGTCAGTAATTGTGAACCTTTGAGCCCGAGGGCCTAAACTCCAACTCAAAACCAATTTATCTTAAAGTGACAACACTGCAAGTAAACATGAAAATGGAGGTCAGGCTGTGTGCGGTGGGTATTTATTTTAAATTAACTAAGCTAGCAAAGTAAAAAACTAAACATGGTCTAGTGGGGTTAATAATAGATCCCCGATGGTCCTGATGGTGGTGGTGGCATGTATGGTCTGCGCCTCTACCTGGTGCAGACCACAATACTTACTCCTTCCTCTCCAATGCTCAATGAGAAAGTCAGAGCACAGGCTAGGAATCCTGGTGGCTGCTCTCTGTCTCCCTCACTAAGTGCTGGAACCATGAAGGAGTGATTAATATGATCTGTTCCAAGCAGAGGCAAAAGGTGTTTAACTCATCTCTTTAGGGAATCATTTTTTAAAATTGAATATATTGATGATCTGGAAGCATTATATAAAAACAGCTCTTTTGATGGGGGGGGGAGGGAGGGGCAGCAGTAGGCTCACACGCTGCAACCCCCTGCCAGTGAACCCTAGGGTGGCCACCTGGGCCTCCTTACAGTAGCACCAGCCCTGAGTACTCTGCTGCCTTGCGTGCCAGCAGAGCTGCCTCTGCATGCCTATTTCATTGAAAATAAGTTGTTATGGTGCTAGGAGGTCCATGGCGCTTCCTTGTCTACTCTGCAGCACTGTTTATCTCTGTCTCCTGTTCACATAAAAACAACTTGAGAAAGGTAAGGAAGCACCGGTGATCTCCTAGTACCATAACAACTTAATTTAAAACAAGTTGTAATGTTGCCTTAGGTATACTAACATGTATTCCTAACACTCTAATGCTGTTTAGATGTCTTCCCCATCCTTCCCTCAGAATGCAGTGAAATCTCCCCAAAATCTCCCTCACCACAGCTGAGATCAGTCTTGACTACCTCGGCCAATCCAATGCTTTCCTATAAGAAGCATTGGGAGGCTATGTGCATGCGCAGCAAAAGACGCTGAGCCAATCAGGATCGCCTCATACAGAAGCTGCACTAGAGGCGTTACTAGGCATCAATGTACGTACTTTTACTCTGAAAAGGCATCATTTACATTGAAAAGTCTGCAGGGGCATGCTATAGACACCAGAACTACTACATTAAGCTGTAGCGGTTCTGGTGACTATAGTTCCCTTTAAGGAGTTAAAAAGATCCTGAACACCTTCCTTCTCAAACCCAGTGAACATGAATTTACTACCCCAACGTGTCTATGCAGGTCCTGAAGCTGAAGTGTGGTAAATCCTATATATAAATTCGAAGGGAGTAACCCCCAAGGAATTAAAGGGACACTATAGCCACCCAGACCACTTTATCTCATAGTTTACTGCACGGGGACACTATGCAGTTAGGAATACAGTTTTGTATTTCCAACGCTATTGTTCCTTTAATGTTGCATTCAAGAATATACATAGCGTTCATCCCTTTCTAACAAAAGATGCTTGTGTCCAAGGATGACTAAGCAACTTACCTGTCTCCATTCTTACATTACCACATTGTATTCTTTATATACTGATTGCTGGTGGCAGGCATGCGATTTAATTTAACATATTTAGCCTTTAATAAAGAGACAATGGGTCTCATGTAAAAAAAAAAAATTGTCACATGTGCTTTAACAGTTTTTTTTTTTAAACAATAGGAAGACAATAAAAGTTATCAGAGAAAAACTCTTACAGTGGTGAAAAAAATTGTCAGAAAAAGGCACACTTTTGAACCTTGTTTTTAAATTGATTACAAATTTGTGGAGAAAAAAATAAATAAAAAACGAAAACAAAACAAAATTAAATATTTTAGTATATATAAGGGAATAAACAGACACAAGTAAACAAGCCTAAAAATGAGCACAAAACTTTTTATACATAAGCCCCATACTCATAACATCTGCTATCATTTATTTATTTTTAATTGGATTTTAGTGTGCCTTTTAGTGTGTGGTTTAGTACTGAAACAGTAGAGAAATGAACCACACACACACTTCAGTTTCCAAATGATAATCAATGCTTTGTGCAGATTACATTCTGAACACTTTCAGTGCTGGTCATATAAAAATCTTAATGGCAATCTCATTTAAGAACACATTTCATAATTCTAGATAAGTTTCTTTTTCAATGCTTTTAACACCAAATGAGTTACTTATAAAGTGGGCAGACAATTGGTTCAGAATACTAACATATATTCACTAAACTGAGTTACATTTACACATTTAGCGGGCTGTTTTGACTGAATGTTGCAATTCCATTGCATTATTTCACTCTTTAGTAAATAAACACGTTGACACATTGATAAATTAAAGCTTAAAATTGTTGGAAATTTAAAGTGAATTTTAGGTAAATTTAGCCAAAATCAGCCATATTTTCAGTTTGACTATTTTAGTCTAAAATTTGATATTCACTGTATTTACTAAACTTTGAATTAATAGCAAACTTTAGGCTAAATCAGCCTGAATGTGGCTATGGCTGAATTGGATGATTATTCTAGATCAGCTATTGTAGACTAAATTTTGTGATTCAGATTAATATTTTGCAATATTCAGTTTAGTGATATATTTAAAGTGAATATTAGTGATTAACTGTGTCTGAATTCACCTTGAATTCCCAACAATCCACACTTTAAGGGATTATTTACTAAACATAGAATTTTACTGAATTAGACCTGAAAGGCAAAATTCAGGCCAAATCAGCGGATATACAAACAACACATTAATTTACCTATGGCATCATAGTAAATAGATATAACACAAAATCTCTAAATATATATAAAATAGAATAGTTTTTTTTCTTACCGATGGCAGGGTCTCCATGTTATAGCGTGGTGAGATGGCTTGCACATCAGACTGAACATAGATTAACATCAGATTCCCAGTTATGCAAATTTGGGATCTCTGTCCGCATTTCAACAAAAGTAAATACTATCTTGCATGGTGTTCAGAAACATGTGTACACATGTAACAACCTAAAAAGAAAAAAAATATTCTTCTATGATTTTCTTTGTGTGACGTGCCTGTTGATTCAGCCTATAAAATGCGAGCTGGTAAATATATTCCAGTGATGATGGACATATGGCGTGATTATACCATGGTGCCCAGAGGTCTCCTTAAGTGTAGCTATGCTATTATAATGGCCCACAGCCTATAATCTGGGCAAATTTTGTATATTTTCTGGTTGAGTATAGTTGTAAGCACATACAAGGTTATGTACTAAGGTGAGAATTCTAATTTAAGGCCAGAGTAGCTTAACTGAAATTTAGAAGATTTTTCAAATTTAGTTTTGTTTTTTTATCATAAATATGAAAATTAAATATTTGGCCTCTATCTGGTTGGTTAAAGGAAATTAAGGCGCTAGGAATACAAATCTGTATCCCTAAAGCTTTAGTGCCCTAGTCTGTAATTAGATTCAGCTCCTCCGACTGTTTTATAGATTAATTAAAACAATATATATTTTTAAAAAATAGATGAATATCCAATTCAATGCTCTTCATATAGGAGCATTGGAGACAAGTTGCATGTGCACTGCCAGCTGCATGTGCGTCCAATCAAATACTTTCCTATGAGCTGCATTTAGTCACATGACTAAATTTCATTCTGGTTTTCATGTTTAACCTTACAATATTTAAATTACAGGCTTAAAACTACAGGGCCACTGAACCTAAACCATTTCACTGAGATGAAGATGTCTGGGTGCATTTAATTGTCTTTTAAGGATTTTGACAGCTGTAGTCTATCAAAACGCAAATCCAATTCAGTTGTTTCCCTACTACAGAAATTCAATTAATTTAACATTTGTAAAACAGCACACAACAGCTGCAGTGCCTCGGGTTAGCCACCATTGCATATTAAGAAGATTAGAAATAAATATGTATGCTACATAATCTATCAAGAATCTATTGAATGTGAGATAGCTGTGGGAAAAACAGTCCTGTTTGAGAGAGCTTTTAAAAACAAATAAAAAAAGATTCTTAGCTAATGCTAAACAAACACATATCTCCATCGTATTTAAATTATTAATACATTGTATGGAAAAAAAGCTTTTTGCAAATACATTAAATAAAATACACAGTACATTCCTGTGTTTGTTGCAAGTTCCCAGGCTGTGCAGCATCTGTAATAAGTTTGTCTAAACCGGGAAGTGCCAAAGCCAATCACAATGAAATACTGCAGGTTGGGAGGGAGGAGCAGAAAGGGTATCCTGGCTTCTAAAGCTGCTCTGGAGTAAGGAAGGCTCCACGTATCCTCTGTATTCTGTAGAAATTGGATTTGGCATGTGCCAGGCTATTGAAGGATGCCTCACTGTAAGAGATTCCAAAAAACATGCACTGATTGCCCCACACATTTTGAACATTCTAGGAACAAAACACAAACATGCTAAGATATTTAATCACTGTGACTGGCTCTCACAGCAATCACTAAACCTTAATTTCATGATGTATTATTGTGGTTAGAATTAAGTTTAGTATTATGGTTGCAGTTAGTATAGCATTTAGAATCAATGTTAAATTAGAATAAATATCAGGTCTCTTATTAGAATTACGGCTAGAGTTACTAATCGGATTAGACCTACAAATCCAGATAGATGTAGGGTTATTCACTAAAGGGAGAATTGGAAGTGAATTCAAGGTGTTTCACATTTAAGGTCAAAATAGTCAAACTAGAAAAATTCTCTAAATCAGCATGTTTTCATTCCAACTACTCTGGCCTTAAAAAAATCACCTTGAATTCACTTTGAAATCTCATTTTATTAAATAACCCTGCTGGTCCAAATTAACATGTGTTCATTAATCTGAAGTAGTATGTAGGTTCAGATTTTAGTAGTGATAAAACAAAATGCATAGAAGCATATGAGTCTCATGTGCCTGAGGTCGCGGGCGCCATTTATAAAATGGTATAAAGTCCCAACATATGCATAAAGACAAAAGGACAAAAAAAATAATTAAAAATATTATAAATACTTATAAAAAGACTAAAAAAGGTAAGGATAATAAGTAGAGAGTATATAACAACAAAATAAATGGAGAAGAATGTTAACCATAAAAACCCAAAAGGAATCAAAACCACCAGATAAAAAAAGTATGTGCAAAAATACATTAAAAGATAAGGTGAAAAACTTTGAACTTAAAGTCCAGATTCAAACCCTTAGAATTCAAATTTTGAAAAATTCTTTAAAAAAATGTTTTAGTAAAACATTTTCCCAAGAAATTTCTTTCAAAAAATTTATTTTTTGTTTTTAATAATTTTCTAAAATTTTACATTATGAATTCTAAGGTTGGGAGGTCTATCATCTGTTGGACAATGCCAGCCCCCGTCGGAGGTGTATAACCAAAAAAGAATACGTCACCAGAAATGACGCAACGGACTATCAAGCCAGAACAGGAACACGTCACAGGATGTGACGCGACAGATATCCACACGATCATTACGATCTCAGATAATTTGGAAAATATTCAGAACTATGGTTTAAACCAGGGGTCCTCAAACTTTTTAAACAGGGGGCCAGTTCACGGTCCCTCAGACACTGTTGGGGGCCATACTATAAAAAATATGAACAAATTCCTATGCATGCTGCACACACACGCATAAGGACATAAATACACACACACATACTGACATACATACATAAACAAACATACATTTACATACATACATACGGACATACATACACATACATACACACACACACATACTGAAATACATACACATACTGACATACATACAGACAGACACACACAGACATGCACACACACACACACACACACACATAGACATACATGCTGACATACATACATACAGATACATACCCACAGACATACATACATACACACACACACAGACATATATACAGACTGAAATACATACACATACATGCAGATACATACACACAGACATACATACATACACACATGCTGACATACATACATACACACATACATATTGACATACATACATACTGACATACATACATACACGCACACATACACACATACTGACATACAGGCATACATACATACTGACATACATACATACACACACACACACACATACTGGCATACATTCAGACATACAGACATACATCTATACATACACACACACACATACTGACATACATACATACAGAAATACACACACACATACTGACATACATACATACAGACAGACATACATACATACAAAGGGGCACGGTCGCGTTTTTGCACAGCTGCAGCGCTGACCGGGCCCCTGAAGATACAGGGCCCATCGGGTGGCTCTGAGTGCTTGGGTTCAGGACCCTGGTGGGCCGTAGTTTGAGGACCCCTGTTTTAAACAATAGTTTTTTTATTTATAGGATTATGTATTTTTTATAGATATTCCTTTCCTCTGTATGTATTTTATGCATTTAAGACCACCAATATGGTGGAGAAATATGTCCGAACCGGAAGCTCCGCCATTTTGGAAGTGGTAGAATGCGCATCCGGTCCGGACCATATATGGAAATAGGAGTATCCTATGTAACATGTGTGTTTGATTGTTTTTTTTGTTTAATTGATGTACCTTTATAAAAGCATGTTTATGCCAGTGGAACATTCAGCAGAACCTGAGAAAGACCCTTTTTTGTGGTTGAAACGCGTTGTGCATATTATTTTATTTTTTGTGTTTGGTTTTATACATACAAATAAAATTGCTTTTAGTCACCTACTTCCATTTTTGGAGTTCCTGATTTCAACTTCTTACATCCATAAAGAAGACATATATGCTCTATAAGTTCAGAGCCAACTTTAATGGGCTCAGAAAATTGTGAGTGTTTCGAGTTTTCACCTCTTCTTACAAAATATTTATACAGATTACACTACGTTGTGTTTTATTTTTATCCTTGTATAGGAACTATTGACATCATTTCTATCAAGTGTAATGCACACAAGGTAAAAACTCCTTTATTGTGTGCGCTTTCATTTTTTAATCTTTACACTATATTCTTTCTTTTAAGTAGATTAAGTGACAGTATACTTGGGTAATTTAGCAGCACCAAACTTGTATATTCCTAAGTGCCACCTATATCTTCTCTGCTACCAAATTTCAAGTTTTGTTTACATTTTATTTTGATCAAAACGTGTACAATTGGCTCAGTCCTTAAGGGGTTAACTTCCTTTAGAAGTTTTTTTTATCTCCAGCTCTGTAAATTTACCTTTTATCACACTCATGAGACTCCTGCTGGGTCTAGAAAGCTATTAACAGAGCAGGATATAAGAAATTCTATATTATACAGAATGTGCAATAAAGTAACCTAGGATATCTGGGTTCCTTTTCGGGATGTGTTCAGGAAAGCTGTGAAAGTTACATGCAGGTGTTATTTGCATTTTCCTAAATCTTTGACATAAATGTAAAAGGAAACAGAGCAAATAAAGGCAGGGCCTGACTTCAAATTAGGCATATTAGGTACTTGCCTACAGGTGCATGCCTGATGAGGGCGCCAACTTTGCCTGTTAAAGGACCACTTTAGGCACCCAGACCACTTCAGCTCAATGAAGTGGTCTGGGTACCAGGTCCATCTAGGGTTAACCCTGAAGCTGTAAGCATAGCAGTTTCAGGAAAAACTGCTATGTTTACATTAGGGTTAATCCAGCCTCTAGTGGCTGTCTCATTGACAGCCGCTAGAGGAGCTTCCACGCTTCTCACTGAGTCCCCAGCGGGAGCTCGGCGCTGGAGAAAGGTAAGAATTTAACCCCTTCCTCCCCCTTCAGCCCTGCGGGAGTGGGACCCTGTGGGTGGGGGGTACCCAAAGACCCTATAGAGACAGGAAAAAGAGTTTGTTTTCCTGGCACTATAGTGCCCTGAGGGTGCCCCCACCCTCAGGGTCCCACTCCCGCCGGGCTGGATGGCGAGGAAAGGGTTAAACTTACCTTTTCTCCAGCGCCGGACAGGGAGCTCTCTTCCTTCTCTCCGCCTCCGATCCTCTTCTTCGGCTGAATGCGCACGCGCGGCAGGAGCTGCGCGCGCATTCAGCCTGTCTCATAGGAAAGCATTCATAATGCTTTCCTATGGACGCTGGCATCTTCTCACTGTGATTTTCACAGTGAGAAGTACGCAAACGCCTCTAGCGGCTATCAATGAGACAGCCACTAGAGGCTTTAGTGATCTGTGCATGGCCCCGCCCCCTGAGACTGAACACAGTGATCTGTGCATGGCCCCGCCCCCTCAGACTGAACACAGTGATCTGTGCATGGCCCCGCCCCCTCAGACTGAACACAGTGATCTGTGCATGGCCCCGCCCCCTCCCACAGCCCCCCGCCCCCTCAGACTGAACACAGTGATCTGTGCATGGTCCCGCCCCCTCAGACTGCCCCATTGCCTCAGACTGAACACAGTGATCTGTTCATGGCCCCACCCCCTCAGAATGAACACAGTGAGCTGTGTGTGGCCCCGCCTTCTCAGACTGAACACAGTGATCTGTGCATGGCCCCGTCCCCTCAGACTGAACACAGTGATCTGTGCATGGCCCCGCCCCCTCAGACTGAACACAGTGATCTGTGCATGGCCCCGCCCCTCAGACTGAACACAGTGATCTGTGCATGGCCCCGCCCCCTCAGACTGAACACAGTGATCTGTGCACCCCCACAGAATGAACACAGTAAGCTGTGCATGGCCCGCCTCCTCAGACTGAACACAGTGATCTGTGCATGGCCCCGTCCCCTCAGACTGAACACAGTGATCTGTGCATGGCCCCGCCCCCTCAGACTGAACACAGTGCATGGCTGTGAACACAGTGATCTGTGCATGGCCCGCCCCCTCAGACTGAACACAGTGATCTGTGCATGGCCCCGCCCCCTCAGACTGTACACAGTGATTTGTGCATGGCCCTGCCCCCTCAGACTGTACACAGTGATCTGTGCATGGCCCCGCCCCCTCAGACTGAACACAGTGATCTGTGCATGGCCCCGCCCCGTCAGACTGAACACAGTGATCTGTGCATGGCCCCGCCTCCTCAGACTGAACACAGTGATCTGTGCATGGCCCCGCCCCCTCAGACTGAACACAGTGATCTGTGCATGGCCCTGCCCCCTCAGACTTTACACAGTGATCTGTGCATGGCCCCTCCCCGTCAGACTGAACACAGTGATCTGTGCATGGCCCCGCCTCCTCAGACTGAACACAGTGATCTGTGCATGGCCCCGCCCCCTCAGACTGAACACAGTGATCTGTGCATGGCCCCGCCTACTCAGACTGAATACAGTGATCTGTGCATGGCCCCGCCCCCTCAGACTGAACACAGTGATCTGTGCATGGCCCCGCCTCCTCAGACTGAACACAGTGATCTGTGCATGGCCCCGCCCCCTCAGACTGAACACAGTGATGTGTGCATGGCTCCGCCCCCTCAGACTGAACACAGTGATCTGTGCATGGCCCCGCCTCCTCAGACTGAACACAGTGATCTGTGCATGGCCCCACCCCCTCAGACTGAACACAGTGATCTGTGCATGGCCCCGCCCCCTCAGACTGAACACAGTGATCTGCAGGATGGATAGGTGAGAGAACTGGAACAGAACGACCAACTCCGAAATGACAGGAACACACATAGACAGAGCTACACATGCTGTTATCCAGATTGTATATATACGCAGGCTGCTGCACAGATTGTTACACACACACTGCAACTCGCATTGCTGCCTATAACGCTACACACAGATACTATTACACCCACTGCCTGTATACTGCAACTATCCACAGCGTTCCAAAACAACATACAGACTACCATACCACTTCATATGGACAGAGAGGGCACTTTAATTTTAGTCGACTAAAACTAGACAAAAACAAAAACTTAAATGACTTTTTAGTCAAAAACTAAATTTGTCGCCAAAATTAACACTAGCGGATGAGATACATGGGGTAGGGAGGAGAAGAAATGAGACACATGAGGTGCTGAGGGAATGAGACACATGGGGGGCTGGGGAAATGAGACACATGGGGGGCTGGGGAAATGGGAATGAGACACATGGGGGGCTGGGAATAGAACACATGGGGCTAGGGAAGCAAACACATGGGGCTAGGGAATGAGACAAATGGGGCTGTGAGAATGAGAGACACATAGGGGCTGGGGAATGGGAACATGGGGGGGCTGGGGGAATGAGACACATGGGGGGCTAGGGAAATGAAACACATGGGGGCTAGGGGAATGAGACAAATGGGGGTCTGTGAGAATGAGACACATGAGGGGCTTTGAGAATGAGACACAGGGGGTTTGGGGAATGAAACACATGGGGGGCTAGGGGAATGAGAGACATGGTGGGCTGTGAGAATGAAACACATGGGGGCTGTGAGAATGAGACACATGAGAGGGTTTGGGGGATACAACACATGGGGGACTAGGGGAATGACACATGGGGGTTGTGAGAATAAAACACATGGGGGTCTGTGAGAAAGACACACATGAGGAGGGACTGGGGAATGAGAAATATGGGAGGGCTGGGGGAAAAAGACACATGGAGGCATTGGGGAGGAAAATGAATAAGGGTCTGGGGGAATAAGACACGTGGAGGAATGAGATGCATGGAGGTGCTGGGGGCGAAAAGCAACATAGAGAGGCTGTAGGAGAAAGAGAGGTGCTATGGGGAAGAGACACACAAATAGATCTGTGGAGAGAAAAAGACAGAGGGCCTGGGGATGGTGCACATGAGACAGGGGAAGGGACAAAAGAGGCTGACAGGGGCTTGGGGTGGTGACACCCAGAGGGGCTGTGGGGACATAAAGAGACACAGAGGGGCTTGGGAAGGGTCAAAAAAGTATGATAGAGGCTTTAGCTAAACCTATTAGATTTTAGTCGTGTCAACTAAAATTTACTGGAGATTTAGTCGACTAAAACTAAAACTAAAACAATTCAGAAGACTAAAATACGACTAAAACTAAAATGGCTTTTAAGTCCAAAGACCAGTGGTGTATCCTGGTGCTGCCCTAGGCATGACAAAACTCTCAGTGTCTCAGTGTCCCCATGTCTCCCAGTGTCACTAGTGTCAAAGTGTCCCCATGTTTCCCAGTGTCCACAAGAGTCTCAGTGTCCCCTGGTGACATGGGGACACTGGGAGACATGGGGAGTGGGACACTAAGACACTGGGGACACAATGTCCCCAAGTGTCTCAGTGTCCACATGTCTCCCAGCCAGTATCCCTGGTGTCTCAGTGTCCCCATGTCTCCCAGTGTCTCAGTATTCCCATGTCTCCCAGTGCCCCTAGTGTCTGTGTGCCCGTGTCTCCCAGTGTCCCTAGTGTCTCAGTGTCCCCATGTCTCCCAGTGTTGCTAGTGTCTCAGTGTCCCCATGTCTCCCTGTGTCAACATGTCTCCCAGTGTCCCAAGTGTCTCAGTGTCCCCTAGTGACATGGGGACACTGTGAGACATGGGGACACAGACACTAGGGGACACTGGGCAACATGGGGACACAAAGACATGGGGACACTGGGAGACATGGGGCACTGAGACACTGTGATCCATAGGGACAGTGTCTGCCAGTGTCCCCAAGTCTCCCGGTGTCCCCAAGTGTCTCATTGTCCCCATGACTCACAGTGTCCCCCAGTGACATGGGGACAATGGGAGACATGGGGACATTCGGTGACATGGGGACACTGGGAGCAATCCATCTATACAGTAGAATCAAACTGTAAGTAGTTTTTTGGTGATTTTACAGAATTTTCTCTTATGTCACTCCTTGTGATTTACATCATGTGATGTCACACATACATAATTAGATATGCAAATTAGCAAGGCCTGTATTTTTTTTTCCAAGAAAGGTGGCAACCCTAACTACTCTTCACATACTCTTGCTTAAGTATGGAAACTTAAGAGGGATTTATGGAAACAAAACTTGTGTGGACTAGCTGAAATGAAATTAGTTAAAGTAATGCTGACTTTGGTCTCTCCAGCACTGTGGCATGTTTTCTTTCTTCTACACTCACTACATCCACCTTTTCTCTGTCTCAGACTGTATAGCAGGAGCTTCTGCCTGCTAGTAAGAAGGTAAGGAGACAAGTGGGCATGCGAGTGCTAGGGGACAGTCCTTAGAAAGTGTGGAGCGAGTGCATCATCAGACGCATTTATGCCACGCTCAGGATGCTGTTAGTCAGCATGTATGATTGGCAGGCAGCCTGACATGCATTCATGCAAGGCTAGCCTTCTAATTCTTTGGGCAGACATGCCTCCTTTTTGGGCATGTTCGTTCCTTTCGGAAGTTCTGGTTTCATGATCTGCGTCAGTGGGCCACCTTTTTACACCACCCATTGACTTCCTGCTTCACTGGACACTGCTGTTAGGGGGTTTGGATTTACTTGAAAGATGAAAACATTAATTAGAGAGAGATTAGCCTATTTTAAGATAATCTGAGTTTTTTTATAGCTGCATCCTATGAGATTCCCTCCGGCAACATCTCCACCAGATACATAACGCTTGAGAGGTATGACTGTTTTAGTGTTTTTGGTCGATAAGATTCTGTACTTAGGCCCATCATTATTGTCAGCACCAGGCCCTCTGGGCTCTTAATCTGGCCCTGCACAAGGGTAGAAAAGAGCAAGAGAGATTTGGTCCAAAATAGGAACTGTCCTTCCTTAGTGACACTTTGGAGGAACTACTATTATTATTATTATATATAAAGTGCCAACAAATTCTGAAACACTGTACAATAGGTGGACTAACAGACAAGTATTCGCGTAAAGAAGAGTTGGACAAACTGAAACAGAGTGTGATGAGGGCCCTGCTCAAACGAGCTTACATTCTGAAAGAAGTGGGGTAAAGTGGCATAAGAGGTAAGGATAGGATGTATTTCATGTATTGAAAAAAGTAGGTTACTTGAACACGTCACACGCTGCTACCCACAATGTTACAAACACAAACTGCTGCACAAACACCTACAGACATACATACACACGGACATGCAAAAATACATTTACACACACTGCTACACATTCACACAGAGTGTGTGTGTGTGTGTGTGTATGTATATATATATATATATATATATATAAAAAAAAATTATATCATATAAAGTTAAGAGTTTTTTTGTTTTTGTTTGGAAGGGTAAGGATCGGGGGTCATTTAGAATTTTGTGCCTACAGCCACCTATTATGTAAATCTGCCATATTTATAGGTGATTTTCAACTATGTAACTTCCAGAGTAGTGACAGCTTTCCTTTGAAGAAATTCTTAGTGGAAATGCAATATATAACTGAAAATGACATCTAAAATAATACAAATGTATGCTGAAACTGTGGGTCGTGATGGTCATGGGCCACGACCGACAGGGGAGATCCTTTAATCTCTCCTGGTGGCCCATGCACAAACCTTGCTGTGTGTCTTCACGTGCCAGTGGGGAGAGCAAAGATCAAAGATCCTCAAACATAACTGTCAGAAATTAATGATGACACAGTCACACCAGCATGTGCATCTACATTTGTGTGTCTGATGATTAGAGTTTCTATGTATGTGTGCTAACGTGTATCTGTGTGCCAGCATAGGTCTATGCATTAGGTCGCTTTGTGTGTGCAGCAAGTTGCATGTGAATGGCTAATATATATATATATATATATATATATATATATATATACACACAGTGAGGGAAAAAAGTAAAGTATTTGATGCCCTGCTGATTTTGAACATTTGCCCACTGACAAAGAAATGATCAGTCTATAATTTTAATGGTAGGTGTATTGTAATAGTGAGAGACAGAATAACAAAAAATAAATCCAGAAAAACTCATGTCAAAAAAGTTATAAATTGATTTGAATGTCAATGAGTGAAATAAGTATTTGGCCCCTTCGACTTAGTACTTGGTGGAAAAACCCTTGTTGGCAATCACAGAGGTCACAGAGGTCAGACGTTTCTTGTAGTTGGCCACCAGGTTTGCACACATCTGAGGAGGGATTTTGTCCCACTCCTCTTTGCAGATCCTCTCATTAAGGTTTTGAGGCTGACATTTAGCAACTCGAACCTTCAGCTCCCTCCACAGATTTTCTATGGGATTAAGGTCTGGAGACTGGCTAGGCCACTCCAAGACCTTAATGTGCTTCTTCTTGAGCCACCCATTTTCAATGCCCTGGCTGAGGAAAGGAGGTTCTCACCCAAGATTTGACGGTACATGGCCTCATCCATCGTCCCTTTGATGCAGTGCAGTTGTCCTGTCCCCTTAGCACAAAAACACCCCCAAAGCATAATGTTTCCACCTCCATGTTTGATGGTGGGGATGGTGTTTTTGGGGTGATAGGCAGCATTCCACCTCCTCCAAACATGGCGAGTTGAGTTAATGCCAGACCCCTCACACACACTGCACTTATTCCCCCCTCCTGCACACCAAACACACACTGCACTCCTGACACACTGCACCCTTCACACACACACATACTACACTCACACACACAGACACATACACACATACTGCACTCTCCTTCATACACACTGCACCTTCACACACACAGACACATACACACACTGCACCCCTTACACACACTGCTGCATTCACACACACACTGCACTCCTCACACATTGCACCCTTCAAGAGCACTGAACCAACATGCTCACTTTGAGAGGGGGCGTGCCTGTCATTGGTGATGACAAAACACCCCTTCTCTGGTCCCGCCCCCTTCTCAGTGGGCCACTGAGACTCAAAAGTGCCCAGGCCAAATTTCATCATTAACAAGATTCTCCCGTGTAGTTCTGGGCTGATTCCTCACCGTTCTCATGATCATTGAAACTCCACAAGGTGAGATCTTGCATGGAGCACCAGACCGAGGGAGACTGACAGTTATTTTGTGTTTCTTCGATTTGCGAATAATTGCACCAACTGTTGTCACCTTCTCACCAAGCTGCTTGGCGATGGTCTTGTAGCCCATTCCATCCTTGTGTAGGTCTACAATCTTGTTCCTGACATCCATGGACAGCTCTCCATGGTGGAGAGTTTGGAATCTGATTGATTGCTTCTGTGGACAGGTGTCTTTTATACAGGTCACGAACTGAGATTAAGAGCACTCCCTTTAAAAGAGTGCTCCTAATCTCTGCTAGTTACCTGTATAAAAGACACCTGGGAGCCAGAAATTTTGCTGATTGATAGGGGATCAAATACCTATTTCACTTATTGACATGCAAATCAATTTATAACTTTTTTTGACATGCGTTCTTCTAGATTTTTTTTGTTTTTGCTATTCTGTCTCTCACTGTTAAAATACACCTACCATTAAAATTATAGAGTGATCATTTCTTTGTCAGTGGGCAAACGTTCAAAATCAGCAGGGGATCAAATACTTTTTTCCCTCACTGTATATATATATATATGTGTATGTGGTAATTCAATATATATGTCATTGAATGACTCAAGATTAAATTCGAATTAAGTAAATGGGCTAATCTGATTCATATCTATAGAATGTAAGCTCATTTGATCAGGGTCCTCTTCAACCTATCATTCCTGTAAGTTTTCTTGTAATTGTCCTATTTATAGTTAAATCCCCCATCGCATAAAATTGTAAAGCGCTACAGAATCCGTTGGCGCTATATAAATGGCAATAATAATAACAATATCTCAATATAGTAACTAGAACACATGACAGATTAATAACGCACTGAATGTGATACAGAAGACTGTGAATAACTCTCCCATCTTGGTATAGATTTTGAAAGTTATCGTCAACATACAAACAGCCCCAAAGCCACATACAGGGTTATTCACTAAAGTGAGATTTTAACGTGAATTACAAATTTAAGGTTTAAATAGCTGAGCTGGAAACATTCTCTAAAATCATCTATGCCTTTAGGTCAGCTACTCTGGTTCGAAAACGTGAAATTTACTTTGAATTCTTTCTTTAGTAAATAACCCTGCTTGTCTCTCATACAGTCCTAATTAAAAAATCAAATCGGAACATGATGCTATTTAAAAAAATAAAAACAAAACACACACCACCACACACACATACACACACTCTCTCCTTCTCTCATATAAATAGAGTACTAGAGTACACTCGCTTCTTAATCTTTCTCAAAAACATCTTAGCAGTAAAACGGTTCCCAATCAAATATCCTGCTTAAAAACTTTTACTTTGAACACCTCTGAATTCTGATTTAAGCAGGTTTAGAAGTTACCTAAGAAGTGCACACCAGCAGTTACAACGGGCAATAGGGATTACAAATGGCAAAATAAGGGCCACACATGCACACATGTACCGTGATATTACCTCTGCTCCCCCTAGCATGCCAAACATACCTACCTTCCCCCTTGTAGGGGGAGGCATTAAACGGGAGATTTCAAGATGTGTCATAATTGGAGGTCATGTAAAGAAAATAGAAGATTTCATCCAAACATGTTCTGTGTTCACAATCAGGGCAGGAGGGGCTGGCTGGTACCCACTCCAGCAGGATGGAAGGAGGCTGCTGATTTGCCATTCTGTTTGAGTCCTGATTGGTTACTTCATTTCTTCATCCTTGTCATGATGTAGAAACTCAGCATGCTGCAAATCTTACACAGTCAGAGCATGTTCTCATATAATGTAGCTGCTGGAGGGATTAGCTATAGATTAAGCAACAATAATAGAAACCATTTGTAAACCTTCAGTTTATATTAAGTTTGTAGCAGAGTATTTTTCTTAGACAGGTACTCTGATAAAATAAATCATAATTTATGATAATGATCATAATATGCATTATTAGCATGAATTATTTGCCAGCATGATCTGTGTCTGTTTGCAATGAATGGGATGGGGGTTATCCACTAACCAGCAAGTTGTGAAGAAATATCGAATAGCAAAATTCAGACTAAAATAGCCACGCTATTGGTCCATTTTGCCAACATTTTACAATTCATATTTAAAATCACTGCAATGTGCTGTTTGGTGTATAAGCCCCACATATTTTAAAATGCAGGAGAACAATATATTAAGATATTAAGAGGAAATTTATTGAATCTGCAGAGAAAATACAATTGGTATCTGAAGGTACAGTAAGGCTTGATCATATAGGAATAATTATAACTCCAAACACAAATAATTATACATTTTGTAATGCAGACATCTACTTTTAAAGAAAATATCTACGGTAAAACACAGGCATTAAAAGCAATTCAGTGTGAATATAGTGTTTTACATTAATTGCAACGATAAGTAATGGCTAATGCAGCTTTACGCTTCTAATAAATACACTAGTGTTTAATCTTTATTAAACTATGCACCTACAGTTACATCTAATATAAAAATATCTAGTCCATGGGTGCCCAAAATGTAAATCCCCAGATGTTGTAGAACTACAACTCCCATGATGTTTTGTATGCCTTAAAGGACCTCTATAGGCACCCAGAACACTTCACCTCAATGAAGTGGTCTGGGTGCCAGGTCCCCCTAGTTTTAACCCTGCAGCTGTAAACATAGCAGTTTCAGAGAAACTGCTATGTTTACCTATGGGTTAATCCAGCCTCTAGTGGCTGTCTCATTGACAGCCGCTAGAGGCACTTCCGCGCTTCTCACTGTGATTTTCACAGTGAGGAGACGTCAGCGTCCATAGGAAAGCATTGAGTAATGCTTTCCTATGGACTGACTGAATGCGCGCGCAGCTCTTGCCGCGCATGCGGCGGATGACGTCAGAAAAGGGAGGAGAATTTAACCCCTTCTTCCCCCTTCAGCCCGGCGGGAGGGGGACCCAAAGACCCTATAGAGCCAGGAAAACGAGAATGTTTTCCTGGCACTATAGTGGTGCTTTAAGAATGCTTTTATAATGACAAAGCATCATGGAAGTTGTAGTGTGAAAACATCCTGGTACATCTAGGTCTCCAACCTACACAATTCCAATATTGTAAGCTTGTTTGACCAGGGACCTCTTCACCTCTTGTCTAGAACTGTAACACACTGCAGAAAATATTGCCACAATATAAATAAATAATAAAGAATAAAAATGAGAAAGGACATGTTGGCAGACAACCTGTGGGTTTATAACATGAAATATCTGTACACGGTCATCAATAGATGTCTTAAAACACCACTAAAGGTACCCAGACCACGTCATCTCAATGGGTGCAATGATTTAGATTTAACCCTGTGATGTAAAGCATTACCATTTAGTAAATACTGCTTTTCTGGCTTTCCTCCTGATAGCCACTAGAGGTGCTTATGCTGTAAGAACCAAATCTAAATCAGTTCTCACAGTGGATCATCATTTCATTAGAGGAACACGGTGGTTTTTAGCTCCAGTGGTCCTCTATAAGGATCTGTGTTTATTTAGATTTAGAGGAGTCTTGGATCTAACAAAGAGGAGAACACTATAGCATTAGGAATACAAGTTTGTGTTCCAAGCATTGTAGTGCTCCTTCCTTTAACCCCTTAGGAATTGTGGGTGCATTATGCCATCTTCTAGGAGTGGGCTTAAAAGCTGCACGGTGGCATAGCATGCCCTAGTGTTTTAGCCCTCCTTCCTCCACATATTTAAGGATTCACATCATCCGAGAGCTACCATCCTCTCCATCCATTTAACCCCTGGTGGGTGAGAAGCCGGATTCATCTTCCGTTTTTGAGTTTTCTACCTTACATCACCAATTTTGTTTTCTATTTCTGTATTACGCTATGTTATGTTTGTCATCATTGTAGATCCACCAAGGATTCGTTTTCCCTGGATTATATTTTCCAGATTGTTTTAAGCATTTTTTACGTTTACTGGGTGTTTTTTCCACTTAGAAACATAGAAAGTGATGGCAGATAAAAACCATTCGGCCCATCTAGTCTGCACAATTTTCTAAATACTTTCATTAGTCCCTGGCCTTATCTTATAGTTTGGATAACATTATGACTATCCCATGCATGCTTAAACTCCTTTACTGTGTTAACCTCTACCACTTCAGCTGGAAGGCTATTTCATGCATCCACTACCCTCTCAGTAAAGTAATACTTCCTGATATTATTTTTAAACCTTTGTCCCCCTTTAAATACTTCTTTGTTTAGTATTGTTTATTAGGTGTCAGTGAGGTACACTCCAAGTTAAACGTTTACATCTTTTGTCTTTAGTGTGTATCCTCCCTCTTCTCTCATGTTTGTGAAAAAGCTCAAATAAAAGTATAACCACTAAATGAGGCTTGCATTTTGGTTAAAGTAATTACACCAAATGTCTCAAAATTTGCCATTTGGAATACTCTGGGTTGTCTATTTTTGATTATGGTATGCTATAAAAACCTTATATTTGACACTGTAACATTCTAAAACCACATCAAATCTGTACATGCTGTAGGAAGGGAGGGTCGGTTGTACTCATAAGACGTCATCACTGAATACAAATAGGAGTGTTTTAAAGCAGTAAAACATATAATGGCATCATATAATCAGTGAAAGTGCAGTTTTTGTGTGAAAAATACAAAAAAAACTAACATGAACACTAACTGTGGCCAGGTTTGTGACTAAGTGGCTACAAAAAAGACTGGGCATACTCCATTTTGAATGCACAGAGTTGTCTATTTTTGGAAGTGATATGCCATGTTTGGGGGTAGTCAGTGGCGTACACATGACCCATGGGGCCCCGGTGCGAAAATTGATACGTGGGCCCCCCTCGCTTACTCGGCGCGGGTCGGGGCCGCAACACATGGCGGCGGGCACCTGGTCGCAGGGGTTGCAGGGCTGCGACCCCGCAACCGCGGTATGCACACACACTTAAAGGACCAACAGACACCCAGATCACATCAGCTCAATGAAGTGGTCTGGGTGCCAGGTCCCTCTAGTTTTAACTCCTGTGGTGAAAACAGCAGTTTCAGAGTATGTTTACCTATGGGTTAATCCAGCCTCTAGTGGCTGTCTCATTGACAGCCGCTAGAGGCACTTCCGCGCTTCTCACTGTGATTTTCACAGTGAGGAGACGTCAGCGTCCATAGGAAAGCATTGAGTAATGCTTTCCTATGGGCGGTTTAAATGCGCGCGCGCGCGCCTCTTGCCACGCGTTTGCATTCGATGCTGAGAGGCGGACACTGGGGAGTCCGACACTGGAGAAAGGTAAATGCTGAAGAGACACACACACTCTCACGAACAGACGCATACACACTCACTTACAAAACATACACTTTCGCTGACAAACACACACTCACTAACAGACAAACACACTCAGTAACAGACACACGCAGTAACACACTCACTAGCAGACACACTCACTGACACACACACACTCATACACTAACACACACATACACACATACTAACACACACATACACTAAGACACACACATACACTAACACACACACATTTTTATTTTTTAAATTTAATCCCCCCAGCGGCAGGTCACTGGGTGGGCGGGCTGTCTGGGCAGGCGGGCGCGCGAGGGAGCACTTTCCCCTGAGTGCTTCCTCTTCAGCTCCCTCGCGTGCCGCTTAGGGATGCCAGAGCCGGAAGATGACGTCATCTTCCGGCTCCGGTATCAGTGCGGTGCGCGAGGGAGCTGAAGAGGAAGCTCTGAGTGCTCCCTCGCGCGCCCGCCTGCCCAGTGACAGCAGGGCCAGCCTCTGGGGGCCCTGGGGTGGTCTGCTCCTGGGCCCCCCAGGTGAAGAGGCTGGCCCTGTGGCTACATACCGGGTCGCAGGGGCGGCCGGGCCCCCTGGTGGGCCGGGCCCGGTCGCAGTCGCGACCCCTGCGACCCTGGTATGTACGCCACTGGGGGTAGTTCTCATTCCTGGGCTGCCATACTCACTCAAAGGACACGTAAGCCCAGCAAATCAATCTGTCAAATTTCACTGTGTAGAAGCTGAACTAGGCAAGCCCTATATTTGACCTTATAACTGTCCAAAACTCCTTAAAACCTGTACATAGGGGGTGCTGGAAACACAAAAATGAGTGTTTTTAAAAATGATAAAAAAAGAAGTGCAGGAGCACTTAAGATGAAAGAGGTAAGTTATGGATGAACAAACATTATAGCTCAAATTTTACGTTTTGTTTTGGTCGCTTGTACAATTGCCTTCGTCCTTAGGCGGTTAACATGGAACGGTCACTTTAGATCCATTTTGATGCATGGTGTAAAAAAATATCAAACAAAAAAATAATCTGAGAATTAAAGTTAAATAACACAACCTATAGCTAAATTTATGTTGTGCAAATATCTCACATGTGATGTTTCCTCTTTAACACTGTTTTGAAACTGATCCGTGGCCCCCCACCCGATCCATGCCCCCACCCTACCAATCTGTGACCCCCTCCCCAGACACATACATACAGACATATACAGACACACACAGAGACACACACAGATTCAGTCTGTATGTGTCTATAGGTGTGTGTGCTTCTCTGTATGTGTCTATATGTGTGTGTCTGTATAATACAGACGCATACAGAGACACACACACACACAGATACATACAGAGACACACACATACACACACCAGTGGCGGATCCAGAAGCTAATCTCTGGAGGGGC